TTAATTCAGGAATTAGATATTTTTGGAAAACATCGAAGCAAGTGAAGGATTTGAAAGTTGTATATAATAGTAATTTTTAATTATGCTGTTGTTCAAAGATATGAAGAGATCAGTAGTTTTCGAATAAAACTTATTCTTTCGTATAGAATTGCAAAGCAAATCTTTTACAAACAAAAAAAGGCATAACAAAATTATCATCTGTTTTTTTCTTTCTTATTTAAAAATAAATATTTTATAACAATATGAATAAAACGAAAAGAAAAACAATATATAATTTTTAATCAATTGATGATGGTACTTTTAAACGAGAAGATGATATAATTGAATTAGTTGTTAAATTATTATCATTATTACTATCAGCGAATAATTCTGGTAATGTTAAACCATCTGTAACAATAGTTATTGTACGTGATGGAGAACGAATATCAATAGGTGAATCTTCACTTATTGAACTATTTGGAGATGAAATTTGTTGTAATTTTTGAGTATGTTTTGATGGTGGTGGTGCAGCACTTTCACCTCGAAGTACAGGTTCAAGAAATGAAAAATCCATTGGTTCAAAAATATCAGGTGGTTGATAATAAGTTTCTGATGAATTAAATATTTCTGTAGTTGGTAAGGATTTTGTATCAGTTATTTTTTTTTCTGACGATGATGCTGATGATCTTGGTGAATTACTACGATGTCGACGTCGAGATGATGATGAATTTCGAGGTGATGACGATGATGATGACATCGAATGTATTATTGGTGGTCGATCATCAGGTTCTTCAAGTACAATTTGAACAAATGATTCAACTGGATCTTCTATTGTTTGAGTTATAAGATCAATTGGTGTCATAAGTTCAAATGGAATTGTTGGTTGTGTTGGTGTAGCTGGAATTCGACCATCATATATAGTCACTGTACGTCTTTGATCTTCATGTGATGCATTTGATAATGATGATTCATTTGAATTAGCTGTTGTTGGAAGTAAATAAAGTGAACCACTATTACCATGTGGTGATAACTGTATAGTTGGATCAGGTTGACCACAATATGATGCACGACGTGCTGATCCAATAAGACAATGAAATGTTGTTGAAGCTGTACGCATCATTGAACTTGTTGAATCCAAAAGCATGTTAAGTGATGAATTTTTTTGTTTTAACATATATGATTCACCATTAGATAATTCACTCGGATGATATAAATTATGATTTGCTAATCGAAGTGATGGACCATCAGAAAGACGTCGTTGTTCAGTCTAAATAATTTATATGAGATGTCAAATTTATTATATGCAATGACGTTTTTGTATTCTCTTTTTTTTTATGAATAAATATATTGAAATAATATTCTCTTGAGATAGAATATCGAAGATTAATTTCGGTTTTTTTTTTATTATTCAATTTAATTTTTATTAATTTCCGATTCATAGAGAAATAGCTTCAAACGGAAAACAAATAACTTGATTTATATTTCATCGGAATGTTATTCATAGTCGAGTAAATTCTTCCGCATTTTTATTTTCTTTTTATTTTTTTTTTGTGACATGCAAGGATGTATTTATAATATTAAGAACCAAAAATATTGAATATATTAATTACAATTTATTTGAGTTTTTTAATAATATTGAAAAAAAGGAAATTTATACGATGATTAAGATTTTCGTCATGTATGTTCTGACACTATGAATTTGTTAAAATTTCTCGAGAATAAACAATGATCTGCTTTGTTTTTAATTTGGGTAACGAAAACAATTGTTTACAAAAATTATACGAGGTTTATTCAGGTGAGACAACTAAAATGTCATCTGTTACTTGTCACAATTTCTACTTTCTATGTTATCTAGTAAACTATTGCTTTGGTCGCATCATGTTTTTTAATATATATATATATAAATTGATTAAATTTCACACTTACATTAGACTGATTAGTATATCCCATGGCATCTGTATAGCCTACAAAATTAGCACAGACAGATAGTCTTCGTTGATCCATTTTCACTCGTTTTTGTTTTTGTTTTATAAACTATTGTTGTTATTATTATAGTTCGTATTGACAAAATGAATCGATGTGCGTGTTGAGAAACAAAGTTGTCAAATCAAAGAAAAAAACCTCATTTATAATATCCTGTTCTATGCATTTATGAATTTTCTTTTTTTTTGTTTGTCCCGTGTTGCCATTTTTTATTCTAGTTATATGAAAGAAAATTTCATGTAAGAGGAGAACACACTAGAGTAAGGGAAAAAGAGACCTAATCATATTCTTTTTCCATTTTTTTCCCTCATAGCTCTTTTTCTCTTTTGCTCTGTCGAATAGATAATTCTTTTTTTTTTCCAACATGTTTCACACAATCTCACTTGTAGTAATAGTAATCAGTTAAAGCAAATTGAACGATGCATATATATTCATAAGTGTCAATTTTATGGAGGCGGATATATTTTGATCTTGACATGACGTCTATATTTTCTTTTTTTCTTCATTCGTCATTAAAGATTCTCTGTAATTACTATTTCTCTTAGTATTACAACACATTTTTAGACATTCTTAGATGTTTTTTTTTTCTTTTTTTCTTTTTTTTTTTTAATATTTTGTAAAAATTCTGATGTAGATCATATTGATGAATTATTACAATTAGTAATAAACTATAGAAAAAAAATACATCATCATTCATGCATAAATGTATGTTTCTTATGAACTTCTTATTCTATTGTTCTTACAACTAGACTATTAATCACTAAAGAAAAAACAAAGTTTCTTTCATGAGATTGAAAGAAACTTCTATACACATCTATAAATCTAAAGTTAAAATTTTTCGAATCGGTAAAATAAATCGGCTTTTGTTCTTCTGTTGATTGCACATGAATTAATTGTGGCAATTATATATGGAGATTATAGGAACAATTTGTCTACTGTTCTTATATTCAAATTTATAATCTAGACTAAAATATATTGAATCTAATTGATTGCAAATTTTGTTTTGAGTTATTTAAAACTAAAATATCTTGATTGTTCTACTTTTTTTTTGATTTATTTACTATTCATGCCATTCAAATATCATATATAAAAGCACTTAACTAAAGAATAATGTTGTTTTTTTTTTGTATATAGCAAGTAATAATTTCTGGTTATTCGTTCAAAACATCAAATGGTTATGAAATAACAAATAATAGCTACGTTGATTAAATTATAAGAAGAAAACAACAAAAAAGAACAGCTTAATTTTATCTTTTTTATTTTTATAGTATCGATTCATTGATTATTTTCTTATGATATATAATAAACATATTTAAATAGCTTGGTTTTATTTAGATGATATATTCTATTCTTGTTTTGATTGTTAAAATAAATAGATGAATTTCAATTTTTAATTGAATTTAATTATAATCAATAAACATAAAATGAATATCAGTGAACTCAAGTAAATGAAAATTTTTTCAAGTGCATACAAATATATTTTTACAATCTTGAATAATTATTATCTTCTAATAGATCTATTAGTTCTGAAAAAAGAAACATGATGTTTTGTCATTCTTTTTGAATAACAATTGTCTGTGTTTATTATTCTTCTCAACTATCATCCTTTTTCCTTCCTGTTTTACGCACGATATAATAAAAAACAAAACAAAAAAGATATAAATATTCTTCTTTGACGACTTTAAATGCAAATAGTTTGATTTTATATTTACCTGGTTATCAAAATAAAAAGCAACATTTGGTGCTGAACTGTAATGAGAATCGTATGAAGGATTTGTAGGTAATAAACGTTGATTGTAAGAATTAGTAGAATAGTTATGAGTATTTGGTGGTTTTAAAGATGTATCTCTATGTGAAAACATGTTATTTTTTTTTTGTTACACGTCTAATATTTATAAATGATGAAGAATGTTGAATACGATCTTTTATATCAATAGCAGAAAAAAAAAGAATACTTGGATGAAAAGAAAACAAGAAACCATATTAGCATTCATCGTGTGCACTCTACGGGACATGACGTTGGAGACAGAACATCTGAAAAATATGTAAAAGAATATTTTTGTAGTGTTACGTCTATATTATTATTGCTGTCAGATAGGGAAGTAAGAACATTTTATATCTATATACATCATTATATATTGTATTATCGTCTCTTTCATATATAATTGTGCATCAAAACAACGACGAATGTCTTGTTGTCTTAAGACTGGAAACTCTTACAAATGTGAGAAGAAGAGGAAGAAGAAAAAAAAGAAAGAAAAATAGAATACAATGCATAATCAAAAATTTTATGTGATGTTCGCATCGCTTTCGGTGTTTCTAATAATAATGCGCAGTTTTTCAATTTTTATCTTTCCTAACAAGTTATATACTGAATCAATTTGCTACAATTTTCTATGAATAGATTATGATGATCTGTCAAAAATAATAGTACTTTAAATAAAAGTAACTGTTCAAGATGATTAAGAAAAATTATAACATGCAATAAAAATAATAAAAAAGAAATCTTGTTACCATGAACTTTTTTTTTTCTCTATATTATTCTTTGCATTTTATAGATAAAATGAAGAGAAAATAATAATGATAAGTAGTAGGTGAAAAACGGAAAAAGAAAATTAGATGGATTCTTTTGTTATTAATTATAATCGTTAGTAAAATGAAACATTTGAAAAATTTTCTTTTTTGAATTAATCATTATCAATTATTAAAGATTCCAGACTTTAGGTATAATCTGATCATTCTTTGGATCTTCTTCTATCGGATTAAATTCTTTAAAAGAAAAAGAAAAAGAAAAACTTTCTTATAGTCCTTATATAATAGTCGGTTGAAGAATTTTTCATAATATTTATAAACAGTGACAAGATTTTATTCATTTTATATTAAATATTTCTTTTTTCCATGTTAACATGTTGAAAAAAAAAAAGAATTGAAAAAAAACAGACACAACCTCTTAGTGATATCCCATCACTCACGATAAAAATGATTTCTACATTTCTGCTAACATTTCGAGAAAACAAAAATTTTTTTTTGTTTTTGTATTAACATAAAATATTAGTTTTTATTGTTTGTTTTGTGTGGGATACTAATGTAATAAATTTCGTACGATATATCATTATTAATTGATTCCATTCATATGGTTTTTTCTCTTTATTTCTTTGAAATATTCGTTTAAACAAACGTCCCAAAAATGTTTTCTCAAATTTATGCATATAACTTTTTGATGGAAATATATAGATAAAAAATGTCATTGATGGTGGTAAATAAACAAGAATATTAAAAGCAACATGTATTCGTAAAAGTGGTATATCTGGAGCATCTTCACATGGATCTTTTAAATGAAGAATTAAATGAGGAAGATTTGATAAAATAATAAATAATTGTGGAACAAAGAAATGTTTACGTTTTATAAATTCACTTATAAATACTTGACAATAATCATAACGATCACGAACAAGTAAAGTACGTCGTGTTATACTAATAAGTATACAAATACTACCAATAAACTGTATTCCAAGTGGAATAATAATATGACATACACGAAGAATTTTATCAATTATATCTAATGGTAATGGATAAGCAAATGTACATGAATATGAATCAGGATGCATTGGATCAGGTAATGGATGTCGGGCAATTATTTCATGCATATGTGTACCAATTGTTAATAAAAGACAAATGATTGATGATATAACAGAAAACCGTCGAGATCGATATAAACTTAAATTAAAACATTCCAAAAGAACAAACTCTATTATTAATATTGAGCTCAACCACATACAGACAGTACCCATTAGTATAACAATAACAGGAATTATATTACATGCTGCATATCGATAAGGATAAGCTTGTATTAATTCATCAAATATTAACATAGTTAACATTCTCAATTGCATACCAACTATGGCAATTAAACCTGATATGCAATAAAATATTTGTAACATACCACAATTAGTTAAACGTATATCTTGTAAAAGAAAAGTTTGTAAACATACTATGTTATTTATAACAGCCATGAATAACATTAGAGCAATGATAGTTGTATAAATAATTCCTGGTGTATTAAAATTTGAATGTAATGATGCTTGTCGAATATCCCATTGCATTGTAAATGTCAATGAAAATTGTATTACATTAGTATTTATCTCACAACTATTGCCAGTATAACATGGTGAGCATATACATGTATCATTAAATGAACATATACCAACTTGCGAACAATCATTTAAACATGGCATCCTATAATAACTACCGATTTACTACTGAAGTATTGAAGAAACATAGACAGTCAGCTGTATATATATATATATACGTCTATTACTCTTATGCTAATTGTATGTAATCATACTCTTCAGAATGGAATAATTGTATATATTACGATATGATTTTGCAAAAATATTTTTTTAAGTAATACATATAAAAAAGATCAAGCGATATTATAATCGTATTGCTCTTCGTTGGGCAGAGGAAGGAGACATTTTATTGATTTTATTATAAGAAACGAAAGGAAAAAACATACTGACGCATGAAAAAACATGAATTTGTTCTCTTGAAAATATGTTGATTTGTTTTTAAGTATTAAAGTAAATATTCTGATGCGAATATAATCAATTTTTTATATGCGATAAGTACTGTAGGATATTGTCATCATTCGGTCAAATCTTCTAGAAAGAAAATAACAAATGACGAAGTATTTTGTAAAAAAAAACAAAGCTGTATGAATCAAATATAGACTTAATAATGCTGCAGTGGAAATTTTTCGTATAAAAATAGTGGCTTTCTTATTTTTCTAATTGAGATAATATTTCAAATACAAGAGAAGATTGAATAATATGATCATAATCAATGGTGATATGTATACATTGTTGTTGAATTAATCTTTGTACTTTTTGATCTAGCCTTATTAATAAATCATACTGTATATAACAATCATCAATCAAATAAGTTATAGAATAATTTATAAAGATTCGTTTGACTGCTTGTTCAGGAATCTGAATCGATGATATTTTATTTCATAAACAGTGAATCAGATATTAAGCATCAATAATAAATGAGTATAAATATTAGTCATTCATACAATTTGAAAAAAACAAGTAAAACAAAATTTTAGTTCAATAAATATTGAAGATTGATATTCTATTTACAATAGACAGTATGTATGATTAAAATTAAGTAAAAATTTTTTGCTTCATTATTTTTAAGGATTAATATAATCAATTTATCTTTCAAACGATAGAATTAGTTTTATATGTTTAAGATCAAAAAAAGATATTCTATTCAATTAATTCTATAAAAGAAAAAAAAGTCATTGGATTAATGATATCGATATTAAGTAAGCAGTTCTACATTTAATCGAGAAGTTTTGATAATCAAGTTAGAAACTTTATCAATTTCAAATAATTGCTTTTCATTAACACATTCGACGCGATGGGTCCCACTGGTGGGACCCACTATAAAGTGGCCCAAAACTTCCTTTACCGCAGAAAAAATTGGATATCTCTGCCATATTTTGACGGAAAAGTTTGGTTCTTTTACCACTAATAAAGGAATGTTCGTAATTCATATTCATAAGAGAAACGTTGATAAAAACTGTTTTGAAGTATTACAATTATCTTGAATGAAGAAATGTAACTTTTCACAAATTATGAAAAACCAATATTTATATCGCGACGAATGTGTCAAAATATTATAAATAAATGTTTTCAAAATGTCTACATATATATATAAAAGCATTAGAATAAAATACAATTGAGTTTACTCTTTGTTTTTTAGTTTGTTAAAGACAACCGAATAAGTAAATTTAACTTAACCGTTTACCCCCCATAGAGGTTCTAGAAGAGCTATTGATGAAACAGCCATTGGAATAGAGTATTGGTGCCTCCAATATGCTAAAATTACGGTCAGATCGATCAAACGCACACTTGAGTTTTAGGGTAGTTTGTTGAGGGGGAGTAGGGGGATCGATTTGGAAAAAATTTCGTGAACTTTCCATAATACCGACGGTGTTCGGCCAAAAAACGTCGTAGAGAGCTCGTGGACGTCTTATTTTGTAGAGAATTGTTCACTCTATAATTTTACGTAGTTTAAACAAAACTTTATTTCCGGATTATAGACGGCCAAAAGCTAAGGGTTGATTTTCTGGAAGTCGTTCAGTGACCATCCGATGCTTTACCACATCTTGCCTACCTAATGCTTTTCAAATTTTTGAAACTTATATAATCTACTAGTGGACACTTTCTTTGATGTAAATCACGCAACACGTCGCCAAGATATATATTGCCTAGAGGTAGAAAAAGAATTTTACCAAGAAAATTCCATTTTTTACTTTTTTTGAAAATCATCGATTTTATAAGTTGTATATCTCGGCACTAGCACAGCGAAAAAAATCTTTTTTTTTACTAGTCGATAGCTCATGAAGTTTACTACAAATAGTGCTCTTAGAGGTTTTGAATTCTATGCTTCCTTTATTTTCTGCAATCGTTCTACAAATGGTCATTCCAGTGACCAAGGGGGGGTAAAGGGTTAAAGACCTTTCCATCAAAATTTCTTTTCTTTCTTTTAATAACTACTGTCAACTTCATATAACAAAATCTAAGATAAATTTTATCAAAAAAAATTTTCCATTTAATTCTTCGACGTAAATAAAATAAGAATTAAAAATTATCAATTCATCTCATTAATTATATGATCATTGTTGAATATATTATGAAGAGAAATTCGTTTGAATAAATCCACATCAATATTTTATTACTTTTGTTTTCTTGTCTTCTTTTAGTCAATCATTCATTCGAATATATTTTTGAAACATTAAACTTTTAGTTCATTTTAACAAAAAAAAAAGAAAATATTACAGTGAAAAATAAATATTATTACAAAAAAAGAAATATATATTTGCTATAAGATAATATTTTTTGTACTTATACAAGCCTCGAATACATGTATTTACTTTTCTATTTTGTTTATCATCATCGTCTACAAACGTTTTATAATACTTTTTTATTTTTTTTTGAAATTTTTCATTATTTATTCAACTAAACAAAAAAACACAATTTGAATTCGGTCATGTCAATAATAGTCACTTTTTTTCGTGTACTACTTGTATGTAGGGTTTTTTTGTTTTTGTTGTATGTTCTATGCAGAGACTTATAAAAATTTTCAATATAGTTATTTTTGTTCAATTAATTTTTTCCTTGTATCTAATTTCAATTAAATCAATAGTTAGAATGAAATTTTAGTGTTGAAAATAAATAAGAAGATTCTCTTTTTTTTTTAATCATTCATATTCTTCTTTCTTTATTTTACTCGCTTAACAGACAGTGACTTTATTTAAAGACATGAAGAAAGCGAAGTGAGCAGTATATGAAAAAAAAACAGTAGAAAAAAAAAAAGAAGAAATCATCAGGCTACATGCTCACAATGTTGTTCTTCGTTGAGTCAATACGTGAGTAACAGAAATTATTGTCTTCTGCCATTTCACGCACATATATACATAGAAACATACACAACAGGTAACTTATGGCATTAATGTCTAACAAGATTGATTGGATTTTTCATACATATATACTGGAAAAAAATATATTGTTCTTCTTGTCAAAAAAATATCGTGATAATAATGAAATCTTGGATCTACATGAGTAGGAATATAGAAAGATTTAAAATCATTAGTTCATGTACTTTAACTGGCATGTTTTTTATCTATGAGATGTAAAATTAGTCTTTCTTTTGAAAGTGTTATATCACAGAATACTTAGAAACACAATTGAATAAGACCTTATAAGTTAAGTATATAGGATAAAATATGTTTTTTTATTTTCAAAAGTAATAATTTGGAATATTCTACTTAAGAGAAAAGAAAGTAGAAAAGGTATTCTTTGAATAATAATAATTATTATTATTATTAATGACTATCAGATGAAAAATGATTCATATTGACATCGTTATTGAATATAAATTCTTTCAAATTTCTTTTTTTCTACACTACATCATCTATCTTTGTTATGATCTCTCTCGCTTCTCATGCAATGTCATAGAAGAAACGCACAAGTTTTTTTTTCATAGTCACACACACATACACAAACAGAAATACTGCGACACATTACAGCTTTCACAAACGACAACAGTGACGGAAGGAAGAGAAGGAATTTCGGTTCCATTACTGTTGTCGTTAACTATAAAGCTTATAAGAAAACTTCTTAATTTCCTGAGATAAGTGTAAGAAAAAGAGAACAACATCAATAATTTCTCTAGAAAAATTAATTAATTCATTACTAAAAGTTTTTATTTTTATTTATTTGTTTCCAATATTTAGTTAAATTATTCGTCGAAAAATGATAGCATCAAGATCATCAAATTATCATGGACCTTCATCAATAAGCACATCAAGTCATACAACAGAATCACCGCCGTTAGTTAACAATAATCATTCTGAAAGTGATACGGTTTTAGTAGCAAAAAAATTAAGTAATATGAATTTGGTTGAACGTGAAGAGCGACAACAAGCACTTGATCGTTTAGAACTACTTAAAACGGTAAGAAGATTTTTAGAAAAACAAAACAAGACAAAACTTATATTTTATCTCATAATCTTTATTTTCTTAAGATATATATATATATATATATATACGTTAAAAAAAAAGTCTCAAGAATAATTTGATATTTTTTTTTCTTTCGCAGCATATTGACCTTAAGTAAATGATTTGAATGAAATACTTGAAATGTTTGGATGGAATATAATAAATCACATGAAAAGCAAACTAAATATTTACTTCCTCATTCGCTTAATCGTCTTTGTTCAATGAATGTACCTTTTGATTCGTAAAATTATTCTTTCTGTTCAATTCAATAACTATTAATAGAATTCATTATTCAAATATGAAATATAAGAAAAAAACAAAAAACAAAGCAATTTCGTCGTGTTTTTTTTTCTTTTTCTTTTGAAATTCAATATAATTATGTGTAAGGAATGTAAAAAGAAAAGAAAATTAATTCTTCTTCTAGACTTATTTCTAACTGGAGGACATTGCAACATATGTCATTAAAGACAGGATATTGAAAAAAAAAAATTTGCTAAAGATTATTTTTAACCATCAATTGTTTCTATATAATAGAGTTTTATATTAATTATTACACGAATTAAATTAATTTTCTTAATTCATAATTATTAATCAAAATTTGATTTTTATTATTTTTCGAAAAGAATTAATGTTATGGAAATTTTTATTTGAAATAAATAATTACTTGTCTAGACACATATAATGATTATTGTTTTAATTCTTTTCTTTCCTTTGTATTGTTTAGGAGAATCATTAAAAAGAGATCAAAGATAAAGTATCGAATATTCTTAGTATACCTCTTAGTTTTAATTTTGTCTAAATAACTGGTTTGGATCAGAAAAAAATGAACTCAAATAAATAAAAATCAAATATTTAATTTTTCCTAGGTTGGTACAGGTTCCTATGGTCATGTTCTTGTTGTACGAGATCGTGAAACATCAAATTATCATGCATTAAAAATATTTTCTATTACTCATGTTGTACAATCTCGACAAGTAAAAAATTTATTTGATAAATATAAAAAAAAAAGGAAATAATCATAATTTATTTATCATCTTTATTTGAAAAATTTAGACTGAACATGTTAAATGTGAAAAAGAAATTTTATCAGCTATAAAACATCCATTTATTGTACGACTTCACTGGACACATCATTCGGATCAATTTCTTTATATGCTTTTTGATTATATGCCTGGTGGAGAATTATTTACATATATGAGACGAAGATGTACATTTGATTTAAAAACATCATTATTTTATATATGTGAAATAACACTTGCATTTGAATATTTACATTCATTACAAGTTATTTATCGTAGGTTAAAAATATTAATTCGAAAAAATGATCTTTCTATTGTTTTTTTGTTTCTTTATCTAATCAATTTAAATAGGTGATTTAAAACCAGAAAATATTCTTCTTGATGCTGAAGGTCATGTTAAACTTGTGGATTTTGGTAAGAAGATTAAATCATAGAATATAGATGAATATTTTCTTTCTGTCTTTTTTTTTATTTAATAAAAAAGGTTTTGCAAAAAAAATTCTAAATAAAACATTTACAACATGTGGTACACCTGATTATCTAAGTCCAGAATTATTTAAAAATACAGGACATAATAAAAGTACGGATTGGTGGAGTTTAGGAATATTATTATTTGAAATGTTAGCTGGAGGTATGAAATAATTATATATATATATAGAAAATATTAAAATATTAATTATTAGGAACACCATTTAATCCAAATCAAAATGAAAGTGAAATTCCTGGTCGTGTTTTAGCTGGTCGAATAGCATGGCCACGTACAATCGATGAAACAACAAAAGCATTTATTAAAAAATTGCTTACACAAAATCCAGATAAACGTCTTGGTGCTGGTCGCAATGGTTCACGTGAAGTAAAAGAACAACCAATATTTGCATCTATTAAATGGGATGATGTTTATGCACGAAAATCAAAACCACCTATTGTACCTTCTGTAAAACATCCAGGTGATACATCATGTTTTGATCAATATCAAGAAGATTGGAAATCAGCACCATTTGCATCCGATAAAGAACTTGATTTATTTGTGGATTTTTAATCATGAATAAAAACAATGTTTCTTTTCTTTTTTTAATTCAATTTGTATATAGGATGTCCAGTAAGTCATGAAATAGACACACTAAAAATTGAATATCTTCATTATAGCTCGACCAAACGGGTTCATTTTTTTACCAAGAATATAAGCATGTTCACACTCCAAATTCATATGGACAAGATCAGTGAGAACCTTTGTTAAATACCACTATTGACCTCAACAAGAATATTTTACTTGTTCACAGATGGGAAAAGATAACAATATACTCACGATAGGTTCTCATTAATCGCGCCCATACGGATTTTGGAGTGTGAACATGCCTCTATCTTTGGTAAGAAAATCAACTCGTTTACTCGAGCCGTAATGGAGATATTTCATTTTCTTTTCTGATAAAATGAATTTTTACACCATCCTATCTATCGTTTTTTTTCCTTCCTGTGAACAAGTAAAATTTTCTTGTTGAGGTCAATAGTGTTATTTAACAAAGGTTCTCACTGATCTTGTCCATATGAATTTGAAGTATGAACATGCTTCTATCCTTGGTAAAAAAAAAATGAGCCCGTTCGGTCGAGCTATAATGGAGATGTTCAATTTTTAATGTGTCTGTTTCATGACTTATTGGACACCCTCTATACCAAATGCTGATCAAATATGGCTATATCTAATCAGTGACTGTTTGTTTGTTTGTTTGTTTCATTGAAATTTTTTAAAAAATTAGTTCTTCTATACGAATATTTCAATATTGTCATCAACAAAAAACACCTAATATGCCAGTCTTATTGAAAAGAATTTTTTTGTTTTCTGTAGCTATGCAGAGTAATATTTTTAATGTTTGCTTTTATATTGTATATCCTTCATATTTAATTACTGATTTATTGACCAATATTTAATTTTAAATTAAGCTTTCCATAAACAATTTTTACAAAACAATTAAAATAAGAAATAAATTTTATTTGAAAAAGTCCATTTGATCATAGTTAACAAGTATTTTGAAATCATCAATGGAACAAATAAAAATATTATTTCTACGGAATTATTTGTGTGAGGCAAGATGAATGTTGTACTCGGATGAAAAATGTCGAATGAGTGTTGATTCGTTGAAATAATATCTTTTCCTACATGTTTTTCTTATGGAATAGACTGATATTTATAGTGTATATATACTATATAGGTATGAACACCTAATTTACGTTAGAGTTTTCTACCTCTTATATCCATACGGATACAAGTAATGTAAAACCCATAAGAAATTTTTTTCCATTACTGCAAGAAACTACGTGTAAATGATGAAAAAAAAATTATTATGTTGATTAAAGCAAATGATAGATCAACATGGAAAGCTGTTATACAAATATTGACGTACCTTTTTTTTTCTTATTTTATTTATAGGAATTCGATTTATAAATCTTCTTCAAATCATATTTTTTTTATTTAACATTACTTATCAAACAAACAGACTGATTTCTAAAAATAACTTAACAAATTTCTAATACATTCTACATTATTTATATCGCTATGGCTATAGGAGGTAGCAAGCTCAAGGTCTAATGTTGACTAGACCTCGATGTCTATTATCTACAATGTGTAAATATCAACCAATTTTTATTGAAGACACATATAGGAGAAAGAAAAAAAAGAATATTACCGACAGGAATCATAACTTATTAGACACTATTTTTGTCCTGAAAGGAAGGAAGAAGCATCATATCATATAATTTTCTGCATACTTTCATCTAGATTATTTAATTTCATGATAGTTATTTTTACGTGCCACATGATACACTATGCATTATATAGTATTGAAGAGTTGTCTTTCAATAATATGATGAGAATATTTTTTTTAAAGGTCATGCGAACAAAAAAAACTTAAATTGACTTTCAATAATTGTTATTATCGAGAAATTTCTATTGCACATTCTGTTGACAAAATGTGTTTCGATAATATGATTATAGGGAATAGAGAGAGATTTTCCTCCTAATAAATTATTCTTGCGTTCTGTGCTTTTCCCTGGAAATTTTCTGTTGTAGATAAACCCCCCGACACATTAGAAGACCCCCCACCCCTGTGGCAGAGATGACCCTCCCTTGAATCAACGAAGTGAAGGATAGATGAGAAGACCCACCCATCTCCTCTGACGATCCCCTTAGAAGCAGGTGAGCAGGTCCTCTAATCTATCCTTTGGGTTGTTGATTCAAGAGAGGGTCATCTCTACTATAGGGGTGGGGGGTCTTCTAATGTGTCGGGGGGTTTAGTTCACATTTTTAACCCTTCGATGGAATAAAATTGTCGATGTAAAAATAAAATTTTGTTTGCAAATTTGTAAAGAAAAATCAGATATTTCAAAATTCATTTAATAGATACTGTAGAATATTCATGTATGAAATTTAGCTCAATATATGGACAGCAATTTTAAGTGTTTGTTTACTAAACAAGTAGTTTATTATACAGGGTGAGTTTTAAATATCTTTACGATAAAAAAATTGAATATCTCCTCCTTTGGTTGGACCTATAGAGCTGTTTTTTTATGGCTGATAGAGGAGTCTTTGAAGTTTTTTTCCGTACAAACAACATTTACAAATATTGCTTTGAAGTAGCATCAGTGAGCTCAAAAATGAAATTTTATGTTTAGGATGTTGATGTTGGTCCAGAGAGATCCGTGTATGCTACATTGGTCCTCTGACAGATTTATATGATTGGGTATTTCGTTCTGCAATGTGGATTTAGTTTTTCTCAGTTCTGTAGCATCCGTACATTGCAGAACGAAATACTCAATCATATAAATCTGTCAAAGAATCAATGTAGTATACAGGGATCTCTTTGAACCAACATCAACATCCCAAACATAAAATCTCATTTTTGAGCTCACTGATGCTACTTTAAAGCAATATTTGTAAATGTTGTTTGTACGGAAAAAAACTTCAAAGACTCCTCTATCAGCCATAAAAGAAAACAGCCCTATAGGTCCAACCAAAGGAGGAGATATTCAATTTTTTTATCGTAAAGATATTTAAAACTTACCCTGTATCTTATCTTAAATTTTCAATAATTATCATAAAATACTGATATAGTATACTTTTTCGGATATCATACTTACAACATTTTCGCAGACAATCATGAGCGGTGCATGGTCAATTTTTTGTAGGTGAAGCAATAAAGTATTAAATGGATCCGTTTTTTTCCCTTCGCCAATAGTGAAAGGTGTGTGTGAAGAGAAGAAGAAGAGCGCTCACACTTACAATAGACAAAAACCTATGCAACTATTAGAAAGAACATTACTATTAAAACTATTGACGAAGATAGTTTTTGTGTGTAACGGATGGTGCATAATAAACGAAACAAAATATTTTCTTCTTTATAGGATACTTGCCAACACATTAGAGACTCCATAAAGAATTTCATGCACTACAAAACAATTGTCTCTGTTTTTTTGTTAGTACTAAATTTAAAAGATGAACATTTACTCAATCGTCTTCCTGCGATTTCAGATTATCTGCAGGCATCTAGTAAGACTTTGTTCACCAGAAGCAATGTTAAAAATAAAGTATTTAGTATCAATAGATAGAGAATTTCGTGCTTTCTACTTCCACATTATTTTCAAAGTTTCTGCTATTGTCACTCAGAAGAAATAGGCTTTGAACCGATACCTAGTGGTATTTTGGGATGTATTCTCGAAAACGATGTGTTCAAAAGCGAGACTTGGTCTATGACATGTTTATTCTCATCCCGTTGAGTGCAGAATTTAAATCTGAACAAATTGGTATGATTGTTAAATTGAAGAGTAGAAACATTAGAAAAAGAACAATGATGTAATACTGTCCGAACAGGGTTTTTTCACATTTTTTACTTCAAAAATTTTTCGAAAATCTTGAAACATATATATCATTCGTTTTTCCATACTATTTTTTCTATATATTCTTATCCTAAAATTCACCTTGATTAGTTGATGATCAAGAAAGATACAGAACAAGGTTGTCGATATTTTTAGCGGTTGGACGGGTGAAAAATTCGCCCGAAAGTACCTTTATTTCTGGAGTGCTAGAAGCGGTGACCGAAAGAATGAAATCGATTGTAATCGTTCTCTCCAACAACAGATGACCTGGTACTAAGCCGTCCCTTACTCAACTCTATTCATTTCACAACGACATTGTCTGGTTATTCCGTCTAATCGGGAACCCTGGATACAGAATGAGAAGTTGTTGACAATCAAATCACGATGATAATAATTCTTTTCTATTGTGCAAACTGACTCTGCTGTATTATTGATAATCGATAATGAATTCATATATTAATGATTAATTTCTTTTTTTTTGTTTGATTTATATAATGTCAGGTTCAATACCTTATTCATATGTCAAGCTAATAAACAATATCGAACGCGTTGAAACAAGACAAATAAATTTTTAATGCTTGTCGTTTATTAAATCATGGTTGAATATTTTCTGCTATCATCCCATTTCGTAATGTAACAGACTTATCATGTGTCATGTCATGTTTGAAAAGATAGTAGCAATGTGTTGTTATTTCACCACTTTTATATAATAATATAATTTATCAATTTAAAAAACAACAAGTTTTAAAGCTTATTCAAGTGAAATTCTTTTATATTGGCATACATTTTGTATATTAATAAAATGTTGATGAAATTATTTCAAGTCTATCCTTCTCTATATAAGACTATTAAATGGAACAATATTGTTTTGTTTTCTTCTTTTGTTTTTTTCTTATCATAATGGATTTGTAATATTGACAAGAAAAAATATTTAACAGCAAGTATTTATAGAAAAAAAAGTACGACAAATATTATACTGACTCTATTATATATTAACTTACAATTGAAAGAGTCATTGACATTCATCACTAAAACATCAGCTACTCAATTAATTCTCAAATAAAATTATGAACTATGCAAAGAAAAATACAAATAAATATGATGCGAGAGTTAGGAAGTACGAAATAGCTTCTTTTAGCTTTTAGATCAAAGATTACGAACTATGAACACTTTTAGTATGAATATGCAATTTCCTGAATATCAAACAAAAACAAATTATTTATATATAAATACTTGTTGATCAATGAGAACTATAAAAAAAAACAACAACACATTTTTTCAAACATCTTCACCAGAGTGTCTTAGTAAGTAGTTATTATAGTAAGTCACTACTGAATAATAATAGGTATTTCGTAAGTTCTAAATCTCAACGGAAATTAATTAATATGCAAATAGAGAATGTGATGTCTAAATGAATATATCTATATGATGTTTGAGTACGTGTGTCGATGTTTCAAATATTAAATGGTGTCTTCGCTTGTAAGAATAGCAATATGTTCAATTTTTCAAAATCGATCAACAAGATTTTTTTTTTAATAAAATACTATATATTCAAATAATCAGTTGATTATACAAAGAAAATGCCGGTTTAACTATCATATAATTGTTTTCGATTACTTATTATTACTCCGCCAAGTCTTTCAAAAAATTTTTTTCAATTATTCTTTCACAATCATCGAAAGTTATTTATTTCCATTCTTTGTTTTATCTAGTTTTTAATTCTATCCTCGTATTTTTTTTCTTCAAATATTTTCGATAGATAATTTATTCATAAGCTACGGTTTAAATGATCAATCAATAAGCAGTTTAAAATAAAGGAAAGATATAAAAACTGTTTGCAAAATGAAATTTTTTCATTAAACACAGGATGTGTTCCTACACTTTAAGTTCAATTTGAACTGTTTGTTCAGGATATTGTTTGACTGATTAATGACTCATGACAAGTTTCAAATAAATGTTTATTTTGAAAAAAAAATTTTCATCAGTTGATTTCGAAGAATTGAGCATATTCTATTCTTACAAGAGAATACTCAAACATCATATATATGCATTCAGTTAGATATCGCATTTCGTGTATGTATACGAATCAATTTTCGTGGGAGCTTAGAACTTATGCAACATCCTCTTATTGATTCGATTTAGATATTGTCTGCAATGATTTCTTTCATACAAAAAGCTTATTACTTCTAAGCTGCAGATTGCTGAAATGAAAATTGATAGTCATTCACCATTGTTTAGTGCTTTCCATATTGAGCATCATTCATTAATATCAAAAAGTCTTGTCCGAAAAATCATATACTAGCTAAGTAAATTAAACATATAACATATATCATTTGTTTTGAACAATTTGAAGTAAACGTCCAAACAGTTTCTCCTTTTATTTCTTTGGTCTGTCTATTTTTTTCATGTCAATATTATGATAAAAATAGAATAAAGTCTTAATCTTGAAAGAAAATTCAACAAGCCAGTAAAATCATTTTAATATGAATATAATAAAAGTTCTTTAATATAGACATTCAAAACTCTTCATTAAACAGAAGTGCTTTATTCTTACGTGTGTCAGTGGGAATTTACAATGCAAAAATTTTAATGTAGATTAAACATTTATGAATTGCATATTGATGATATATAGAAGAAAAAAACCTGTTTTTTTTTTTGTTAAAGGACATTTTGAATGGATCTAACAGACAAATATATAGTTTACAATTTTAGGATAAAAAAAAGAAAAGTGGAACAATGTTCAGTAATTCTGAAGTAGAACAAAAAAAGACTATTCGACCTCAGCTAGATTAATTGCAATTGAAAATAGATGACAGGCAAGTAATGATAAAATGTGTTGATGATATCTCCAGATTACATCTAAGTGTATTGAATATTTATTCTAAAATCTTTCTCTAATTCATAATTTTTAAATGTCATTCTTGAAATTAATTCCATTGTATCTGTTTGCTAGCTATAGATATAATCTTGATGTTAACGACAAAAAAAAATACACAGATCAGATGATCTAATTGAGGTCAGGGATGTCTCAAGGTTGCCAAGATTGATGACTCAAAAGACTAATTGAAAGAACGAAAATTTTTCAACATTGGCAGATCGACTCTGATCTGAAGTATCGATTTGTAAAATCTATTTGAACAATTTTCAAAAATTAAATTCTCTCGACACTCTTAGTGTTATTGATATAATTATGTATAAAGATTTTCGAAAGAAAAAAAATGCAAGTTGAGATTTTAATAGTTAAAATCCAAATGTCATATATTTTTTGACATGTATATTTAGTGAATAGAGTTCGCTAATAAATGGTTGCATTTTAAAGAAAAATTCTGATTAGTTCTTTTCATTATTCAATCATTTTCATGTTTTTGATTACTATGTATCTGATATTTGTTTGTTACTCATCATCATCATCATGTTGTCGTCCAAATTTTAGCAATTGATTTTGTTTTACGTTTGTTTTGATGTGACTTATTTTTTCATTTTCATCTAGAACAAACAATGAGTTCAGATGTGACATCTGGCAATGAAAATGCCAATGATGTATCACCTTTACCTTCCACTCCTACAACGACTTTAGAATATAGTCGTACAGTATCACAAGATTTACGTTATCTTGATGATGCTCTTACTCATGCTATTGATCAATTGACAATATTTAATAGTGAAACAATGTCTGATCTTTCACTTAAATATGAATTAATGCGTAATAACGAAGTAAGATTTGATTTATTTTATTTTAATTATATAATTCTGGTTTTTTTTGTCTAATCTAGAGTCGTGTTATTGGATTTTTTGCTCGCCAATTAATGTTATTACAAATGCAAAGAATCAGTGGACAAAATGGTGGTTTTCACAGTGAATATTCTAAACTAGATCGTTTTTTATCTGTTATTAATCTCAATAAGAAATCTATTGAAGTGAGTTATTTCCTTTTTTTTATCAATCGTATTATTATTTTCTATAGTATATTGTACAACGAATTACTTTTGATGATCTACTAACTAACAAAATACCAACATATGAACAAATTTTATATGATGCTGGAACAACAGAAACTGAACGAAAAGATTTTCATAGTGCACTTACTGCACTTAAAGATTGTCTTGGTATTTAATTTTATTCTTTATAATTTCTTCTTCAAAATTTACCGATTGTTGTTTGTTTTTTTTTCTCATAGATTATTTTTCTAATGGTGGTACAAATGATAATGGACGTTTTTATTGGCATACAGAAATACCAATTACAACTACAGCTCCTCAACATCGTTTGTCAGATACAGGTAAGAAAAAAATCATTATTAATAAATTGATTTGTCTTGATTTTGTTTTTCAAGTTCTTCCAATTTCACCTAATACTGAATCAGTGAGATCAACATCTGTATCTTCTTCAGTTTCAACTGATTTTGGAACTACAATGAATAATCATAATCAAATGACAGTACCATTATCTCCACATACACGACGGAATAATCGTAAGTAGAACAATATTTTCGAATAATCATTTTATTCAAAGAAAAACAAATTCTATATATATAGCATCTCATACACCACCTCCATCTCGTTTAAATCATTTATGTGTAAATGGAAAAGGTAGATGTGAACATCCCAGTAAGAAAAGTTCAGTTGATCCATCAATTTTTACTATGTAAGATAGTTTTCATTTAGTTTTTTTTCCTAAAAAAATTTTGTTTTTTTGTTAAATTAAGTAATACTAATCAACCTCGTAATATAGATCTACAATTACCTAATGAGGGTAATTCGTCTCGTCGAAGTTCATATGGTTCAGATTCAGAAAGTCGTTTAGCATCTGGTAAGTTATGAATTGTATTAAGAAATAAAAAAATAACTAGAACATTATTTCAAACCTTCTTTATATTTAACAATAGCAATTCCGTACTATTATTATTAGACATAATTCTAGTAGAAATTTTCTAGACTTCTTCTATCAAAAACAAAAAAATATCGTAATATTCAATTTCATATTTATTCACAAGATCAGATAAAGATTTCTGAAATAATATACACATGAAAATATCAATATTCTTTATAATACTATCATTGAAAATCTATTTTTTGATTTATATACTCCCGGAAAAAAATAGTTGAAATCCATATTTTAAATAGATTGTCATAGTACTCAGAATTTTCTATGATCTTGCATATCTATGTTTTAGTTCATACTAATGTAATGAAAATCAGCGGTTTACCGATGAAAGTAATTCAGTTTTTGTGACATGGGTATTTTCCATGTTGCAGGCTTGTTCGAACTACCATCAATATAGCGCACATTATATCGAACAGTCTACTGGTGGCTTTTGTACAGTTTGAATCATATGTGTTATGTACTATTGAAATGAATCGAGTGTAATAAAAGCACTTTCATTACTAGATTCTTACGGAGTTTATTTAGTTACAGTCATCAAAATTGGATTTTTCGAAGTTTTCATGGATATAGAATTGTTGCTATAAAAAAAAATAGTAATTTTTTATATTCTGATAGAACATGGAAATCTCTATCATTCTGTATGTTTTTCAGTTATATTGCATTTATTTGTTGCAAAGACAATAGGTAAATATTTATAGGATGATAAAGCATTTCAAGGTCTATCAGAGTGTATATTTACCTTTTTATTTTTTTTGTTAAAAAAAATAATTCTATAGCGATGAATAATTTTAGTCTATTGGCAGTGAAATTGAAGTATATGAAATCAGATCTTTTTAATATTTGTTGTATTCTTACATAGATGCCACTGTCAATAGTATTGCATGTTTAGATGCAAGTATTGTAATTGTCAATACTTTATTTGTTCTAAAGATAAGTTCACCATCAAAGATTTAAAAACTAATTTTGATTAGAGGGACAAATTGAAGTTCATGGAAATCTAGTGATGAGGATACTATCATTACACTTGATTTATTTTACTAGTACATACATAAATATACAGAATGATATAAAATTTCGAATACTTTCAGAATATTTTGTTTTTTTTTAAATGATAATATATTTAGAACACAACTGTTTTTTTTTCGAAAGTATATGTGTATATATATATATGTTTCTTTCAATAGATTATCACATATAACACTAACTATATATATATATATCCATAAAATCGATGATTTCTATTTTATTTCTATAGAATTAGAGCGCAGTATTAAGAATGAAATAAGTTATCATTCTCATCAATTGGCTATACGTAAGGTTGCTATGAAATTCTATAAAAACCCATCATATATTAATTCAGCATCGCCATTATCTATCAAAAAACGACAAAATTTGGATAATTATCAACAGTACAATGAATATGATGAAAATAAAACTTCATTGATAGCAAGAAGAAAATTATGGTCTAAACCTAATTCAAAAGATGGTTAGCAGTACTACATAGGTTTTTGCTCGCTCGGATATGGTTGACCTAAATATGTTTGCTTTTGCTCATAATTCATTAATTGACTACATTGAATTTTTTTGTTTTTTTTTTGATATTTCTTTTACGATATTATGTATTCTTTTTTATTTTTATAGGTTCAGCAACACCTAAATCACCTACAATTCGTTCTCCAACAATGTCAAGTTCACCATTAGGTTCAGCACAAAATAGTGATGCTGAAAATGATACAAAAATACCAGGTAAATTATAAAAGATTTTTTTTTTTCGTTTTCAATTAATTATTTTATTTTTTTTGTTTTCAGAAGCATTCATTCATAATACTCCTTCACCTATTCTTAGACATCGAATGGCACATAAAATTCAACATAAGTTCGTATTACATGTTTTTTATTTTTCTTTATTATGTATTGCTTGTACTCACGCTTTTGCATTCATCATTCTCATAACACTTACATAATCTCGTAATTCTTTTGCTGATCTGTTTCTTTGTTGGTCGAAGTGTTCATTTTGATCATTATTGTTGTCACCGGTGTTTTTTATTATTATTATAATTGGGTGTTGTTCAGTATTGGTGGTTTCTACATATGTGATTGTAACGATATGATAGCGACGACAATTTCTTTTTTTTTCTCTATCTTATTCTCAGGTGGAGTAATTTCATAAAATTATCAACGTGTAATGTATGCTCAAAAAAGATCTTCTTTCTCGGTATCAAATGCAATGTTTGCAAGTAAGAATCTTCATATTTTCATTTCATATACAAATTATTTGATCATTCATTCCCATCGACTTTCGAATATCTTTATTTTTTTCTGCTTTATATACGCTCTTCTAAATGCAAAAAATTTAAAAAACAAACAAAACATTCAAATGAAAACCATTCCGTTGTTTTTTTATATTCCTTTTCTAGGTTTGACAGAACACGTGTTTTCAAATTTTCCTTTTGCGACGTCTGTAGGAGACAAGTGTTTCGAGGAAAAGCATGTCTTCATTGCAAGTAAGAGCCTAGAGACTGCACCTTGCAACTACAAAAAAAACCAGCCAATATAAAAAGAGACTAGCATGATTCTTATTCCTTATTGAATTCGATTGCTGTGTTTTGTTGTTAATTTTTAAACTTTGATTTTTTGTTTTTGTTATATTTCTTTCTACAAGATACAAATGTCACAAAGAGTGTATACCAAATGCTCCACCTAATTGTGGCTTTAGTGAAGGTAAATTGAGACGAGCAATTGATAATACTGATATTCAAAATGCTCTTGGTAAAATTTTACATATATTTATTTGTTTATTTTGTTTCTTAAATATTTTATTTAATCTTCTAGCTAGTTCCAGTCCATTGCCACGTAAATATCCATTTCTATGTAAGTATCTAAAACATTTCACGCAAAACCAAACATACATACCTTTCATTAGACTTTGATTCGTTACAAGGGTTATTTTTCTGAATAAGTTTCTTGAGACTCTACGGCATGAACTACATCTATGATGAAATTTTCAGCAAGATCTGACTCCAAAAAAAAAACTTCTTCTAAAGATCCTTATCTAGAGTAACTTAGCATACATGTAACATATAAAAATTAGCTTTAAGAAAGTTCATTATCTCTAGATATACATGTATTCTAATTTTGCGAAGTCAAATCGCTGACAAATGATTTGATTCATCTATTAGTTTTCTCCTATAGAAAATTTTCTTTTGATAATTTAAGCATGGGATAATACAAGTCCAGCATCGACACCAATATCTGCACCTGATTCACCAGCTACACATCCTCCAATATCTGGTTATCATTTCAATCCATCTATTGGTATTAGTGAATCAATTTATGCTAGTAAGTTTTTAGAATTATTATTACTTTCAATATGAAAATAAAAGCTTGTTTATGAATAAAATAAAAAGTTTGGACTTTAATAAGAATGAATTTTCATTCATGTTTTAGCATGCCTTTCTGATTTTTTCCTTTAGCCCAAAATGATCCGGATAGTTGGGTCGTTATAGACACGACTAACAAAAATATATCAGGTAGGTAATAATAATAATAGAAATTGTATGGTGTTGGGAAATAAAGTCCTTGGTTTTTTTAATATGTTGTCCGTATGTTTTTTGCAAAAAGCAAAAAAAAACGATATGCATGCGATATATTAAGCTTTTTATGTATTTAATTGTTATGAATTAATTTTATTAAAATTGTTTCCATATTTTTTAGAAATTCCGGAATCTCAATCAGATAGTGATACAAAGTAAATTAATACGATGATTTTCTTTTATTTATTTAATATTTAATGTTTAGTTCAACAATTCATACAGATACAGGAACAAATTTAACAGATACAAACGTGACAACACATAGTAAATTAATGAGACAACCATCACATGTAAATATTTATAAAAATTTCTATATTTATTAGAAATTAATTTTAATCTTAGAGTGAACCACCACCATGTCCTAAACGTGAAGATCTTGTTAAATCAAGACTTTTTGATATTAATTCATTTGATGATGAAGAAGTTGATCCAGAAAAACGAAGTATTAACGTAAGTCATGCTTTAAAGATAGAAGTTAAATCAATCGGTTGAGCTGTCGTCACTGATGGCCTCAAGAAATTTTAATATATTTCAATTGCCAACACTCCAGCGACCCAACTACGCCGCCGTCCACACATAAAAATACATCGTAGATTGATCATTTTTCAGGAATGTTATTGTCTGGTTTCTTATCATCACATTCTCTACCATCATTTGCCCCCTGATTCATTTCAATATTTGACAGAACTAGGAAAATATAGGAAAAACGCCAAAAACTTTCAGCCGTCGCCGCTGAGTTCTGAGACTGTCTTAGCCACTGTCGTTGAACTCTAAGACTTTTGTAGGGGCCGTAGCTGTTGGCAAACGAAAAAAGGTACAATAATACAACCACTGCCACCGAATCCTGAGACTTTTGTAGTCATTGCCACTGCCGATTAATGTATCGGCTGAGATCTCTAATTAGGGATATTCAATTAATAAAGCTCAATCGAGAAATAGATTAACAAATTAATGATTCATTCAATTTGATGAATAAGAATATCTTAAGATGTTTGTTTTATAATTTGTCTATTTGAGAGAGTAATGATTTAATACTTGGATTGTATGTCATAAAAGACCAAGGAAAATATTATATGTATTACTAAATACAAATTTCATAATAAAAAAAAAGAAAGCCTATTAATAATCAACTGTTCATATTGTTTCATGTGAATCATTTTAGCTGATTATGATTAAATAAAATAATATTATTTTTAGCTTGCGACTTCACTACAAGATTGGGTTATTATATTTAATAACATAAAAATGATTGAAGAAGTACGACGTTCATCTGGTACATTAATGAAGTAAGAATAATAAGATTTATTTAAAAAAAAAGCAAACATTTCTGCGTGTTTTCTATTAGAGCTCATTGGCATGGTGAAATAGCTGTACGCATAATCAAACCTGATACAAAAATGGACGAAATAAAATTTCTTAATCAATTTAAACATCAAGTTTGTTAACATTCGAAATCTTTACATTGAATAAATATATTTTATTTCATTTTTTAATTTTTATAGGTATTTCGATTACGAAAAGTTCGACATGAGTATTTAAATTTATATACAGGTGTTTGTAGTATGTATTCAATTCATTTCATTTTTTTTGTCTTATATATTGTGAACTCTATATTTAGTCGAAAGTCCAAATCTTGCAATTGTTTCAAAGTATGTTGTTTGTTTGTTTTTGATATTTTAAAATCAGAGAAAAAAATATATTTCTAGTTGGATTCGTGGTTTAAATCTATTTGAAATGATTCATCTTCGTAATGATTCAATTTCACTCAATACAGCTGCACAATATGCTGCTCAAATAGCACAAGCAATGAGTTATTTACATGAAAAATCTATACATCATATGTCATTACGTACAACAAATATATTTGTACAAAATAATCGTATTATTTTAACGGATTATGGTTTAGTACCATTAAGTAAATGTTTTCGAATAATAAATCAACCAGCTATTATTGCACCACGTGGATGGCTTAGTTATTTAGCACCAGAAATTATACGTAAACTTGATCCACGTAATGAACATACACTTTTACAACATACACCTCAAACAGATGTTTATGCATTTGGGTAGAAGAAAGAAATTTTTCTTATTAGGATTGATTATTTTTGTTTTATTTATAGTACGGTTTGGTATGAACTTCTATTTCGAGAATTTCCATTTGCTAAACAACCACCTGAATATATTATTTGGAGAGCAGGAAATTCACTCAAACAACCATTGAGTAGTGTACATATAAGTAAATATGCGAAAGTAAGTATTGAGGAATTCTATTAAAAAAAAAAACATTAAATTTATGCAAGATTAATAATTCTTGTTGCTTGTGATAAATCTAAATATTTGAAAGTTTGAGTAGTTTAACTATAGATTCTAGAATCGATTTTCTCATTCAAAAATCCGAACAGAATTGCTAATTTTATATTTTTGATGTCATTACAATGTTGAATGATCTGATAACTTTCTATATGAATGATAATAAATGAAGTTCTCAATTATATAAAAATATCTTGCCTAATCCAATACATAACACGAACAATATCATTTGAATTTTCTGAAGAGAATGATAAATGTTGTCACTAGTGATTTAAGTTTCTGTTCAATTAGGCTTCATGAGTCAGGTAATATATACTGATTTGCAATCCAGATAGGATCGAAGTGAAACAGCAGGAACTTTCGGCTTGAAGTCTGGTATTTCTTCCTCGGACACAGTCCAACCTCATATTATGCCTATGAGTAAGTCTCTATGCGACTAAGAAAAACTTACAATGATTCGGACCCTATGGTCTACTGATGAAGAATTATAGTCTGTTAAATGAAATTTTTATTTCGAGTAAAGTATTACCGAAAAACTTAAAAGAAAAACTTTTGACGAGAAATTTTGTCTATGGGCAGATTTCATAGCCATTAACCGTTTGAGGACGAGCGTACTTTATAAAGTACACTTTTTTAAGTTTGTTAATTTTTGAATAGCTCGCGAACGCAGAAAATATATGAGATACAGTTTTGTCTATGACATAGGGTGAGACTTCTGTGCATACATCTATATAAGAATTATAACCGAAATATGGTCACCTAGGTGGTAAGCCTAATGAATTTTTGGCACACCATATCTTGGAGGAGTGCGGATAATGTCCTTTTGTGGTCCTCAAAATATTTTGATTTTCCTCGTTCGGATCAAGTTAGAAGTGACTTCTAATGTTATTCCAAGGGTTGATTTTGCAATAGTTCTAGATCGAATTTTGGCCCACATGTATACCCCCCTACATGGATAACGAAAATATCTCTTCGTCATCCTCGTAGAGAAGTGTGGGTATGGCCCAAAAAGGACTTTAAAGATTTTTTGAAAAGTTTTGATGGAAATATCAAAAATACATACTACCCATATTAAATATAAAGTCTCAAAGAAATATAGTCTACTGATTGAGCCAATGATCCTCAAAGGGTTCATAACATATGTATCTATGAAAAACCTTTATTTTTTATCTTTTTTTTCATAGGATATAATTAATCAATGTTGGTCATTTGTACCAGATGATCGACCTGATTTTGCAATGTTATGTAAATCATTAAGTAAAATGCCAGGTAAACGACCATTAGTACGATCTCCATCAACTCCTCTTCAATATAATACTCGACCACATGTTGAAGCACAATTTTAATAAAGAAATCAAATTCTCAATGCATATATATATATATATATGTATATATTGCCATTTGATTTGCATTCCTTTGTTAGAAACAGGGATTTTTACTGCACATAATTCATAACCGCGAACTTGTAAATAATATTTTTTAGCTGTGTGCAATAAAAAAAAGAAAATTCATTTAAAAAAAAAGGAAATTATTGTAATTCGTTTCTCAATTTTATCGTTTTTTTTCTTGTTGAGCTGATAAATATTGTTGTCTTTAACCCTTCCCGCTGTTGTGAATAATAAGTGACAGTTTCTGTTTCCTCCCTTTAGTTGTCTCTACATATACAGGATTCTTGAGATAAACAAAGAGCCATTCTTCCTTGATGTTTGTCTTTTTTTTTCTTTTCTTGTTCTTTAACAATTGTTATTTATATGAACGTATTTAATGAGTAAAACTCATATTTCTTCTGGTCTTTGCGTACAAATCAAATAATATTTTATGTATCTTGTTTTGTTTTCGTATTTATATTTGTTTCTTCCGTTCTATTATTTATTTCAACAATATAAGATCAATGTGATCATTTTAGTAAACAATTGTTCTTATTTATTTATTTTTTTCTTGCTACGAATCACAAAAATTATTAATTAAAAAAAGGGAATTGTGGATAGATCGAAGAGTTAAAAGATGCATTTTGTTGAGAATGAGAAGATATTGAACTCATTGGATTTGTTTGAATTTCATCATCATCATCATATGGACGAAGAACACGTTCAAATAAAAATTCTTTAAAACGTTTTGCATAGAAATCTGTTTCAACAATTGAACGTTCATTTATAACATCACGATTTTCAACTGATTGATATTGGCGTTGCATTAATTTACAAATATCAAATCTATATAAATGATAATTATTATTAATAATAAAATAAAATAAAATAAAAAAACAAAATAAGAAATTATACTTACGTTTGTAGTATATCAATAATACCAAGAAAAAGAAGAAGACGTTCACCTTTTTCATTGATTGCTGGAATACCCCTATAAGATTTTATAAATTGTTTAGATTTTTTCAATAACAACAAGTCATCCTACGAAATTTCTAATTTTTAAAAGTATAGATGATTAATGACAAATCTTACAGACTAAAACATTTTTATTTGTAACTATTTATTTTAGATTTTCAACAACGACTTACTTTCCTAATCATAACAATGATAAAAGGATTTGTTGAGAACATAATTCAAACAATTAGTTTTGAGATAGATAAAATTTTGATTTCTGAATCTACATAGAAAATCTATCACATAAGAAAAACTGCTGAATTCTATTTGATTAAAAGAAACTTAAACTTTATGCTTTGGATTTTTCAATAATACATTACTTTCACAAGAGAGCTATTCCAATTGAAGTCACAAGGACATCTCAGTAAGATTAGAAAAGCCGTAAAATAGCTCGCGTCCATGAGCAATTTCGATTTGAAATTCGGCCTATAGGCAGATCTAATGAGTCTTAGAATTTCAGATGGAATGAATGTTCATTTGTTGAGACATTGAATGTTCAACAAAATAGTCGCTTGTTACAAAAATCGAGTGTACTTCAAAATTCAATATCTCGACAAAGAAACATTCTTTTCGGCTGAAACTTTCAGGATATTCCAAAAATCATTAGATCTATCTATGAGGAAAACTGCAAGTTGAAATTACTTATGAGTATGAATCCTTTTAAACTTTTTCTAGTCTTACCGAGACTTCTATGTGACATCAATTTGAGTAGTTTTCTCATTAGTAACAATTCCATTAAGACGACTGTGACGCATTTGACGATTTATTTTTGATGTGTTGCTGTCTGCTTTCATTTCTTGGTTTTTATTGATTGTTTATGCATAACGTTTTAACCTCCTCTTGCTTCTTTCATCCTTCTTCTATAACTATATATGTCTAGTTCGTTTATCGTTTACCTCTCTTCTTCTCGTGTTTAGATTATTGCACTCCCCAGACTTGTTATTGTCTGTCTTCCCTCTCTCTTGCTTATAAGCAATGCATATTTTAGAATAAAGTACCCGTTAGATGATTAAACTAAAAAATCGTTACGACGATCATAATTCTTCATCCGTAGACTACAGATCTGAGTTCTTCTAAACTTTTTTTAGTCTCACAGAGATAGGGAGCTGCAGTCCTTTCAGACCCAGACCCTGGCCGGGTCCGAGTCCAACCTTTTATTTGTTGTTGGATCTGATTACACATTTTTGTGACTTCGCTGCTCCCCAGATGAGAAATACAGCAACGAGATATAACTGTACGTTGAGTTTTTTTCTGAGATTAGCAAATAAATAGTTGAAACCTTGATCCTTCACTTGTTCATGTACACGAAGGGCGCCAGATATTGATGAAAAAATCTCGGGTTTAGATCTGATAGAACCGGGTCCAGGTCCCCAAAAACGTGGACTCCCATCTTCCTACAGGGAGATCTACTCATACCCATGATGTGAAGTCGAACGGCGTTCGACATTTGGATATGTTTTCTTGTTATTGATTATAAAAACTTACCCAAATTGTCTAGCATATTCTATATCAAATTTCGGAATTTCTTCATAAATGAAACCCAATGCTTCATTTGGTTTTTTTAATCGTAAAAGTGGTCTTGATTCAATAGTATTATTATTTATTTTATTTTCAATTCGTTGTTCCACCATAGAGGCAAGTAATGTATCATGAAGAGCACCCATTAATGCTTCTACACCACCTCCAGGACGTGTCGGTCTAACTGGATTATCCATATTATGTATAACTATTTGATTGAAAAACAAAAATATATAATTAAATAGAGAAAGAAGAAAAAAACCAACAATTATGTTTACCTAAAAGTAATGAATAATCTATAATATTAAGTCTTTCTAAAAATTCTACATCATGTGTAAGCACATCTTTTAAATAATAATAAATATTTTTTGGAATTTTTAAACCTCGTGGATGTATATCACGAAAATCATTATCTTTAAATGTTGCTGATTTTTTTATTCGTTCAGTATAATTTGCATCACGTTTATATGATGAACCTTTAAGATCATATTTTTCATGAATATCAATATTTGTTGGTATTATATTTGAAAATATAACAAAACGCATTGTAAATGAATCAACTGTAATTCCTCTTTGAGATGAAATATATGGAATATAACCATAAACACCACATATTTTTGCAAGAAATGTTTCTGGTCGTTGTTTAATATGTTCAAAATATACAGGAAGAAATTTTTGTTGAATAAATTTTACTTCATAATCACGTGCTGTTTTTATAAGATATGTTGACATTGATGTTAAATAAAATAATGAACCTGAACTAGCTGGATTAATTATTTCTTTAAGTTCACCATCACATATATGTCTTCTTAATATATCTGTATTAATACCATAGATATTCATTAAATCACTAAATGTATTAAGTCCATAAGCTTCAAAATCAAAATCATTTAAAGAATGTGATGGTGTTAAACCACCAATAGCTGGAAATTTTTCTCGTTGAGTAGATGTAGATGATTCTGAAGATTTTCGATATTCTTGATTAAGAAAATAGCCGATTCCTATTAGTCCGAAGAAAAATTTTTTAGATTACTATATCATATTTTCGAGGTAGAAAGATTCATTTAGAAAGACTTTCACGATTGACTATGATAGGTCGACAGGCAATGAAATCTTGACCGAACCTAAGGATGCTTCTATAATCGTCTATATACTTCAAAACCTGCTTGGATAGCTACCTAAATTAGTTGGTTAGTTTCCGAATCGTTCGAGTTCGTTGCATGTCTAATATAACTATTATTAATAGATAGAAACACATAGGCTAGACATCCGGACTTAAGATTTATTCATTCTGATTATGATCTAGTTCCTTGAGACTTCACGATAGTTATTGCAGACTCTTTAGTTTTGTTTCGTTCAATCATCACTAAGCCGGATCAATCGATCCAAATGAAAAAAAATCTCCAATTTTTGTGAAGAATGAAGATCAAGAAAAGTATTTCTTGAGATTTAGATTTTGTTATAATAAGTTTAAAAAAAATAAACAAATTATGTCACCATACCAATTTGAAGTGCATGTCGAATACCATCACATCGCACAACACCAGATGAAAATAATGTTTGTAATAATTTTTGTTTAGCAAGTGCTCCCGTTGTATCCGTCATTGATATAACATGTTCATGAATTGTCGATATCCATGTATCACTTTTCTCCTTGGCAAGTCCAGGAACACGATCAGTTACTTGACGTCGCTCATTACTGTTCGTAAATACTTCTATAGTGTTTGATATACGAGGATCATCTAAAACACCAGCCAACTTGTCTTTTATTGCTCGTCGCATTTTTTTCATCTTCTGATGTCACTATATTTCACATAGAGATCTTGTTAAATAGGAAGTATTTTTTATTGCAATCACTCGAAATGATTCATAAAAAATTGACGACATGCATTGAAGGGCGTTGTTCGCATGACTCTTCAATGGGTCTCTCATCATAAGGGAAAAAAAGGCATGCATGTCATTTATTAACTTTCTTTCTTTCTTTTTTGTCTGGTTCTATCTGTCAGAATGATTCATAAAGGTGCTTTCATAGGTAAATATAAAAAAAGGAAAAGGAGTGAAATATTGGAGGCATTACTTAGGCAACGAACGATGTAATGGTAGAAAGAGAAAAAAAAGTAATTCAAGAGATAAGCTAAAACAAAAAAATCAAGAATGAGTACTAATGATGCAACTCGATTTTTTGATACATCAGGTTGTTTAAATTTATCTCGACCAACAAGTGCTACACGAATAGTATCAGCTAAACAAAATAAACGAATTATGACGCCTTCAATGCCAATACGAGGTCAAATTAAAATTGATTTATATAATTTTGATCATATTGATTTTGTTGATTCAAAATATGTTTTAACAAGTCCACGTTCACTTGAAGCTTGTGCTCGTCTTAATATTAAAGTAGAATTAAACTATTTTTTATTTCAAAAAAATCAATTATGAAATGAGATTTGGTTTTTTTTTCTCTCTCTCTCTCCCGCTAGCCTACAACATTACTTCCAAAAAAATTAATTGATATTTCATCTGATCAAGTACGTTTTTCAACATTAGTTGATGTTCGTGATGAAATGGAAATTGATCGATTAGGTTTGAAAATTATTGTTTGTTTTTTATTATTTAAAACAAAGTATATTTTAGCTAAATTACAATCTTGTCGTGAAGAACGTGAAAAAATTATTCGAGAACAAGCACTTACAAAACCATCATCAATGAAAACACTTGATTCTAGTAAGAATTATAATTTTGAAGAATATAAAAATAAAAAAAAAATTTGTTTTCCTTCAGAACCATCCTATGTCAATGATAGATCAACAATTCGAAGGTTAAATAAAAGAAATTGTAATTCTAATTTTCTTATATTTATTTTACGTATAGAACTTATACAAAAACAAAATCTAATCCTTCCAATACACATCTACATGATTTTAATAATCCATCGAGTACTATATCAAATCGTTTTCAATTAACAACTAGAGAAAAGTCTTTTCAACATGATACAAATTCTCATCGTCCACCAAGACCAACATCATCTACTCGTTCAACTGTAGTTAATTCAAATTTGAAATCATCTGATGGTCTGAATGAGTTACGAACATCATCTTCAGCTAGTTTCTTAGATGATGTTCGACGAATGGTGAATGAATTGACTAATTATTCAAATAGTCATTTATAAAACTACTTCCTTTTTTATTAGGATCAAAGTCTTCAACGTATCGGAACATCAAAACCGAATAAAAACGAAGGATATATGTAAGAAATCAACTATAAAAGACATTCAGATAAAAATTACATTTTTTGACTACTCCCTCCCGCGAGACGGTCTGTTTCCAAAACTTTTAAAGAAAGAATTTAGTAGTTCTAATATACTGAAAAACGACCATAGTTAAGTAGCTGGATGTTATTCGACACGTATCCGCAAAGTACTGTATCCGAACTTTAGTGCTGCCAGCCATGGAATGACTCTGAATACAGCACTAACGATTATTTGTCTCGAATTACCCATTCGATAGCATATTGACTATATTGTGGCATACACCTGCTTTTATGGCTAGTAAGGAAAGATATTGGGCTATTGAACCTGCCGTTAGGTAGCACTCCATACCACAAGGTAGTTGAAAAACAGAGGTATTCTTCTTTCTTCTTAATATACTGCTTTTTGTTTGTGTTAAACGACAGAGATAAATGATTTATTCGTAGATGATGCTCCATAGAATTTTGAGAAGTTGTTGTTTTCGTACAGCTGCTCAAAGCCAATTGAATTTGAAAATTTCGCGAAAAAATACCTAAAACACAGCATAGGAATCATAATAAGTGTCCGAACATTCACATGCGTCTGATTTTCTCATAGAGAACAGCTAGGCGACAAAATCAATTTCCGAAGTCTGAACCTAAGGTGTAGCTGGCATAAAAATTGCTATGGATCTGTCCTTAATTGCACATTGGATTCTGATTATAAGCGAGTAGCCCTCTTGCAGCAACTTCCTCAAAGCACGTAAAATAAGTGAATATTACTAATAACACTCTACAAGTAAAATTCATATTTCAAACTGAAGTTCTAATTATATTCATTATATATTATTTAGTTATTCAGCGTTATATGTTTCCTATATATTATAAGACTTTCGGACTTCCTGAAGTTCTTTCTGCTCCATTACAGCTAAAAAGCTACTCGTAATATACCAAAAACTAACGACTGGTGAATAATGCAATTCTTTCGTCGAATTTTTTCACGAGTTTTATTATTATTTTAATTTAATATCACATAGAGCATGTCACTAAACAACTTAGCTGGATGCGGATTCAAACTCTAATGGAGATACATTTTCCTCAAAATAACTTTCGACACAGATCCGGTCTAATCTTGAATTGAGACTATTTTAATGCGATGAGTACTAGCAAGCAATGAAATAGTCTATAATGATTTAAGTTCTAAGGTCTCCGTCCTACCAAAATCAATTTTTTTTACAGTCCTTCTTAGTTCAACTTGAAATCTTGCACAAATAATGTTCATGATGCTACTAGTTCATTTTGAAAGCTTTAAGTTTTCCCGTTGCTTCTATTATGTGATAAAGTAAATTTTTGTGCTCATATTCATATCTCACGATAGAAGCAACTAAAAAGAGTGAAATTTTTATAACGAAAAAGTCTCATTAAGAAAATTATTTATGCGAAATTTCAAGCCGAAACTCGAAAGTTAACCTTTAAGGTGAGTTTTATCAGAAGGTTCTGTAAAGATTTTATTTCTCTGAAATCTTATGAGTAAAACAGACATGATAAGCACAGATAATCAGCATTAAGTATGAAGCATAATTATTTTTTTTTATACTAGAAATGGACTTGAAAATGCTAAACAAATGATAGAACAACGTGCAACACGAACAGGATTAAACAATGATCTTGAAAACTTAGCATTGGAAAAAAATCAATATGAACTTTTACTTTCACAGTACGTATCTTTTTTTTTCTAAGGAAAAAATCATTTATTGTCATTTGATTTTTACCTTTTTTCTTCTTTTTTTTTTTTGTTTTAGTTATGATCATGAATTAAAAATTCAAAAAGCAAGAGAAAATGCACGTCGAACAGAAAAAGAAAAAGAAGCTGAACGTTTTGAATTATTAATGCATGATTTCTTAGTAAGAAAAACAAAACAAATTATCCCATTCTAATATTTTCGATACTAAATCATATTTTATTTTCGAATAAAAGATTTCAACAAAGATGAACATGTTATACAAGGTAGTAGGATTGAATGAACTTTCCTTAGACCATCTAAGAATTGATCATCTACAAAAAATATGAAAATTTGTATTATACTCTTATATTTATGTATCTTGAATTGCATGATTTAATGAAAAGATCTTTAAAAAAACTTTATAAAAAGTCTTTTTTTTTTTGTATATTTAGGATCAAACAATGGCTGAAGAACGTCGACAAAATGAACTTCGTCGAAAAATGGAAAAACTTCATCATTCACGTCAACTTTATGAAACATTACAAGCAAAAAATCATGAATCGTATTTTATTAAATATGATTGTTTCTTTAGGTTTTTTTCTTTTTTTTTATTTAATTTTAATAGACAAACGGCTGATATACAAAAACGTCGTTTAGAATTACTTAATGAAATAAAACGAAAAGATCGTCGAACAGAACATTTTGTTAAAGATAAACAAGATACTACTAAATTAGTATGAATATTTTTTTTTTGAAATTAATTTTTTATTTTTTTTTATTTCTTAATAGTCTCGAATATTAGCTAAATCATCACAAGATACTCGAGAATATATAAGAGAAACAAATGAAGGTTTTGATCAAAAAGCTAAAAAAGCTGAATTAGCAAGTAGTATTTTAGTTACAAAACCAAAAGTAGTTGTCGATCGACGTCAATTACAATCATCAATTCCAACATAAATCGATTTGTTTTCTTAATGTTAACACGTACTAAAACAGTGAAATGTTCTCATTTTGTCATAGTAGGTATTCATTTGTGTAAAACACATCTGTTTTAATACGCATGTGTTGTTTTTTTATTTACATGATTGCTTTGTTTTTTTGTCTTCTTATATTTGTAGTACAGTTGCAAGTTTTTAAATAAAGATCTAGATATTAAATTATGGAAATAAGATCTTCTAATAATATAATAGTCGAACTAAAATTGAATTATCAAAGAAAGAAAATATTCTCACGATATATCAAAGAAACACTAAAATATACGAGTGAACTTCAACATTATCATATCGTTTTGAGAAAAAAAAAACGAGTGAAAAAAAATTTCCGATTTGAACGATAATAAGTGGTTCATTTTACTGTAATATATGAGACAAGAAAATAATACAGCTTTTCCACATATACATCGAATAACTGCAAAAATATAAGAGTTTTACAAGATTAGTTTAAAAAGTATTTGAAATAATTAGTAGAATAAACTTTATTTTTACATGCCACGATATATAATTGAGAGTTAAAGTGCAATAAATCTCAACTACATAAAACTAATAATATGTTTTATTTTATATATCTGCATAAGATGACTTTGATAAGACATAATTTAGTATCAGTTTGCAGTCATTTTCATAGCAACTAAGATAAGAACTGAACTATTATATAAGTATATTTACTTTAACCTTAATTGTAAAGTATTATGCATGTTATAATATTGCGTAACATATTAACACTGTTTTTTCTTCTTCTTGTGAACCAGAAGTTTTCTCACATTAATATTTTTCATCATAATGAATTGATAAAATGATTAAAATTTCATTTCAAACTGGAAAAGAACATAATTGAAATACCGATCAAGTAAAATGAAAAAATCTCGCATGTCAATCAAATTTTCAAGAATTTATTTCACAGTTTTGATAAACTATAATTAATATAATTTATCTCGTTTTGTTTAACGGATTTATTTCCTACTCACTAGTTTTCATTTAACAGAACGCAAAAATTATTTAAAAAAATTCATGATAAAAAACGTCAATCAGTTTTATGTTCGAAGGGCTTAGACTGTTTTCTCTAATTCTGCTAACTTACGATAAGACAAGTAGACAAAAAGTTTGTTCAATATTGGTCTGTTTGAACGTGAAGAAAAACTATTGAATCGGACTAGAGTTTTGTGCTCTTTTCGAAAATGTGGTCTAAGAAATTTTCTGTTTATTTTTACTTGAGAGTAGTGAGATAATCTTTTCAAATTTAGTAGAGCAGACAGTTAACTATAAAATATGATATCGAGCTACTCTATCGCTTTTATTCAAATGAAGCTGCATTCCATGTAAAACAACCTTTCGTCAGAAAAAATTGACTTTCCAAAAATGTGGCTGATACAAAAAACGATAATTTAGATGCTTTATCAAGAGACAAAACAGAATTCAAACAGTACATTTCTTTGGGGTGAATTTCGTTTCACAAGATGATATATGAATAAAAGTTTCAATATTTAATTTCAAATCTGAATAATGAGAAAATACAAAAAAGTATGAAAAATAATTTCAGATCTTTCAAAGATCTCAGAATAGTAGTCTTACTCCAGTCCTTAATTTGTGTCTTGGAACAGCTTCAACCCAAAGTTATTATAAAAAAACTCATGTATACGTTTTCATTACAGAACTAGTTTCTGTGGAAATTTACATTGATCAAAAGTTTGTACATAAAACTGAGCCATTAGAAACTGTTTCGCATTTTGAATTTGATAGATTTCAATTGAGATACAAAATTGATCAAAATAATATTCTGCACAATCACTATTTTAGACCTTTTGAAACAATTTTGATGATAGTTGTTCAATCTTATTCCAAAAGAAAATTGCATGAGCGACAGAACGTTTTGATTCTAGAATAGGCTCAACATTTTTTTATAAGATTCTCATCTAAAAGTCAAAAATGAGAGAAGATGAGTTTTTGAATTGTATTTAGATAAAATATAGTTAGTGTCTCTTTGAAAGTTTATGTTCATTGAAATACGACCTTCGAAAGAGCGGATTCTGATTTGCTTTACCAAAAAAAAGTTTAATGGCAAAGCAGAAAATTTTTTTACAAAAAAAAGGATGCTAAATTATGAGTTTCTTCACTGTTGAAAATGTTTAATAGGCATGTAACCTTAGTCGTTGGAAGCGAAGGAAAATTTTGGCAAATTCTAATTAATCTGACTCAGATTTTTCGTACAATTCTTCTTTATTTGACATGAATGATCCTCACTTCAATTCATTAACAATGCATAATCCAATATTTTTTCTAAGTCGGCTTGGTTGAGAAAATGTTATTATTGGCCATAGGAAGCAACAAAAAAATGTGATGCACTACTCAAATCTATCAATCTGATATAAGTAGACGTGGTTTATACAATCTAGGGTAGATTCGAGTGTATCTGAGCTCCGCGGCCTACTGTCTATGTGAAATTTTGAATACATATTTGGAAAGATCGAACAACGTCTAATTCTAACCAACTGTCTTTAAGAAGCCGAAAAGGAGTGAATATTTTGTGCTCATACTTTTTGCAACATGAATTAATTAATTAAACAATTAATTTCGAAAATATGAAATCTAATGTTTATTGAATAAAACAGAAAAAAACATATTACGCTATGTGTTTTTGAAGTCAATAGGATGTGTCATGCACATTTTATGTAGTCTACATCATTGATTAGTACGAATAATAAATCATGATGTTCACTCATATAGACACGTAAAATGATTCAAATATAAAGAAAAGAGAAAAACTACTATTTTTTTTCTTGTTCTTTATTATTATCACAATATTTGATCTAACCTTGATATGCATGAGATAGATGTATGAATATCTATAAATACTATAACCATGGATTTTTTTCAGCACATTTTTCGTGCGTGATTCAATCGATTACTAAGTATAGATTTTTTTTGTGCATTAGGTAAGATAATAAATATCGTTTGTAATATTTTTGTTTTTTGTTAAAATATATGGCGTCATCAATCCCACAATTTCAAACATTAATAACGGTAGATTTTGAATTAATTTAAAAATTTATTTTAATTATTGTTTTTTTTTTTTTTTTTGAAGGTTGAAGAATTTCGTAAATTAGTCAATGAACATTTTGAAAGTATAATTCATTTTGTTTTCTTTTTTTTTTTTTTCATTTTCTGTTTTCTTTAGAACAAATTTCTGAAGGTCAACTATATGATGCAAGAGATATTGAACGTTTTAATACAATCGATCTATATACTTTAATGTTTATACAACATGGTCAATTTGGTACAAGTTTTAATCAAGAACAAGCATTACATGTTTTTAATGCGGCAATGAGTTGGAGAAAACGACGTAATGTTTATGGTAAAAAAAAAGAAAAAGATCAATCTTTAATTAAATATAAAAATTTTTTATCTTCGTAGATATTTCTACAGATGAATTTCCTGCTGAATATATTGATCGACAGGTAGTCTATTTTAAAAATAATGATAAATATCATCATCGATTACGTAAATATGAAAATTTTTTTTTTTTTTTTAATTAAATGTTTTTATTTCTTTGATTATTATTACAGTTCATATTATTATTAGTAAGTTTAATAAAGGACGTGAAAATAAAGATACAGTTAAACGTTTTCTAACATATAATTTTGAACAACAAGTTCGAGAATATCCTGGTGAAAAGATTGTTATTCTTTTTGATATGAGTGGAACTGGTATTGGAAATCTGGTAAGTTTTGTTTCTTTCTTTTTATTTAATCGATTTATTATTTGTATATTTAGGATTATGATTTAGTTAAATTTCTTATTGCTAGTATGCAACTCTTATATCCAGGTTTAGTAGGTATATTCGTTTCATTTTTATTTCTATTCATTATATATATATATATATTTCTTTTGTAGCCTATATTCTTCTGTTTAATATGCCATTTCTTTTATCAGGTAAGATTTTTATGTAGGAATTTTATAGGAAATTTTTTTGTTTTCTCATAGCGGCTTGGAAATTAATTCGTACTTGGTTGGCAAGCGAAGCTGGCCAGTTTGTTAAATATGCCAATAATAAATCAATTGGAGATTTTATTCCACCTGATCAATTACCAGTTAAAATGGGCGGTACGGCAGATGATGATAATTAATGATTCTTTTTCAATAATTTTCGACTTTCGTATTAAAAATAACTACATATATATTCACGCTTGTTTAATACATATTTTACTAAAATTAATAAGAAAAATACTTTTTTTTTGTTGGCATAAATAACAACAAGTTTAATTCTAATTATGTTATCATGTCATAGAAGTATTTTTGATATGAAGGAAAGATCAGATAAAAGAAATATTCTATGGAAGACTAATGAGAGAACCTTCTCAGATGTTGCGTTCCAATTTTTTTTTTGACCTATAGATATTAAATAGTATTCTAATGGAAAATTCTAACAAGATTTGAGTTTGACCGAGCTATTGAATGTTTTTCTAGAGGCATCAGATTTCGAATTTTCATCTAAAACTTTGTGCGTATAGGACACTCAACTAGACTAGTTTGTATAACAGAACTTAGAAGTTTCAAACGAAGTTCCTTCGAAATATGAGATTTACTAGGTATAGCTCCTTTTTCATGGATAGTATATACAACATGTATTTTTTGAAAGCTTCATATTTTGAAGAAACTTTAGTCAAAACTTTTGAATTTTTGTGAAACACGGTCTGAAAGGAGTGTTGAAGTGTTTAGGGGTAGAAATTTGCACCTCCCCCTTCCCTCCACGGATCGTGACAGAGAAATTCCATACCCATCACAGACTGTGACAGAGAGCCTCCGGACCCATCATAGACCATGATAGAGAAACCCTAGTACCCATCACAGATCGTGACAGAGAAAGCTCAGTATCTATTACAGAAATAGATAGATCTGTTCTTATATGAAGTACGATTAAATTTCGCTAGAATTTCATGGAAATATGTCAACTGCTTCCTTTTCGTAGCTCCAGAGGAATTAATAAACAATGATTTATTAACGGATTCGAAGATATCGAAGAAAACATATTCGCGTGACTAGTAACAACAGCTGCATCGTGTTTCACATTTTAATCCCACAGAGATTGCGCTAACAGCTTTTTTTATTTGAAATTAAAGTTGTGATGATCAAAATACAAACTCGTATTTATGACGTTTTGTTATCATAATTTTTTCTCCTAGCCATATCAAGAATGTAATCGAAAAATAATTCGGATAAATATTGAGACTTGATGTATTTCAATTTTTATAGGTTTTTCTAATTTTTTTTGTAACCTAATTTTCCTAAGTTTCACTACAAAGATATCGCTTGAATATATCAGAAACAATATTTATACAGGTAACTCGAAGAGCTCTATCCAACCGTGATAAAAAAAAATATTGATTAAAATTTCAGTTGTCAGCACCTTATGATAAATATAAGCAAATAATTCTATTCGAATGGCCCAGAAAAGAATCAAAGAATGTGAATAGAACAAAACAGATGTCAATAAGAACGAAATATATCAAGGCATATAAGATATATGCCATTAACAGTACGACTCTTCATTTTTTAGATCATCGTGACACAAAATAATGCTTTTGACTTATGTGCGACCGACTCCTATAAAGCAGTGGCGTAGCCAGCAGGGGGCCAGGAGGGGCTGAGCCCCCCCTACGGACCTGTGAGCCCCTCCTGACGAAATTTTAGAAAGACATATTCTTTTTATACCAAAATAGATTAGTGTTTACAATTTTACCTTTTAACATATATATTTAATTTTGTGCAACTCATATGTCTTTGAATAAAAGAAAATACAGTAAATGCAAATACAAGTTTTAATGAGGTTTATTAGGTTATGAGTAGTTTATTTCAGCTTTGCAGGAGGCTGCAGTGATTGGTTTTTATTAGAGTAAAGCGATGTCTGTTGTTGTGAAATCAGAATGAAAGTTCATACATCTTAGGTAGGTTGTATTGATCATTTTTAAAAAAATTTAGCTTTTTCTTAATTTATTAAATATTTTATATAAATTATTATTTACAATTATATAAAAATTTAACATAGTAATGGAGAGTAAAATATATAAATGTAAATATAAATATATAACAATATATATTATAACCAACGTTTCGAACGTAATACGTTTTTTTTAGAGCCAAAAAATTTTGTTCTTGAATGAGAATAAATATGTGGTTGAACCTTCTTTTTATTCTTCTTCTTTGCTCTTTTCTTGCCTATTTGATTTTTTATACTGGAATGGACAAAAAAATTATTTTTACAAATTAGTTCTCTTCGGCCATTCCAGTATATACGTTTAAATAGGCAAGAAAAGAGCAAAAAAGAAGAAGGTTCAACCGCATATTTATTCCCATTCAAGAGCAAAATTTTTGTGTACTCAAAAAGTAAGTACACTCTAGAATCGGTCAGTGTGTCCGGCCGAGCGGCCGGCCGTTTACGCGATAACTTTAGAAAGCAGAGTTCAATCATGATGAAATTTTCTACACAGTTTTGTCCCAACAATATCTCGGTTGAGTTCGAAGATGAGAATGAGTGTTAGAGCCATTGGTGAGTTATTGTAAAAATAATTATTTTCCCCTATGCTTTCCTGTGTGAGGATCAACCAGTCCTTGCTTTCGTAAAAGGCTTTCCCGGTCATGGTCACATAAAACCCCAATTATTATATACCATTCGATAGAGAATTTCACGAGCTACAAAATGGTATATAAAACATCAAGAAACAAGGAAGCTAACTCACCTATTGCAAAGATAAATAAACGGAAATCGGTTCTGTTCTTGTCCACGCTCTAATTGATCCACAATTAGAGCTCTATCTTCTGATCGCAAAGGCGATACTCCAGGGTTTTTCGGGATGGAGAACTCGAATTTGTACTCCACTTGCCTCGAAGCTCCATTGATTGAGCACTGACCAATAGAAATCAAGTTATAGGGAAAACGACTTTCATAGAGTAAATCAAGGCGAAGGCCCCGAATACCGACTAATTCAAAGTGAATTAAAACTGAATTAACGAATAAATCGTCTCAAAAAGACGATTTAAGCCCCCCCCCCCCTCAAAAATCGATCTCAGCCCAGGAACGTTCAAATGGGCTGATACTTGGAGCATACGTTGAGGCTGAAGTGATGAGGCTGTGGTAAAATTTTCAGCTTGATACCCTGATGTTTGACAGAGATATGAACCAAACAAGGGTCAAAAATAGCTCATTTGGCAATCCATTTTTCTTTGTCCAGGCTCTTTCAATACATTTAATTTTTTTTTTGTTTGAAAGAGCATCTCAGAATGCAGTGCAGTACAGAGTCCTTTTTTTAAATTCTTACTTTTTTAGTGGGAAAAGGAGATCACAAGTTCAATGACTCAAAAAACGCGCCAAAAATGGGTGTCTGTGTCTGTATATATAATAAAAAACAAACGTAATTTAAAAAAAGGACTCTGTACTGCACTGCATCTTGATGTGCTTTTTCAAACAAAAAAAAATTTAAATATATTGAATGAGCCTGAACAGAGAAAAATGGATTGCGCGGTTCAGAAAGCCTAAGCTGAGAGAAAACGAAAAACATTTTTCGTTTTTTTTCAAAATAAACATATTTTTCAAGAAGAGGTTAACGGAGATCATCAAAAACCTTGTCCGAAATGGGGGTGTCGACTTAAAAACCATATTGTTTCTGAAAGATCTGAAGACGGGCTATCTTTCTATGCAATTATCTCAATTTCGAAATTTTTGCTGAAAACGGACATTTTTTGAGGGGGAAGGGGGGCTTAAATCGAAATAGACCAATCATGTTGCTTAATTCGTTTTATTTTTTTCTGTATGTCCGGGACCAAATAGTTCAAATGTGAGCTGTATTCACCCCCAAATCCTATTGGTTGAGCAGTAGCCAATTGAATTCAAGTGTCAATAGAAAAGGTTTGCCCGGCTAATTTTTACATCCAGATATTCTAGGATGACTGATTTGTCTCATTCACTTTTTGAAGTACACATAACTCTCGGATATAAATCCGAGGTTTCCACATTTATTTCATCTATTGTTGTTATTTCAATTGAAAGAAGATCGAACATCTTTTGCCATTTTATATTTGTTAGCTCAGCTTATATTTTGAGGAAAGAATCGGAATAGACAACAATCAACTCTATATTGGGTTAACAGATAAGTTTCATATACCTAAGATGGGTCGAAAATTTTTGAGGGGCTGAGCCCCCCCTAGCCCAAAATCCTGGCTACGCCACTGCTATAAAGTACTTCATATTATAATTTGATCAATCAAATATTCAAAAGTTGGTCGTTGATAAAAATTGCGATGTATTTTTTGTTTTACTTACAGTAGATTCTTTTGCGCATTATCTATCATAGATCTATTTAGTTCAATACTGTTTGTACAAGTATTTTAACGAAGTCTTTTAGTTGATGTATAATCTCTAGACACGGGGTTAGAGAACGATAAATTTTAACAATGAGAGATCCAATTTCTCAAAGTTGAAGGGAAATCGAACCAACAAATAGTGGCGAAGTCAGGGATGACTAGGAAGAACTCAGTCCTCCAGAAAGATTTTTGACACATGCATTTTATTCGCCAGGAGAAACTCAAAAGTCCTTAAGGAGAGGGTGACTGAGCCTGAAATTCTGGCTCCGCCACTACCAAAAAGTATCTCTCGATACTGAGCATCAAGTTGTGTCGAGAAAATAAAAAAGAACTCACAGATGATTACGCATCGTAAATAATTTTTATTATTTGATAAATGTTCTTATATTTTCTGTTATATTTTCAATAAAATACAGACCATAGAATAGTTGTTATTTTTTCATTCGAAATCAATTCATTAAATACATGTAAAGAAAAACAAATCTTAATTAAGTTTAGTAGAAACCATGGAGAAACGACATTTGTTAATAGAAGAATAAAATCAAATGCAAAAAAGTACAAAATCATCTTTAATTCGACAAGATGAATCTTCATCATTATTGAATACGTTCATTATTAATAATCAACAAGATATATCTGCTAAGAATTTTATTCAGTCATGTTCTTATCGTATTGAAAATACTGATCGTAATGCTGTTATTAAGTAAAATAAATCATATAGATATTAATCGAATATTTATTTTTCTTTGTCTTTTATTAGACGTCAAGATATGGAAGCTTGTTTAAAACGTTTATCGACTAGAGATGATGTTCATGGTGTAATTGTAGCAACTATTGATGGTCGTATACTTTATGAATGTGAAGCTTTAAAAAACTGGATTCCTGTTTTAGCACCATTATGTTTATTTGCTCGTCATCTTGTTCGTAATAATGATCCTAATGATAATATTCAAGCACTTCGTTTAAGAACAAAAAATTATGAACTATTAATTACAATTCATAATGAACAATTATTAATTGTTATGCAAATGTTATCTATTAGTAATAACAAAGATGTTAATATTAATAATATGAATGAAGAAGATTGGGACACATTTTTAAAGAGAATACAACAAAAGAAAATAGAAAATGAAGAGTGAACTAATAGTACATGTATGAGTGTTTTTGTGATTATACTAGTAAATACCAGTATATCAGAATATATATTAAGACAGACCAATACAAGTTGTACCCATTTTTGCGCATATCTGTAAGGCAGCATCCTCTTGAATAAAATTTAAAGTAAAAGCGCATTGATAAAACTATAGGCAAATTCACTAACATTAATATAACAAATCTTCTTTCAAATTGAAATGACTGATGTTGACAGAGTTTACTTTTCTTGGAAATTCAATCATGTAGTTTTATTCATAACGATACCTATCATGAATGATATATCGCGCTTATTTTGATGTGCAAATTGAAATAATTAGATTGTGCTTAAGTTATACTTATCTATCGTGGATATAGTAGGATTTAAGAAAAAATACTCCGAATCATTTATATACGTAACGATATTCGGTAAAACAAATTTTGAATAAAAATGTTTAACAGATTAGACATTCAACATCATAATGTAGAATGTATTATTCATTCAATCATAGACATATCATTGCCAATCTTTCATACTATTTGACAATGATAAATCAACAATTAAAGAATTTAACATTGACGATGGCAATTATAAACCATGACGTGCTCGTATTCAAACATATCATTTTTGGTTTAAAATTTGTTCGTTTTAAAGTTTGTTGGTATAGCATATATATTTTAATTACTTGCATCCGATATTGTTGTTAATAATGCACAATTTATCTTGAAACAAAAATACATTCTGGAAAAGATCTAATTATCACCGACGTATTATCTAATTTCACATGATTGTGAAAGTTTCGTATTTTAGTGTAAAATTCGAAAATGTTATAGTGAATAAGTTGTAAAAAAAATGGCGCATCGGATAGATTCAAGAATGGCTACCTTTCTAGAAAGTATAGGTTTCTATTTAAGTATTAAATAAATTTAGTTTGGTATTGGTCAAAACATGTTCAGGGAAACAGTTGAATCATTTTAAGATTTTCTGAAAAATAAATCCTATTCAATATTTTTAGTTAAAAGTATTGAAAATGCTTTTAATAAAGATGGGAGCCATTGGTCGAAAGATGTTATGTTGAAAATTACTAAAGTAGTAATATTTACTATTTATTTTTTTACAGTCAGTATATACTATCTGTAAAAAAATGAATAGTAAATGTTACTATTTTAGTAATTTTCAACCAAATAAGTATCGACGAATAATTATTCAACCAGCAACTACCTCCTCCTTTAAATGTTGTTATTATTGAGTTATTAAAGTGATTAGTTCAATATTATTAATATAAACATAGCCAACTAATGACATGTTAAAAAATTTTGAAAGAAAACATTAAAAAATCTTATGAAAAATTTCACAATTGGTATTTTCTCACGTGTCATTGAAGCATTGTTGTTCGTTATTACATTTAGTGGTAACACATCTTTGTGACTCATAATTGGTTTAATTATCGGTGTTACTATAGGCAACATTTTCTCAGTCATTTTTGCACTTGACCCAACATTACAATTACAGAATGTTAGGTCATAAAATATCCAACAGATAGATTATCACGCCTTAACTGTATGATATAATACTGAAATTTGATCTTTTCTTTTTCTTTTTAAAGTATATTGTATTTACTCACACCCTTTCACTTGCTTTGCTCTTTGAAATAAGCAAAAGGTGTTCTATTTTCACATGAGTCAGTTTTAAATTTTTTATATTCTCAAACCACACGTTGTTTTGTAAGCATTTCTTTTAACTTACGAAGGAAAAAAAAATTTTCAGTGAGAGTATAAAATGGTGAATGTGTTTTAGATTTCATTCATTATATCATATGTCTAGTTGAATGTTAATTTCGAAACATAAAACTAAACCCATTCGTAAAACTTGGAAAAATGTAAGTTTATATTATGATTACATTTAATAATGAAAAATTGTTTTTTTTTTCTTTTTGTATAGCAACCTGCATCATCTCTTGGCAAAGCTGTTCGCAAAGATTGATTTATATTTGTAACACTAAGTTTTAAAATTCGATATTCAATTTTTCATAATTTCATTTATCAATATCATCTTTTGAAATTTCTGTTTCACTGGTCATGTCTGACACTAGTTCCAGTTTCAAGTAAATTAGATTTCTTATATATTATATATCGATTATAAATATTTCTTAATTTTTAAATAGAGATAACGATTCGAGTAGTCATTCATCGTCTACTATCGATACAAATGAGTTCTCGCCATTGTCTGGATGGAAAATACATTATAGAATAATGCCCAAATCTGAACCGAAAGGTATCTGGGATGGATATCAGACACGAGAAGAATTTTTAATGATGCATCTTCGTTAAATAATTCTGAAGAGAATTCATTGATCAAGTGCAATAATAATGAACTGCACTCGTCTTTTTTTTTCCTTCTTATCATTAAATTTACTTTTCATATTATTTTAGTCTGCTTCATTTTTTTTTTTTGTCTTATGGTTAAAATAAATTATCCATGATTCTAAATTCAATAGTTCTTAAGATAAAGGTATTTACGAATGATACAGATTCATATAATCGAGTCGTTAAAACGTCAAAAGAGTTTTTTTGTTTTTGAATAATACTCTTTATCGTCTAGAATAAATAATTTACTTTTGCACAACTAATCATAAAATATTGCGAACAAAAAAAAGTGCTCTTAACATGATATACGTATGTCATATGATTATTTTCAATAAATAGTCAGTCGATAAATGTATGTCAATAGTGTTCTCACGCCATTGAAAGTAAGCTATTCCCTAGATCAAAGATTTTTCTCAAGAGAAAAATAATATCATTTGTTTTTATGTGATCATATATGTAGGCCTGGGATATGTCACGCTGTCATTGTATGATAATAAATACAAAGTATATCTATTATAAGTAAAACTTTTATCATTTTTCGTCTAACATAATCCATTTATTTGGAATTATCACACGATTTTTTTTCTGCGAAGAAAAAACAGCGTTTATTATTATTCTTTCAGTTACTTATGAATATATGCACATCTATTGCTGCCTCTTCTCACATTTGAATGTTTGTTTCAAAAAGTACAACTAAACATATAGGCAGCACAACTAGCGAAGTAATAGGATGCAATTGTTTCTCATGAGAAACAATAAGAAGATTTAATAAGAAGTTATTCTAATTTATTAGCTAAATGTATGGAAAAAAAAAGTTTGAAAACTTCATTACAAGAAAAATATATTACATGTAACAGTACAATTATTGTGAATACAAATAAAACAATTATATTAGATGAAACATCAGTGTTACCTATTTGAGGGTGTGGAATGTTGGTATTGATCTTCTCTGCACTCATCGAATTTATCTTTAGTTTATGTTGAACGTGATTTTGATATTGATATAGATACTAATTTGTATCGAAAAAAAAAATAATCTGAAAATAAATCCATTGATTACTATAAGATTTGAACTGAAATATTTTTCATAATTAACTGTTTATACAAAATGTATTGCTTCTCTTAGCAAGTTTAATTTGTACCATCTATGGCTAAATTTAAGTTTAAATAATTGTCTAAATTCATTACTATTTAGAATTTGATTTTCTTTTTGATACAACAATCTGCTTCATCTCGTAGTAAAGCCAATTATCCTGCATGAAATTGTTTCGAACTTGATGTAAGATTAGATATGAACACCAGTATCAACACTTCTTCATTGGAAGTGATATCTTTTATAGTTATGTAAAATTCACATCAAATCTCATATTGTCACGACTCATGTGTTCTAAAAGTTTATACGAAAATTATTGAGTAACGATCACTTTAACATTTGCCGTCACAATTTTTGATAGTAAAATTAAGATTTTTTTTGTAAAAAATAGAGTTGTCGAACATATAAACGTGCAGAATAGACGAAGTATTAGTGAATTTAAAAAAAAGTAATGAATCTTCAAAAGAGAGATTATTAGATGTCATACAAGATATCTTGAGCTCATTGACACTGCCAGGAAACCATATTGCATGTATTGTGAAACTAGAACCAAAAATTTTCTCTGATCGTGACCGTAACCAAAACTAATTGGTCTCGCTTATCACTACGTAAGATCGTCTTCTTCGATATTAATTATAAATATTACCAGATGGGTTTTGATTAAAATATCATGAAAAAAAATATTTGCATGTGTATTAATAAAACTGATTCGAAAATGACTCATCATAGTTATTCATTCGATTAACAAAATATTCTCTGATGTTAACATATATTCATACATACATTATTCGTTTTATTATTTCTACTGCCCCAAAAATCATTTGTGTATTTGTTCGGATTTTTTTTTCTTTGATATAAAATACGACAGAATTATTCTTTTACTCTTTTTCTATTTCATGCAATTTGAGTGTACTACTATGCCATAAGTTTACCTTTACTATAACACTCATGGCTATGTATTCGGCTGTATTTTTTATATTCTTAGGTTTTATTACTACTATTGATAGTCGAAATCATCTACAAGAACATCGAGTTCGTTACTTATGGGAAAAAATAACAGAAAAATTAATTAATAAATTTAATATTGATGATCGTCGTTTACATCAACATGATATACTTCTTTTTCCTGATATTGGTTTTCAATCATTAAATAATAATAATACATGGAAAGTAATAATACATGGTTGGAAATATGAAAATAATCGATTAAAAGATTGGCTTAAAACTACTACAAGTTTATGGTTACAACGATTAACTCGAAATCTGATTGATCCAAATGATAAATTATATCCTAATGGATCAATTACTGATGCTCGACTTCAACCATTTTTTGTTTCTGATGAATCAAAGAAAATTATTCGAATTACAATTGGTAATAAAGTACAGTTACTTCATACAGATACATATGGTCAATTTTTTGAACAAATTGAAATAACAAATGATGATATACAAAAATTAAAAAATCCACAACAACAAAATGGTAACGTAATTACATATGAAGCTATGAGTGATGATAAAAAGTATTCAACAGGAATTATACGACTTATTGAATCGAGTAAAGGAATTTCAATTATTAGTGATATTGATGATACTATTAAAATTTCGGAAGTATTTGATAAAATACGTCTTCTTGCCAATACATTTATTTTTCCTTTTAAACCTGTACCAGGTAAATATGAAAATTTCTTGAATTTTGAATTATTTTCATTTTATAGGCATGTCTGATTTATATCAACAATGGCAAATAAAAAATAAAAATTGTACCTTTCATTATTTGTCAAATATGCCTGATCAATTATATACATTAACACAAGAATTTATCAATAGCAATAATTTTCCTGATGGATCATTTCATATGCGACATTTTGGTTGGGCAATAGCATCCTTATTTGATTTTCTTCATTCTCAATCAGCAGTTAATCATAAAATAAGTTATTTACGTTTTTTTTTATTAAATACAATACGTGATTTTGTTTTAATTGGTGATAGTGGAGAACGTGATCCAGAAATTTATGGAGCAATTACACGAGAATATCCTGAACGTATACGTGCTATATTTATACGAGCAGTTAATGATGAATCATTTGATGATCAACGTTTTCGAGATGCTTTTGAAGGTATACCAAAAGAAAAATGGCTTATATTCAATGATCCAAAACAAATACCTATCGATTTATCATGAGCACCAAGAGCAATAGTTCAATAGAAAACAATTAATCATATCTGAGTTTTTTTTTAAGCATTAGTTATTAAAAAAAAACTATGCAGTGTATCGGTTTCTATGAACAATATAAAATAATAGAAAGTTAACAATGTAGGTCTATACATTTCTCATATGTTGTTTTCAGTATGTCTCAGAGTCGTCAGCTTGATAGGCCAAAGTTGTTAGTCTAACTCATATGTTTCGAAAATCAAATGCTGATACGTCGCCTAATTACTCCAAAATGCTTTGGCAAATTCAATCGATTACAGCAATAAATGCTTGAATCGAATGTCAATTTAGTATTGTCAAACATTCATTGACTAACAAAAGAACATGTTTAAATTAAAGATAATGGAATAGTAAATTTTTTGTTCACACTATTGGGAAAATTGATTGTTAAATGTAAATGACCTTGCCTTTTCTTATAAGTATTACTTATTCAGCTATCCGGATATTTGCCAATAACTTTACGCTTTCACATGTTTGACGGACAAGTAGTGCGCTTTATTGGCTTCGAAGGAAAGATCACTCACTGACACGATACCATCATTTTCTCATCTTGTCAGTGGTCTTGTTGGCAAAGAAAAAAAAAACAGAAATCTTTGATTCCGACTTGGCAATTCTATTTGCCAAGTTCATTATCAGATTATGCATAGGCAGCTGTCTTTATCTTTTTATTACTTGATCTTATCTTGTCATTTTATTGTTTCCAAGCATTGTATGTACCGAGTTTGAGTAGCTCGGACTCGGTCAGACTCGGACACATACTCTAGTCTAAAGTATGTAACTTGATATATTATTTTCGTTGCAAAAATGCTTTCTTCGCATAATCTTTTCTAACTGATTAATGTTTCTTAAAAATAAAGAAATATTCAAAGAGAAAACAGCTAGTCACTATGTTGAAAACTCAACATATACTTCTGTCGCTGACGTATAAAAACTACTGTATATGTAAATAGAATCTTGAACTATACTTACTTTGAATACGCCTATTATTGTATAAAAATGAATTTCAAGTACAAACAACTGAACGATATTAACGCATAACAAAAAAAGAACAATAAATAAAATACTTATGAGAAGACAAAATTTAGAAAACTGAAGCGAAGATAAATTGAGACAAATCGAGCTGCTCGGCATAGTGCTGTTCTCATTATCATGATTACATTTTTTTCGATTATGCGAAATAGACGTGATATGATCAAAAACGCTATGCACCAATTGAAAGCTTTCTTGTACGAAAAACATTTATGATGTTTGTCTGTTTGTTTTAATTTTCTATTATCGTAGAAGAATTTATTATTATCTCATCTTAATATAAAAAAATTAAGGGATGACAACTGAAACTAGAATTATACATTAATGTAACATAATACAGTGAAACGTTTTCGAAAAATTGGAAACATCAATTAACTTGATTTGACATGCATATCATGCCAGAAATACGGTGACGTGTTGACAGCTCCGGTACGTTTAATACCAACATACATCTTCGATGATAAATAAATCAAAAAACTAAATCAACAATAATGAAAATCAAATTATTGACGTCATTGATAAATATTTCAATGATAATTTAAAATCATTCATTTATAACCAAATATTAGGTAGATGTAAATATATTGACATACGCTTATGTTTTCTTTTTCTCCTTTTAAGAATAATCGCAAAAGTAAAATTGTAGGTCAAATAAATTGAAAAAAATGAATTTGTCATGACATCAACTATATTGAAATAGTAATAATGATATAGATAAAAGAGAATATATAAATTTGTTTGAAACCAATAAAAAAAATAATTCAGTATCATATAATGGAAATTTATTCATCAATAAGAGATCCAAGTAATGTTGTTCATCGATGGGTTTTTGATTTTGAATTGTTATTATTTAATGAACAAAATTTTTTATCAATCGAAAATTTTATGTACAATTGGTGGTGGTTAAGTATTCCATTTGCATTATTTTATATTATTGCTATATTTATTGGTCAAATATGGATGAAGAAAACAAATAAAAAATTTGAATTAAGAAAAGCATTAATTATTTGGAATGTTTTTCTTGCTGTATTTAGTTTTTGTGGTGCATGTCGATGTGTACCTGAACTTTTATATTCATTGAATAAACATGGATTTTACCATTCATTATGTAATCCAATATTGAAAAAAGGTGTAACAGGATTATGGTAAATTATTGATTTATTTTTTATAAAATTATTTATCTCTGTATTTTAGGGTATGGTTATTTATTATTTCAAAAGCACCTGAAACAATTGATACATTATTTATTGTGTTACGAAGACAACAATTAATATTTCTACATTGGTTTCATCATGCTTCAGTACTTATTTATTGTTTCTATAGGTAAATTTCGAAATTCTAATATTATAAGTTTCATATTTAAAATTTAATCTATTCTTCTTTGATTGAAAGAAATAAACTATATTTTTCTATTATATGTTTAAGTTATGGACTATTTGCACCGAGTGGTCGTTGGTTTACATCGATGAATCTATGTGTTCATACAATAATGTATAGTTATTTTGCATTACGAGCTGCTCGTTTTCGAGTTCCTCAATTTATTCAACAGTCTATTACAGTTCTTCAACTTATTCAAATGCTTATCGGTTGTATAGTTAATATTGCTGTATACAAATATAAACAAGATGGATATTATTGTATGACGTCGAATAGTAATATAATAGTTTCACTTGTACTTTATATTATTTATCTAATTCTTTTCGCACATTTTTTTTATTTAAGTTATTTACAAAAGGGAATGCATAAAAATATGAAAGAACGTATAGAATAATTTTGAATTTTACGTTTTGTCATTCTTCAATAAAATTCATATGATATTCAATGAAAATTTGTAGATAGTAATAAACAAAGAATAATAATTGTTTAGGAACTAAGACAATGTGACAGAATTAAATGTTCTTTAATTTTCATTTTGATCCAAGAATTTTGGATCATTGTGAGTTCAATTTCTGAGGAAAGTTCTGCATTTCTATTTATTCTCAACTTGTTTCAAATTCTATATTTTAGAATAATATCTCATTAAAATTAAAAATATAAAATCAATTTGAATTGAATTCAAGACAAAAGAATATCACTGATGGTATTATTAAGTTTTAAACGTACATTAATGTATAGAAGGTGTGTGGCAATTGTTTGTCATGGATCTAAATTTCAGTTAAATATTTACCTAAATAATACTGCATTAAGAATTTGTATTTTACAAACCAATCTTATACTGCCTTTTTTCCAAAATCAACCACAATCAATTGACTAATCGGTAGAATCATTGCTTGACGATTGTGCAATATTGAAAAAATGTAATGTTTTAAGACTATGATAGTGAATTGATAGTATGTTAAGGTTAAGGTAAACAACATGTAATCTAGGAAATATGATAAATAACTGAAAAAAAACAAAAAAGATATCGCGATAAGAAGTTGCGAAATATTTTGTTTCTTGTCTAAGTATTCATGACAACATTGTTTACAAGTCTATTAGATAGAAGAAATCAGAAAAGATCTCATTTTATATAAGTAAGATTCATGAGACCCTTCATGTGCTACTTGTTCTCGTCTAAAATAATGAAAACTCACAAGAATGCTATCTAGAGAATTTTATACTGTTCATCAGAAAAACTCCACACTTTTCTTCGAGTCTTCACTCACACTCTTTGCTTAAGGTAATCATCTCTCTCCAGTTCCGGAACTTCTCAAGAGTACTTCGACCAAAATATTCCGAAACTTTCAGAGCACATAAATCTCAGTGAATACAATAAACGTCCTACTAGACTCATGGTTCTTAGATAATCATCCTTTCCCAAAGATATGAGATATTCAATAACTAAAAATGGTCTAAAGTTGTTTCTCCTTTTCTCTCCATCTCTCTACAGCCCATTGAGCTGAAACTTTTTCTGTAACATCTACAAACAAATTGGGATGGCTACTTTTTTAATCATCAAAAACTATTGAATTGTTAGCTCAGAAGAGCTAAGTTGCTCCAAACTCAATTGAAAAATGATATTTTCTGATGTGTTGCAGTTATTTTAGAAGCAAGAAAAAATCATAAATTTATCGGTGGTATTATATGAGAGAAAAAAACGGGAAAATTTCGAAATTTGTTTCAAGAAAGACGAAAAGCAAATTAACATGTTTCCATTTTGTAACAAATTTCTTCGTTTTTCTTCACATTTGTTTCGAAAGAAAATCTAACTTTCAGTTCCCGAAATGTTTTCTCCATTCAGAAGACGTTTCAGTCTATGTAACAACAAGAAAAATTACAAACGAAAATTCGTAAATTTTCGAATGTGAACGTGGATGTGGATGTAACACTTGTGTTGTTTTGATTTCAAATATGAGTTTTATTTGAAAAAAGACTCTCTAAAAATCCACGCTGTTAAAACAAGTTTTGCCTTCTTCGATATATGAATAAGACAGTACAAGATCGTCTATCGGCATATTTTCTGACTTTCCATTCTCGATATCATCGCAACAGAAAATGATAACTTCCGATGCGTATGTCTAATAAGTAAAAAAAAACGAAAAACTCACAAATAGCTACATAAATACGGTGCGAAGCAATCTCGAAATTCGACAATAAGGTTTCAATTAACATAAGAACAATAAACGATTGCATCTAGATTTGATCTTGTCCTGCCGACAATTTTCATTATTGTTCCTACTCACCAGTTTTAATTATCTCGAAAAAAAGATGTTGTGAAACTTACTGAAGATCAATTAAAACTCATAATTAAATACTCAAAAAATGTTTTTACCATCCAGATCCTATTACAACGAAAAGTACGCAAAGTATAGAGATCGACTACAAAAACATTCTACTTCGGACCATATTAATTAGAAGAATCGTTATATCTATCTAAACAAAAAGTCTGTAAATTCATCATGTAAAAAAATATAATCGTTTTATATAAATTCTTTATTCTAAAGTTTCATATGACGACATCTTTTTACTTGTTTTGATTGGATTCATTTGTCTCTACGAAACACAACGTACACGTATGGATGACACAGACTGACATGGGTGCACATGTACCGAGATTCTTTATTTTATTTTTTCTCGATTCATCGCACTATATTTTAATGCATAGAATAGCAATAAACAATCCTCCATCGTCATGTTTGCGATTTGTATTGATGCACAACGTAGGTGACGAAAAATAAATTGTTAATAGACAGAACGGAGAAGAAATTAAAGAGACGAAAAGAAATTTGTTTTTTTTATTGTTATTTCATGAACCCATAAGAAAAGCAACTTAAAGTACGATGAATATACATTCATCAGTAACTGATACAAATGGTATAACTCATCAATGGGTATTTGATTTTGAACTTATATTTTTTGATCAAGAAAAATTCTTATGGATTGAAGATTTAATGTATAATTGGTGGTGGTTAAGTATTCCATATGCTTTATTATATATTATTGCTATATTTATTGGTCAAACATGGATGAGAAAAAGAGATGAAAAATTTGAATTAAGAAAATTATTAATTATTTGGAATACAATTCTTACAATCTTTAGTTTTTGGGGTGCATGTCGATGTGTACCTGAACTTATTTATACTTTAAATAATTATGGATTTTTATATTCAGTTTGTGATCCGAGTTATAAAAAAGGTATCACTGGACTTTGGTGAGTATAAAAAACAAAAACAAAAAAAGAAAACATAACTTTATTAATTTTTTTTTATTTAGGGCTTGGTTATTTATGGCATCAAAAGTACCTGAAACACTTGATACATTATTTATTGTCTTAAGACGACAACCATTAATATTTCTTCATTGGTATCATCATGCAACAGTACTTGTCTATTGTTTCTACAGGTAAATTACTATTTGTTTATTTACTATCCATTTCAAAAATGTAATGTGCCTAACTGTTTTTTTGAATAACTTTTTATAGAAATATCATAGAGACTTGCAGTTTTCAACATTCAAGAGAGAAGACTCAGGATCATCGAAATTAACAACCTACATAAGCTCGATATCCCTAGCTAGTTCTCTTCGAGAGTTATGAGACCCCCCCCCCCCTATTTTAGCCAATTGACCTGTGATCACCTGAAAAACTAACTATGCAGCAGTAATTCATCATACTGAGTTGAATGGTGATATTTGTCTTTAGGTTCGAACTAATATGACTCTGCTATCTCAATATTTCTGGAATTTCATAATCAACTTCCCTGTAACGAACTGAGCCGACATTTCAGAAATATTGAGATAATAGTGTCAGATCAATTCGAATCGAAAAATACATATCACCATTCGACTCAGCATGGTTAATTATCTACTTTTTCGGGTAAACACAGGTTCATTGACTGAAATCGGGTGTTTAGAAAAAGTCTTATAACTCTCAAATGAAACTAGGAAAGAATGTTGGTGACCGTATGTAAGCCGAAAGGAAAATAGTTTCAGAATATCGTTTTCAAAATACTTCAATGGTTTCGAATCCAAGTTTGTATGAAGTTCCTATCAAAAGACATTATATTTTGAAATGAATAATAGATACCAAAACAAATTTCTATAAATTATTTAAAATTAATCTTTTTCTTTTTTGAAGTTATGGACTATTTGTTTCGACTGGTCGTTGGTTTATATCAATGAATTATTGTGTTCATACAATAATGTATGGTTATTTTGCATTACGTGCAGCACGTATTCGTCTACCTCGATTTCTTCAACAATTTGTTACAATATTACAGTTGATTCAAATGATTATCGGTTGTTTTATTAATCTTGCTGTATTTAATTATAAACAACATGGATATTTATGTGCTACATCAGATATTAATATTAAATTATCATTAGCTTTATATGCTTCTTATTTCATACTCTTTGTTCATTTCTTTTATACAAGTTATCTTCAAAAAGATTCAATGAAAAAATCAAATAAGAAAATGTATTAATAGGATGCATTCTTTTTTTGTAATGAAAAAATTTATCAACATGATTGAATCTTAATATTCAATAAATAAAATAAAATATTAAATCTGTTATTGTTGAAGTCGTGATTTTAAACATGTTAGTACTTTATAAACAATTTTGAATAAAAAAAATTTTTGTATAGCGTTTGAGAGTGTAAATTCAGCAGCAGAGGAATTTCGAAAATCAATTAGAAATTTAGATTTATCAACCTCGAAAATCTTTCGTCAAGTTTAATAGTATTACTCTCATTGGTAGCTATCGATGGTCAATCTACAGGGTGTCTGAAAAGTAGATCTCTATTTTAAATTCTTTTTTTCTCTTTAATAAGAACAGATCTTGTGTTACTTTTTTTTTACTACTTTGAAGCATGCTTTATGAGGTTTTGTTTTACATAAGAAAGAATGTTAATGAATTGATTATGTAAGATCAAACACAAATTTCATCTGAAGAATGCTTGAAAAATAACTTCTTATTGTTCAGAGTTTATTACTTTTATACACAGCATATATTGTAATAATTTTTTTCTATTTTGAGGTGTATGTAACAGGTTTACGCGATAATGTCTCAAAAATAGTCGTGACAGTATTGCATTTCAAAGCCATGAAAAAATTATTACAACATATATGCTTTGTATAAAAGTAATCAACAATGAAAAATAAGAAGTTATTTTTCAAGCATTCTTCAGATGAAATTTGCGTTTGATCTTACATAATCAATTCATTAACATTCTTTCTTATGTAAAATAAAAACCTCATAAAGCATGCTTCAAAATAGTAAAAAAAGTAACCCAATATCTATTTTTATTAAAGAGGAAAAAAGAATTTAAAATAGGAATCTACTTTCCAGACACCCTGTATATCTAAATTTTAGTACGTAAAGATGCCTTCCATTTGGTGAAATGTGCTTTCGATTTAACATATGGATTCAAATTAAACGATATTGGAAAATTGATCTTGAACATTTTGAAAGATGAAACTTGAAGTCATCATGTTTATGTATTGACACCCACAAAAAGCTTTTTAAATTTTATTGTAGTTTCATTGAAGAATGTATTTAGTAATATAGAAGTCAGCTTTTCTATACTATTCTCTCTACATTTAAGTGTGACTCATTCGTTCTAATCTAGTAGCAAAAAGTAGATCTAATATCTAAAATTGTTTTCTATATTTTTTGTAAAACTATTTCTTTTCTTAAGTTGAAAAAATTAGAAAAAACCTTAAACAAATCAATAGTCGGAATGTTCAAAGAGTCCTCTCTTACAGGTGTTTGCAAAAAAACTTGCACAAAATTCAATATTTCTTTTAAACGTTTTTCTAGTCGTTAGAAGCAATTAGACAGTTCATTTTTCTACCGATGAATCATCGATAGATATACTATACATTGAGCATATAAAAGCGTGATTTCTTTCCTTTCTGATAAAGAGATACAGGAAAATTTATCGAAAAAGTACCAAAAATCAGTATCGACATCAACAATAAGTCGTTATCTTCGCGAATATAGTTATAGAAATGTTTTACCACATACTACTCATATATTAACAGTTGATTAAAAAAACGACGTATTCAGTAGGCTAAAGATCATAAAGATGATGATTTTACACATACAATATTTACTGATGAAACTTCATTTCAACTTTTTCGAAATACTGTTCGTCGTTGGGCAAAAAATCCTAATAATGAATTAAAAATTGTACTTAAAAATCGTCAAAAATTTTGAAATTTCGATTATAAATAATTTTGTTATGTTCAAGAAAAAGAGATGTTTGTTTAATATTTTTTCTAAACGTAAACAAAGGAGATATGAAATTACACTGTGGTATAGTACTCTTCGGGTGCTATCCACTACAATATAAAACGATTTGAATAAGACTTATTGTTTACGTGTGAGGACGGTTGTGGACATATTGATGAAAATTGTTCTCTTCCTATTGTATTTATTTATAAATTAATTCTTAACGTTTCGAATTGACAAGGTAACTCTTCATCAGAAGAAACTGTACATGACAAGGAAAAAAGATAGTAAAAATTTTTTTATATAATTTTTCTTTCTTTAAATGACACACACAGACATGTATATATATAGAGTTCAAATTCCATTTTCTATATATTCTCTTTTCTCTTTTATGTTGTATAGTCGGAGTTTTATTTTTCTTCTTTAATAGTGGTACGGACAAGACAGTAATAGACTGGTACGAGAAAGGTGAATTTTTCTTCGTCCGTACCACTATTAAAGAAGAAAAATAAAACTCCGACTATACAACATAAAAGAGAAAAGAGAATATATAGAAAATGGAATTTGAACTCTATATATATACATGTCTGTGTGTGTCATTTAAAGAAAGAAAAATTATATAAAAAAATTTTTCTATCTTTTTTCCTTGTCAACTCGAAACGTTAAGAATTAATTTATAAATAAATACAATAGGAAGAGAACAATTTTCATCAATATGAATAAGACTTATATAGGAGATGATATCTGTAAAAGAACTTGTGCAAGTTTTTTTGCAAACACCTGTACGACCGGTATACTGTCGATTTTTAGAAGTACCGCGTCATAGTCGCAGTAGTGCGAACACGAGTGCAACATAGAATACTTCAATGTATTGGTGTTATCATTATATTGGATAGAGATGAGATTGTAGGACTTCAAGGATAAGGTGAGCAATCAAGGTCCTCGGTCAATATACTATAGTTTTATTTCCGTCGTGAATGAATGTCTTAACGTGAAAGAAAAAAAAGGAATTTTTTCCAAGTGTTCACCCATAGATGATTTTTAGAAGTCACTCTGGTTGATTTTTAATAATCGACTGTTGTGTCATTTATTGAAAAAAATCGATGTATTATGTGAATAGAACCATTTTCTTTGCAACAATGAAATAATAGACATGTTTCTTTAATTCCTATAATCATTTTTTGATTTTTACTGCATTTTATTAAAACTTAAAATTATATAGTATAATCAAATAAGATGTTGAACTACTATTGATTGTAAAAACAATAAAATTTTAATTTCACATCTAAATCACTATTTTCTACTCATTTATAAATTTTTTTTAAAATTAATCTTCATAGAAATAAATTATTATCGTTACTAAATACTAATACGTTGAAAATTTTTTTAAGCGGATAAAAGAAGAATATTTATAATAAAATCTTCTTAAACTCCTTCTTGAGCAAGTCTATAATCAAATAAACTTCCACGTTCAATATATGTTTGAAATTGTGTTTCTTCAGAATTTTTTTCTTCTTTATCATTGACTTGCCCATAACCACCACCACCAGGTGTAAGTAAAATAAATGTATCCTAAATTTCAAATAAATCATTTATTCTTTTTGTTTTTATTTTAAATTCAATTTTAACATAACTTACACCAGGTTCCATTGGTACTGAACATTTTCCACCTAAATTTATTATTCGTCCATCAACACGTTTTAATAAATTCTTTCCACATTGACCATTTTCACCACCATTTAATCCATAAGGTTGATATACACGTCGTTCAGTTAATACTGACAATGTCATTGAACGACGAAATAATATTTGTCGATCAACACCATCACCACCACGAAATTTTCCTTGACCACCAGATAATGAACGAAGACAAAATTTTTGTAAAATAACAGGAAAACTTCAATGGAAAATTATCCGAAAAAATAAATAAATAAATAAATATTAATCAAAATTTTTCTTTACCGTTTTTCAAGAATTTCAGGATCAGTTATTCGAGTATTAGTCATATGTGTATGAACACCTGAACGTCCATGCCAATTTGGTCCCTATGAGGAACAAAAAAAAAAATTTTTTTAGTTTCAATCATTTTAAAAAATATAAATTACATACAGCACCAGCTCCACCAGCAACTGTTTCATAATAACTAGTTGCTTTATTATCACCCCAAGTAATATTATTCATACAACCCTAGCAATAATTTATTATTATTCTTTTTTTAAATCATCTCTTTAGTTAAATATTACTTGTGATGCAGCACAAACATTGAATGCACGAAGTATAATATCAACTAAACGTTGACTAGTTAAAACATTTCCACCTATGCAAAAAAAAAAAAGAAAGATTATTACAATCTTATGATATTTCTTTGTACTTACCGACTACTGCAGCATCTTTATGTGGATCAAGAAGTGATCCTGATGGAAGAATAACTTCAATTGGTCTCATACATCCCTTAGGAAAAAACAGAACATTTTTTTTTACAGATTATCAAAAATAAATCTACTTGATTTAATGGTATTTCATGCGCAATCATAGCTCGAAGACAATAAATAATAGCTGAATAACTAATTGAACGTGGTGTATTCCAGTTATACCATACTTGTTCACTTGTACCCGTAAAATCAAATTTAGCTTTAGACTTTATATTCAAAAAAAAGAAAAGCATCAACAACAATTATCTTAAATAGAAAATCTATGTGTTTTCTTCTTACATCTTTTCCATTTATTTCAACACATAAACAAATTTTTGATCCATCATCCATATAATCAACAGCTTGTAATTTAACTTGATCTTGATTTTTATTTTCTTTTCCAGATAAAGAATGTACTACAGTTTTAAGTAAATCTTTCACAGCTGTTTCAGCATTATCCTAAAAATTTTATTAGATATATAGAAAGAACAAAAAAAAATCTCTTTAAACAAACTTGAATATATCCCATGTAAGCTTGAACTAATTTAAGACTGTAAATATCAATCAATTCTTGAACTAATTTAACACCCTAAATGTTAAATATATAGAAAATTATCAATTAAAAAGAAAAAAACAAGCAAATGCTTTTTGATTAGATTACTTTTAAATTAGCAGCTATTTGTGCTTTTAAATCAGCTATATTATGCATTAATGTTCGAGTTCCTGAACAATTTGGTTGTTGTCCTGGTGCATTTAAATGTTCTATGAGTTCTAGAACAAAAAAAAAGCAAGAAAATCAACAAAACATATTGAATTCTGTTCGTACCTTTTTCTTTAAATTGACCTTGTTCAACAATTTTAAATGAAATAAATTGTGCACCTTCTTGAAGTAGAGATGTCGAATGTGGAGGCATCGAACCTGGAGTTAAACCACCGATATCAGCATGATGACCACGACTTGCAACAAAAAATACTGGTTTCTCTTTATCAGATCCATGAAATACCTAATAATAAATTATTCATTCATATTTAAAACAATTTCGAACATTGATCGTACTGGTGTAATGACAGTTAAATCTGGTAAATGACTTCCTAAAATAAATCTATTTAGTAATTACATTCTCAGTTTTCTTTCTCATTACCTCCAGCTGCTGGATGATTAGTCAAAATCACATCTCCATCACGAAGATCTTTGCCAATAGAACGCATCTACAAATTCAGAAATGATAATGTTATGTTGATATACTTGTTTTACTTGATATTGTACGGCTTCTTGCATAGCTCCAAGATGTACTGGTATATGAGGAGCATTTGCAACTAAACCACCATCAGGTCCAAAGACAGCACAACTAAAATCTAAACGTTCTTTGATATTTGTCGAAATAGCAGTTAATTGAAGAACACTAAATACCAAAAAAATAAAATCAATATTCTTTTAATCATTATTATCAACTATATCTTACCGACCACATTGTTCTGCAATACTCATAAAACGATTTTGAAAAATTGATAATCTAATAAGATCAAGTTCAATTGAATCAGTATTCTCTTTCATATGTTTAATATCTATACGAATATCACCACAATCTGTTACTATAGCTTCACAATTTGGTTCAACAACAATTGTACTAGAATTAGAATTGACATGATAGATTTTTCAAAAGAATATTTTCATTTCAAAAATAATATTTACCAACTAGGATCAATAATTATTGCTGGACCAGATATATGATCATTAGCATATAATTCTTCAATAAGATAAACAGGTGTTTCAACAAAACCTTGTTCGAAATAACATTTTACTTTCTATAAAAACAAAAAGAAATTTCCGGAAAGGATAAGATGACCATCCTTCATTTAAAAAATCATCCATATCATTTTGTAGAGTAACTCATGACACATCGAACGATATAAAGAAAGGTGTCTTTTCATTAAAGTTTAATGTTTCTACACCATTCTGTACAAAAATTATGTTTGAAGTTAATTCAATAGAGTTTTTTCGGTCTTCAAAATTGTGCACGTCTAATAATTTTCACAATAATTTTCTTGATACACAAAACCTTAGTATTTTTCTTAGTTTCTGCAATTTTTCGCTTTTATAATGTTTTAAATTCTTTGATACTGCCATCCAGAGCAAAGGCGATGAGCCATGAACTTTCTCATAAGTTGCGTACCATCAAGCTGTATCAATATACTAATTAATTGTATTCTGAATTGAAATGTCTCATAGTCAAATCCGCCAATCAATGACTAACTTATTCGAAATCTAGGGACAGTAAAGTTTCCATCTATTAATAATAAACGTTTCCTACCATATGACTTAACATATATAAACCTTTCCAAAAAACGGCAAACAAATTTTTCGCTTTACCGCTCTTGAAGAAGAGAGTACGGGGATATACAACATGTTTTGCACTCATAAACTACCGACCGTATATTGAATCTAATAAAGCTCTATACTCTAACCACATCCGGCTACTCAGAGTATAAGTTCCTAAAGAGTAAAAAGAAAATAAAAACTAATCGTTGTAATCACCCATTCTCTCACCTTCCTCTCCAGAAGTCTCAAAGCGAAAAATTTATTTGCCATAGTTGAAAGACCCACATGCATGAAATGATAGAGTATAGTGAACTTATTATTAATAGATAGAAACTATTTCCTCCACAATGTATTTTATCGCAAAACTCATACTTTTCTGTCCTTAGATCTCGAATAATTTAGCTATTGATTGTGTGATTTGACTATGTTGCACTTCAATTCAGAGGACAATCAATTAGTATACTTGTAGAGTTTGATGACACACAACTTATGAGAAAACTCCACAGTTGGTTACCTCTGCCTTGAGGAGCAGTATCGAAGAATTAAAAACATCATAGAAGCCAAAAATCGCAGAAAAATTCTAAGACTTTATGTACCAATAAAGCTATTGTGAGAATTATTAGACATACACTATTGAAGATCACATACAACTCTAGTGGATTAACATTAAACAAAATTTTATATAGACTGGTTTGAGAACATACTGAGCCATACTATTCGATCCAGAGCTCCGCGGAATAAGTGCCGCCCTATAGCACACCCATATGCGAAGCTATCTAAACTCGCATGGAGAGCATGCTGTTTCGTCTCATCGCTTAGTAGGCTCCAGAAGGACATTGAATAAATGAATCCATGCTTGCGCAACGCTTTCACATGGCAAAAATAGAAAGAGGCGCGTAAGCATAAGCTATGGCGTGGAACTGCTCCACGGAGTTCTGATTCGGTCATATTACCTATAATATCTCTCAACTAGTAAATGACTTTTCAAATGAAAGATATTCATTTGATCCGAGAGATTCCTTGAAAATTGATTTACCTTTAGTTCTTTGAAAGATTTATCTTTTGGTCGAATATCAATTTTTCTATCAATATTCATTGCTGATTTTGCTAATGCACGAATTCGAATATCATCAACAATAATTGGACGATCCGGAATAATAAAACCAAATTGTTCTTTATATTTTTTAAGAAAAACATCTATAAACGATTCAGCTGAATCTTCATTGCTTGCACACATAAGTGCACAATCAGTTCCTTCGTATCGTAGATTTAAATATTTTTCTACAATTATTGATTTCCTAAAAAAAAATGAAGCAAAATGAATACAATATGAATTATAAATCCTTTATAATCAACTGATCATATCCTTGTTTAACAAGTTCATCTGTTCCATAGTTTGAAAGATGCTTTAATCGATCATTAATATTTGACCAATTATTAGAATCGATTACTTTTCCTGATGGTTCTTGCATTTCATGAACAACATCAGCTAATGCTAAACCCAAAGCTGAAAGAACACCAGCAAAACTATAACACAAAAAAATTAGCATAAACAAAACATCGTTTTAAAACAACTAACCGACTAACATGAACAGTTTTCATGCCTAAAGCATGTGCAATCTAAAAAGAAATATTCTTATAAATTTAAATATAATTTCAACATACTGCACAAGCATGTTGACCACCAGCACCACCAAAACATGCTAAAACATGATCACGAAGATCAAAACCTTTTCCCTAAAAAAAGAAAATTTTTTTATTTTTTTGATAAAAAAAAATCTATTTTAATTCATTTACTTCAGTTAATGCTCGAATAGGACGACTCATACTTTCATTAGCAACATTAATAAAACCCAAAGCTATGTCTTCAATACTTAATGTTTTCTTTCCAGCTTCTTTCAAAAATGAATTTATCTATATAAATAAATTTAATCACCAAATAATAATATAAACAAAAATTTTTACTGTTGTTGCTAATTCTTTAAATTTATTTAACGATGCTTCAGGATCTAATGGTTCATTTCCTTTTGGACCAAATAATGCTGGAAAATGTTCTGCTATTAAACGACCTAAGATTAAATTAGCATCAGTTACAGTTAATGGTCCACCTAAAAAATATTAAAACAAAAATAAATTCATATAAAAATGTCAAAAGAAAAAGGAATACCTTTTTTATAACATGCTGGACCAGGTTGTGCACCAGCTGATTCTGGACCAACTCGAAATAGACCTGAACGAAAATTTAATATACTTCCACCACCAGCAGCTACTGTATTTATATCTAATTGTGGTGCTTGAATAGTTACAGATGCAATTGTACTTTCAAGAACATGTTCAAGTGAACCATCAAATCGACTAACATCAGTTGATGTTCCACCCATATCAAAACCAATAACTGGTTGTGAATTTATATAACTTGTTACTGAATATCCAATCACACCACCTATTGATTTTTTATTATTATTATAAACAATTCGAGAAAGTAAAAACAAAAAAAAAAGCTAATCTACCTGCAGGTCCAGAAAGAATAGCACGTGATCCAGAAAATCTAATAAAATTTTTTTTTTATTTATTTGAAAGAATTATTGGTTTATTCATACTTTTCAACTGATGTTAAACCACCATCTGATTGCATAAACAGAACATTAAGTTCATTAAGTTTATCTTTTTCAAATGCATTTGTAAATGTATCAATATACCGTTTTAAACATGGAGTTAAATAAGCATCCGTACAAGCTATAAGAAAATAAATATTAAAATTACATTAAATTATATTTGGAAATAAAACACAAAACCTGTATGAGCTCTTGGTACATATTTTTGCATAGCAATTATTTGATGTGATAGAGATATATTTGTAAAACCCATATCACGTGCTATTTCACCAACACGTAATTCATGATCAGGAAAACTAATTAATTATTTATATTTAAAGATCTATATTATTTAAATTGAAATTATAACTTACCAATATGAATGAAGAAGTGCAACAGCTATTGATAAAATACCTTTTTCTTTGATTTTACCTAAATCTTTACGTAATTGTTCTTCATCAACTGCTTTCCAAATTTCAATCTATGATATAAAATAATGAATAATCATCAATATATTTAGAGCGGACATATTTTAAATCCTTATAAAAAAACTCAACTATTATTAAAATGACAAAAATTTCTATTAGAACTATTTCTTATGATATATGGCGGTAATAGAGAGATGTGCAGAACTTCCGATCACCGAAATCTAAACTACGAGGAAAAGAGTTGTTCCAATCAGTACTAAATCTTACAGTTAAATATTCTATGATTTTAAACAAATTATCTTATAAATCATTTCAATTAGGACATAATTCAAGGAACAGATGCCACTTGTCATCTCTAATGGTTAACCGTCTATATATATTAGGATATAGAAAAAGTGTCAAAGAATTCATGAACTTGTTTACAGTACGATACAATGATTTGGAATCGTTTAGATTTTGTTTGATTAAGTCGAATCGATGAGAAAAATTTTAGCTATCGAGTTTGGATTTTTGCTGTTAGAAAGAGCATGAGTGAAGATACAAGTCTATCTGAGAATTAAAATATTGAAAAAGTTTTCTAGGAATATTTTTGGAAAATAATTGTCTGATTTGTTTGATTAGGTGTGTTTTCAAGTAAAATTGAAAATTCAATATCTCGTGAAAGGAACATCCTTGTTGGCTAAAACTTTTAGAATATTCTAAAGTAAACATCGAGCTACAATATGGCTAAATTGAAATTGAAAATACAGCTAATCAAGTGAAACAGAGAGTGATTTTCCAAGAAATTCCTGAAAGACTTTTCAAAGATTGTGATTCGCAGGTAGACTTCTATTCCCACTCATGCTCTTTCTAACAGTGGAAACTCGAGTATCAGCATTGTCGAGTTATTTAACAAACAATCGAGTCCATTCTTTTTTGAAATAGATAATACTTTTGTTATGTTTTAAATAATTCAAATACCTTTTCTCCTGTTGTTGTTGTTGTTTGTTGAATTTTTCCTCGTATTTCATCAGTTAATTCACAATCATCACGAAAAATTACAACTCTTTCTTGTACTTCAATTACTTCTTCATAAACAACATCCGATATACGAACTGTCTACATTAGAAAGAAAATCTTCTTTAAAAAAAAACATTCTTACATTAAAATCATACTAAATCAAATAATTTAGGTCGAGATTGACTTCCAATATGAAGTAAATCACGAAAACCATTTGTAACAAGTAAAGCAACACGTTCACCTTTTCGTTCAAGTAATGCATTTGTTGCTACTGTTGTACCCATACGAATCCAATCAATATTAGCTGGATCAAGTGGAAAAGAATCCTAGATAAAAAAAATAAAATAAACAGATTTTTGCAAAATATTGAAATCTATAACTTGTTTTATTAATCGACGTATTGCTTCTGTTGGTGCATCTTTATATTTTTCTGGATCTTCAGATAATAATTTCATTGTAACAATTTTACCATCTGATGTACGAGCAACAACATCAGTAAATGTTCCACCTCGATCAATAGCTACTTGTAGACGTCCCATTATTTAATATTTATATCTAAAATAAAGTTGTTTTGTTTTTTGAATTAACATCTGTAAGGAAGCGAGAGCGTTGCTAAAGTATCTTTCACGTGTGTGATGAGCCATTTCTAACGTGTTTCATATGGTCTATGACGATATGTCGGTCCTATCTGCGAGATTTCCAGAAGTTATTGGACGACTTACATCTTGTATGGCTTCATTGGAAGGCATTCAGTCATAGATCGACCTACTAGTAGAACCCGTAGGGTTCAAAATTTTCGAACCCAAACCCGACAGATTCTACCTACTAGTGTTCGTAGAATGACAAAAACTGTGGCAATAATGTGAACACTGGATATTGCCGTAATTTCATTCTGGGACACTGTATATGTAGGCAATATTATTCGTTAGCGAAATAAAAATACGTATATCTATGAACTCTAGAACTTCTTTTAGCTAATTTTTATGTAACAGGTGTATGTTGAGTTACTGTAGATACTCTGGAAAACTCAATCCTATAGACTTTTATTTCCGCGAGTTATTATTGAAAAACTAGCGTTAGTGATATGACACAAAAAGGAATGCGTTCCTATTTATAAATACTACAAATTCAAACCGAATTTTTGAAAACTAAATATGGCGTTTTGTACAAGACTCTTCAGGGCACAAAATTTCTACGTCAAAGTTTTTCGAAAAATTGAGTTTACTTGTTGTGAGTGAATACGAATATAGAAACGAAAAATTCTCTTGTAACTAATTGAGAAGTTCATAAACCAATACTAAATAGTGCCAAAAGGTTAGTGAGTTATTCACTAATTCTTTTCGAATTAATTAGCTCATTAAGTTTAATTAGGTGTCAACTGAGCGAGTCAATATTTTTATACATATTCCTTGAAAGAGAACTTGTTACAAAAAAAAATAATCCTTACAAAGAACCAAAATGATGATAGTCATATTTCATTTTCATTGGTTTAGCGCATGTAGGAGCTATAGAGCAGATTTTTTTTCCTGTTTTGAGTCATTATAAATAGACTATTGACTATCATACTTTTGGTTATTTTTTACACTGAATTTTATCATAATAATAATGGTAATTGAGCTAGGTAAGATCGAAGTTTTCACTTGTATTCTCTTTGAAAACCATATTTTGTTTAATTAATGTGAATGACTTCCATCATAGAAAAGATCGATGTATATGATAGCCACAGATATATGCATATATTATCAAATTCTACCTCTTCTTGAACTTATGTACAATAGAAAAATTTAGAATGGTTTGGTTTTCGAGGTCTGTGTATTCTTGAGATATCGAAATTTTACTAGATTTTTCAACAAAAACCTGTAGTCCTCTTCAGATCACATGAGAGTTTCGACTTCAAACATTGCATGAACAAAATTCTTAATAAGATTAATTCGTAGGACAAGTTGTAAGTTTTCTAGCATCGTCTATGCTAACATATGAAATATTCGAAATTCTCTCATGTGTAAAAGTAAATTTTATTCATCTTCAGAAAGAAAATACCTAGTTGTACAATCAACTAATATTATTAAGAACTTCATTTATGCAAAGTCGAAAGTTGATTTTTCACGTGATCTGAGAAAGACTACAGGTTTCTGTTGAAAAATTCAATAAAATTTCAATATCTCAAGAATGAAGGCCTGGAAAACCAGACCATGACAAATTTTTCTAGTATTCATCTCGGTCGAAAAGCGATTTGACACCTCGAGATGTTGAATTATTAGTACGTTTGTCGGTAAGACCTTTAATTTGACACCAATATATTCAATAATTTTGAATTAATACAATACATATCCTTTTATTGTCAGTAAAACTCAAAAAAAAACACATCTTTTTCAAAATGTGGAAAATTTCCTACTTCGTTCTTCTTCTTCAGCTTCTAAAAATAATTTTTTCAGATTCAGCATAAAAAACTGATTGTTAAACCGACTCCAGATCCAAAACTTTATTGGAGGTGGCGATTCGAATTGCATCGAGTGCAGCACGTATAGGTCGATTTTGTAAACCAATCTAGTTTTTCTTCGTAAGTAACGACTCGATTTTCTTCATCAAAACAAAGTTTTCATACAATAAGATTATTATATTCAGAATCAGTATGAAAAATTGCATCGATCTATGTATATTTCCAAAATTCTCGTTACCTTTCATTTTTTGTTTTCGTGACAATTTCATGCACCGCATCAGTGCAAAAATTCGAAAAAAAACCGAAATCAACGAAAACAATAAAAGTATACAAAGATCGACGACATTTTTCATGCTGATTCCGAATATGACAGTCTTATTGCATGAAAACTTAGTTTTGATTGAGAAATACAAGCAGAATTCTGGCTATTTTGCCAACAATTTATCTCGACAAAGAAAAGAAAAACGAATACGTAATTTTGTAACTGATGGTATCATGAATCGAATGAGATAAAATATTTGGCCTCCTCATCTAACCAAAAAAAAAGACTAGATAAGTTTACAAAATCTACCTATACGTATCACATTCGGTGAGATTCGAAGCGCCACCATCGAAAGATTTTCGAAGGTTAGAGTCGATTTAATAACTTGTGTAGACTTAGTTTTTAATGTTGAGTCTGAAAAAAATATTTTCAAAAGCTTGCAACAAAAAGAAAGTAGAAAATTTTTCACATTTTGAAAAAGATATGTTTTTTTGAAAACAAAAACCGATCCTCTTCAAGTTTTTCGTGATCAGCAGCTAACACTCTATTGATCTATACGAAACAAATTTTTACTTGAAAGTCGCTTTGCCAGTACTTTATAATAATAAAAAAGCAGAAGTTAACAGAAATTATCAAAAAATTAGGTATAGAACAAAATGGTCAATAAAAAAAAAGTCATTTTGTTTATGAAAGATCAGGCCTCAAGCTATCACTTCAATTTCGATATTTTTTTCTAAAAGAGAAGGCTTAAAATTCAATTTTAATCCTAAAATTACTAACATATTATCATTTATCAAATATAAAAATATCATTAAAAAAAAATTTTTTTTTTTTGGTTTTTAAATTTTTTTCTTTTATTTTTAAAATCACATTATACAACGACATATAAGTAAAATATATATAATAACCATAAAAATTTTTCTTAGTCTGTTTTGCCAGTTGATTCTTTTGCTTTTTCAATAAATGTTTTCTTAACTGGAATATTTTCTCGAAATGCCACAAATAAAAATGCAATTAATACAATATGAACAACAATAACAGCAACAATAGCTGAATATGTATAACTATTACGACTAGATATTTTAAATATACCTTCAAATATATAATCTTTTGCAATAAAAAATGATGCTAATGGTGCAACTGTCATTAATAATGTAAAAAAAAGCATTTTACCAAAAACAATCCATACAACTGATTCATTTGAATTATCTTCATATTGTATTGGTGTTTCAATAGTTTGTGTTGGTTGAATAGCTGATATTCGTTGCATCTAAAATAATGAATAAATAAATTCTTCTCTTATTCAATTTCATTTGGTGGTAGTGTTCATAGAACAAAAAAAAACGAATTACATTATGGATTTATTCACTTTCTTGAAAATATGTCTTAGACATCTCAGCTTAGCTAACTTACTTCTTCATTTGTAACAAAAGAGTATTACTTAAAGTCATTGGAAATGTTGAGCCTAACATTTAATAATATAAAATTCAATGTTTTCTAAGTTTGTATCACTAAGGAAATGTTACTATTTGCGGTTGAACGGTGTTGAAAGAATTCCAATGCAGTGCATGAATCTATCAATCTTATGGAACGAGACACAAATATTTAAGTTTATAAGAACTCAATCTAGAGTAGGCTTCACGAAGTCTATAATGCTTTCGTTCAGTATTCTCGCATTGATATTCATGTAAAAGTTATAGATGTAATAATCAGTTGAGAGGATGGAAGTGTCGTTCCTCAGATTGGCTAACTATTTAATGTTAGCAGCTAGTTGATCCTTCTCTCTAATTGCGAAGTTTATTTCTCAGACATTTTGATTTTAAATTTAAAAAAAAACGACGAATGCAAAGCCTATTTTTATTCATAACAAACTAAATGTTGGTTAATCGAACTTCAATACTTTTGCTTAAACTCATCGAGTTTTATATAATCAGTCTGACGAGGGAATACATATGCAACTGTTAATCGTCAATGAAAATGAGATTTCGCTCATAAATAGATCTCAGGAACCCTTTCTTAGTGACATATAATCGTTTATTTTTTTTGTTTTGTTTTGAATATTCAATATGTCGAGAAAGAATTGCATGGAAACAGATCCTTTTCAGACTTTTTCTAGTCTCGTTTAGTTCTCCTAATAAACAAAGTATCACTTCTATCGGTGATTAACACTTGGATACGTTGATTTGTTAGAAATATGCGAATCAATTTATAATTACACCTTTTGATCCTGATCCAGCAGTAAATTTTGAAAATCGCTTATTGTAATAGAAGCAAGTCCAAGATAATGAATATACTATTTTCCGTTAAAAATAGTTTTCAACATGAATCTAAGCAAATAAAAAATTATTATCAGATTTCTAAAAATACGAACTCCAGAAAATCCCAAACCCTAGTTTTTCAATACTTAGAGCGCTGAAATATAATTTTATTTACACAACATTTAAAGATAGAGTAAACAAGGAGACGTCTCCAAACTCTCTACGACTGAAAAACTAGAGTTTGGGTTTTTCGAAGTTCTTGTCTTTAGGAACTAGATAATAATTTTTATTTTTGGAACTAATTTTCTCTATTCGAAATCTTTCTAACGCTTACGGCAACGGAAAAAAATTGAGAATAAACCTTGTTGAATAATTTTAATATGCATTGTACATATTATTCGATTAAGTAGTCTTGCTCTAGTATAAATAGAAAGTATGGTTGCTTCCTCAAGTTACCAGAGGCGATCGAACGCTACCCCTTGCACAGTTGGTGCACCACGCATGTGAATCATATCTATTCGACAAAAATTTATGCTTATTAGAATTAATGATTCTTTATTTATTAACCAATTGTATATCGAGAAAATTAATTTCAATTTCAAATGAAAAGAAAAATTTGCTCTTTCACTTATGTATAATCTTTTTTGTTCATATAAACTCCTATTATATTATTAAGAAAAAAAACGATTGTAGATGTCGCTCTAAATAGAACGAGATATATGATTTTTTATTTATTATCTTTGATAATTCTTTTTCTATGAAAAAGATATAAACGCATGTGGATTTCGATTGGAAAGAAGAATAAAAGAGAGAGAGAGCACTTCACTCTCACTCCATTTAATAAAAAACATAATAAACTAGTCTTTTTCTCGATTGAAAAAAACAATATGCACACATACAGAGAAAAAAAAAGGTATATCCGACACGTATGAAAGTATATACAAATAACACATAAGATTTCGACGGATAGATACAATTTTTATTTCTTTTAATTCCCTGAATTAGATGATGATGATGCTCTTGATAGAGCTGGAACTTGTATTTGCAAGTCATTAACTGTTGTTCTATCAAGAATTTCATCAGTATTACAATTGTCTGTAGATTTTATTGTTGAAGTAAAATTATCTATTTGAGTTTGATCTATATTTAAAATAGGTGATGAATTAATTGAATTCAAATCTAATGAATATTGTCGTTCAGGTTGAAGAAAATTAAAACAAAGTATTGTATCATCATGTGAACTTGAAATAATTTGAAATTCATCAAATTGTAAACGAAATACACGTCCATTATGTTCGGTTATAGTTTTCAAACAAAGTGATGATGTTTGAGAGCGTGGATCAAGTGCTGCTTGAAGATTCCAAATTTTTATTTTACCTATTTTAAAAGTATGAAAATAAAAAAAAGAAAATCAATCGAATTTTTTTTTTTGAAGTTAATTCATAACATACCATCATAAGCACCCGAAACAATAACTTTTGAATCAAAACGAATACATCGAACTAATTCATCATGCCCTTCAAGTATACGAAGACAAGCACCACATTCAATATCCCATATCTAGAAAACATATTATGATTATGAATTTTGTTAAAAAATTAGTAAAATTTTTTAAATAAATTTTATTCTTTAAATATATGTTATTTGAATAAATACGATTCTCGTAATCATCGGAATACTATGACTGATCATTGAAATATATGCAATTCAGAGTTATCTAATCTCCTGATTTAGTCAAGAGTAGTGTCTTGCAATGGATCTAGGTATGATCTTATACCCAGATCCGACTCGAAAATTAATGAGGTCTTGCGACTCCGTTACAAATACAAGTCAGAAGACCTCAAATTTTTCAATTTTGAATTAATAATAAAACACGTTTTATCTGCTTAAACTCTCTAAAACAAAGATTATCAATTTCAAGAAAATGAACTCTCTGTGAAGACCTTGTGGAAATTTAGATAAAAATAAAAATTCCCACTCTGTATGTATCAAATATTTTCCTTGCAAGAAAATGACCTTAGTTAAGTGCTAAAATCATTAGAGTACAATCTTTACATTGCTGATTTTATCTCACTAAACAGTCAATCAAAATTGGTAATTACTTTATCATCATTTAATGCAGTCATTAAATATTACTTTTCAAAATAAAAAAAGAAAAAAGAAGAAAGGTTTTCAAATCCAACATATTCTTCACATTGTTGAAAGAATATAAAAATAATCAAACAAAAGATGTGTTTTATATTTGTAATGTACATCATAAGTTACGATCTTGTTGATGCAGAAGAGTATAATTAAAATCAATATTCATTACAGTTGTATTGAATTTTATAATAATCTTTTCAATGATTCAGATCTATTGAAACAAAGTCGCTGGAATCGATTTTTTACGTAACACTCATTTTATATTATTTTATCGCATAATGTTAATGAATGACTGCGAAATTACTAATAATAACATAGCGTACACCCGATTATCTTTGTTTTTTCTTATCTATCACTTGGAGGAAAATGTTTTCTGTTTCTAATCGCACAACAGAATATAACAAGCGTTTAAGTGGACAAAAATTTTAATTTCATGATTTGAATAAAAAAAAATCTCCTGATAAGCTTCTGATCTTTTGCAAAAAACAAACTTTTGATTTTTGAAATCTAAATGGGTAACCCTGATGTATAATTTGTCGTAGCTATTCAATTCCTGAAAGTAATCATACAAGAACGACCTCGATTATGATTGAAAAAAATCTTTTTTTTCTTCGTCCTTCATTTTTTATCGATATTCTTTTTTGTTTTATATATAAAATGAAAATATTTTAATACTGTCTAGTCTAATTCAAAGACAAATATGTTTTTAGATACAAAAGCAAAACAAAACATTACGTGACCTCGAAAACAGACAAATAAACAAAATATTTTGCAATTTTTTTTGTTAGAGATAATCACTGATATAGATACAAAAATAGTATCGTCACCTGTAAAATACAAGGTCTATTTGTGTATAAAGAGTAAAAACTCATTAATTTTATTTTATCGTTTTTCCAGAAAGACTGAAGAATAAATAATAAATAGAAATAAACATAATTATTACATGCAGTTCTAATTATTAATTTTTTTTCGTCATTTCCGACCAGACAAGGAATATAGAACCTAAATGTCAAGTTTTATCGATACCTGAGATAATAATAAAAACAAAAACTATGTATCTATCTAGCAAGAGACAAGATAGAAATAAATCATGCTCTGCCAAGAAAAACGAAATCGACATATGTATTATATTCCATATAGAGATTTAATCATAAATGATAAATTGACTTACTCGTATAGTATTATCTGATGAACCACTGATAACAAGTTGATCTCGATATTGTAAACAAGCAATGCCTCGTTTATGTCCCAGAAATGTTCGAACAAATTCACATGTTGTTGTTTTCTAAAAAAAAAAGATTTAATATAATAAAATAAAAAGTTCTTTGTTGTTTTTTTTTTTTACTTACCCAAACTTTAATTGTACGATCACCACTAGCACTAACAATATATTTATTATCAAAATCGACAACATTTACAGCTGCACGATGTCCAACAAGTACACGACGCATAACTATATCAATTGGTGAATTTATTTCCCATACAGCTATTGAACGATCTTTTGAACATGTTATCATCATTTTATCAATAAATCGAAGATGTAATACAGCATCACAATGATGTAAAAGTGTATTAAGTAATTCTCCAGTTTCAATATTCCATATTCGAATTGTTGAATCAGATGAACCAGATATAATCATTTTATCATCATATTGAAGACATAAAACACTACCATTGTGACCTGTAAGAATTTTAATACATTCCAAAGATTTTCTATCCCAAATTTTAATTGTATTATCACGAAGACCACTTATAATTTTTTGATTATCATATTGTAAACAATAAACACCTTTACTATTTCGTGACTGACATTGTATTCTTTCTAATTGATAATTTCCTGTACGCCAATTTGTTTCAAGTTGATTAATATCACGAAGTATTTCAGGATATAAATAACGATAAAATTCATTTCGTTTATGTTGATCTTTATTGATTAATAATTGTCGAAAAAGATATTTATTCCAACCACGACGTTCAGATAAATCATGCCATAATATATCTGAAAGAACTTTACGTTCAATTAATTTTTTCCATAACATACCTAAGAAAATATTGAAAAAAAAACATAGTTAATTATAAATTCTTTATTATTTTTTCTAACCAACCTTCTGATATAACATGATACCATTCTCGACAAACAAGTTCACTTGATTTTAATGATTGATCATCTAAATATTCAAGAATTTTTTCTGACAAATTTTCAAGTCCACATGATGATAAACGTCCAATAAAATCTCGTTGTAACATTGGTGATAAAAATGAATTAATTTGTCCATGTTGATGACTATGCATATTTTGTAATAAATTTCCAACAAATAATAATTGTTCATGATCACTCCATGTTGAAAATGTTGCTAAATATTCTTCACTTTTTTTTTCATAATTAATTGTTAATAATTTTTTTGTTGATGTTGTTGTTCTCATATTAACGGATATACTATCATCGAGATATGAGGAATTATCAACCGAGGTAAAATTCATTGTCAAAGATAATAAAAGAATAATAAGAAAGAAGAATGTATGTCGATTAATACGAACAATTATCTGCAATAAAACAACTAATGAGATAGTAAATAAAAATGATGTAATCAGTACAAAAAAAAAAGAAGAGAAGTCCGCGTAAAACTTTAGTATATATACCTTGATTGGTGTCTTAATTGGTGGTATGTACTTACCTTGTACTTTTTTTTGTCAAAGGTTGAAACAGAAAAAGGAAGAAAAAAGCTCAACGCAGTATATGAAATCAGTGTCAGATTTTTTTTTCTTGTTACACATTACTTTAAGCATGAATATGTCACGTTATGCTTTCGTTTTCTCTCGTAAAAAACAAAATAGGTATTGACATAAAAGGTAAATGAAGAAATATGCAATGAAGCGATGAATATGTTCGTGCTTTAATACTGACCTCAATCACGACATCATTCAAAAAAAACTATATGACAAAAATTTCGTTTTTTTTTTTCTTTAAAGTCAAATACTCTTATGTTAATACACATATATCTGACAGAGAAATACTATAACTATTAATATTAATGTATAAATAAGATAAGATCAAAATAAATACTGTTTTAATACAAAAGTCATCGTTAATGAACAACAGTAAATCAAATAAAAATAATGTAAATATTTACAAATATACATAGGTGCAAAGAAAAAAAACAACGTCATCAGTTGATATTGAAATATAATATTATCCTTTTTTATCTTTGTTCGTCATAAATAATTATCTTATCTCCATATACCAACTGACGAAAAAAAAACCTTAATTTACGAACAAAAACTTATGTACACAAAAACAGGATCAAATATATATATATATATATGTATACATATATACAAACAAAAACCGAAAAAACACCGGTAAATATACTTTTTGTTTTTGTTTTAAAAAGAAAATCATCTCTGATAAATTAACTAAAAGTATTCTTCCAAATGATGTTGTTGGTATTTTACCAGATGTATTATTTACTTGATGATCATCATCAAAAAATGATATTAACTTTTCATTAATTTCTTGTTGATTTGATAATTTAGTTGTTTGTTGTAAATATTGGCAATAGTCTTTATTTATTGTTGATAGAGGAATTGTTCAATTGACATATCATGATTATTTACTGTTAAAAAATCATCATCATATGATTGATTTGATGATGATGCACCGGAACTTGTTGGTGCACTTATTTGACGTTGATATGTTCGAAAATGAGGATAATGATGAGAATTGTGTGATGATAGACGACTTTCTGTACATTCACAACTAGAATTAATATTTAATTATAATAAATTTACAAAAAAAAAACAAACAAACATCAATTATCTTACTCATTAACATGATAACAATAATTATCATCATTCTCACTAAAAAATGACCAAAGGAAATTCATTGCACGATTTGCTGATTGCTTAGATGAAGACGGTGAACGAAATAATCCAAATACTCTGAAATATATATTTTGATACAATCAATTCAAAAAAATAAGAAATAATTATTTCAGTTCTAACAGTTTAATAATGAATAAAGATCTCAATAAGATTCATAGGACTTTGCCAGATTTGATGATCTATCTTGAAACAGGATGCTATATATGTAGTTTTGTAGAGCAATATACGCCGCATCGATTACCATACAAGAAATTAAATTTTGATGTTCTGAAAGTCCATATACTGAAGGAATATATATATAGTACACATAGACATTATGATTCCTAAGATATACCTATACAAATTTTGTTTCTAAACTGAATTGAATACAGTTGTAGATGGTCTTAGGTTTTCTATAATCAATAGTTTTCATTATTGCCTTCTTCATAATTAAAACTGTTTTTTTGTTTTAGATCTGAGTTATTCCTTGGCTACTCGAAATGCCATTATGTTCAATCCAGTGGCACAGAACACGTGAGTATCTATGTGAAACTTTTTCAAAAATTGCATACTATAGAGTTCTATTTGTTTCATAGATAACATCTTTTGGAACAGCAGGGACTCATTGTCCACTTGTAAGGTCATCGCCTAGAATAGTCTATTTTCCTATATAAAGGGGCTGGTATAGCGACGATATTTAAACAATACTCGACGATTCTATACAAATTTATATGCATCAATAATTAACATAGCATTCTTGATGAACTGATATAAACAACTTCTTCATAAACAGAAAAAAATTGCTTGGCCTTCGGATTCCTGGAGAGGATGCGGGAATATAGAAAAATTTATTTTTAAAATGAACACGAGATATTTATAGATTCTTGTAGAGTTTCATGCAAAAACACAAGCCTGGATACTTGAAATAAATATTTGAAAAAGCAATGATAAAAATAGCAGACATCCTTACTACAATCGTATACTCGTACTCTCTCCCTCCAGGAGTCTCGAGATCAAAATTGTTTTTTTACTTATATCAGAGATGTTGTACTGGTTTTTGATACATAAAAATTTGTAATGGAATCATTAAATATTATTAAAATATCGTCAATATACCGGTCCCTTCATATAGGAAAATAGTCTATGCTATAAGATAATCTTGTAGGTTGACAATGAGTCTCTGTTGTTCATAAAGGTCTTATCTGTAAAACATATAGAACTTGATAATATACAATTTTTGAAAAAGTTTCACTTTGATACTCATGTGTTCTGTGCCACTGGATTGAACACAATGAAGTATCAAGTGTTAAGATATAACCTAGATCTGAAACAAAGTACCAGTTTTAAATATGCAGAATGCAAGAATAAAAACTATTGATTATAGGAAATCGAAAAGTACTTACAACTGCATTCAACTCAGTTTAGAAATAAAATTTGTATAAATTTATCTTAGGAATTATAATGTCTATGAGTACCATACGTATTCCTTCAGTATATGGACTCTCAAAACATCAAAATTTGATTTCTTATGTGGTAATCGAAGCGCCGCATATTGCTCTATAAAACTACATACATGATATCCTGATTCAAGACAGATCACTAATTCCGACGGGATCCTTTGTGCTCTCTTACATTCGAAGTATGATTATCTGAATGTTAATTTCGATGGAACATGTTTAAAAGATTTGATATCAATAGCATAAATGAACTTACATAGGCCGACATCGGTATTGATATTAGAAAAATATATGTTAACTGTTTTTTCAGAGAATTCGAAATTTTATATGGAGTAAATAAAATGAAATACTTGCTAATTGACATAATTTTTGAAGTTTAAAATGTTCATTCTATTGTTTTTCATACAATAACTAATTACTATCACTGACGGTAATTATTACGATTTTCTGTCTTCTGCTAGTAGGATGGTGTCTGATCTAGTTCACCCTTAGTTACGCCACGTACTCCTTCGATAGCATGCTGACTACATTGTAATATATACATTACTCTTGTGATTAATTAATATGTATAAGTAGCGCAAGAACTCTACATTAGACCGCCGTTCTGTCTAGAGTTATAGCTAGTCATAGTTTATAGAGAAGATATCTGGCTATGAAACATATCACAAAGTAGCTAAAAGGCAACTGTATCTTTCTCATATCATATTAAAAGACAATAATAAGTGCATACTTTTGTATGAGATAATACACTATCCATTAACTTTGTACTGAAGAGTATAAGATAATAACTAAATATTGACGTTTAGAAACTTAACTTAAAATTGAATAGTTTATCCTACCTTTTCATTGTTGTATATGTAAGATCTAATGGTAATGTGATTGGTAAAGCCAAAAATGAGCCAACTTTATAAAGATTTGATTCTGTAAAATAACGTGCAACAGGATCTTCGACTTTTTGTTTTGCATCAGCAAATACTATGACAAAAGAAAAAAAACACAATTTTTGTTTTATAAAGACAAAAAAAAGTAGAACACTTCTTACCAGCAAAAAGTGGTGTTGGTAAATCTTTTTTTCTTGTAACTTTTTCACAATATGGACTATATGTTATTTGATGATTTTCTTTCTCGGATTCTTCATCTGATGAATATTCATCATTCGCTAATTTATCATCCATATCATGTGATTTTTCATACATTCTACCAACATCATGTAGAACACCACCATTTCTTAATTGTTTTTCTTCTTCGTGAGCTGGTTCTGTATAATCATTACCAAGTACAGATGATATTGTTGCTTTTGCACTTAAACGTGACGATTTTATCATATCTAAATAATTTTTATGAATCGAAAATATGAAAATTAATTTTAAGAGAATTTATACGAGCCCAACGAACAAGTCAAAATTACGATACACTTTTTTCTTACATAAATCGATTCCTAACATTAAACTAGAATTATGAAAAAAAAGACTTTTAGATTCCTGCGATTTCATTTGATGGACTCTGAGAAACGAAAAAAGCTCATCTCCATTGTTCCGATTATATCTCCATCATTTTTCTTCCGTTTTGTTTAAGCAACATCTCATTTGGAAGAGCACATAAAACTAGAAAAAAACATCTCAAATAGGTTTCTGGAAAACTGCGCTTTTATTAAACTAACTTTTTTCGATTGTAAGCAGCCTTTCAATGAATTTTACGCTGTAGAAAACCATTATAAAGATTTAAAGTTTGTGAAAAGACTGAATAATGCGTGGAGCGAGAGGGGGAGCATATTATTCTTGAGGCATAAATTCGTGCTTTTTTGATCTGGTATTTAGCAGATTTACTTAGACAAATGATGAATATTCAGTCGACGTATGTGTATTTCAAATTTTTTTTTTCATCAAAAAATTCACCCCTGGCCCCTCCCCCTCAGGTCTTCCAAGGGAACATTTTTATTTTTTCTTCTATAGTGCATAACATATAGTGTGAGTCATAAATAGTACTACGACAAAAAAATGAAGAATCTCCGCATCGGTTTAATCAAATGAACTAGTTATTTTTTTCCTACTGGTAGAAGTTTATTCAGAGTGTTTTTTTACACGAATAAGGTAAGCAAATACTAATGTAAAGTATTATTGTCGGTATCATAAAAACAATGTTATCTGTTATGGCGTAGAAAAAAATATATGTGTAAATGTTTCATGGATAATTTTCAGTTTTCAAATAAGAAGTCAAAAGAAATTTTATGAATGATTCTATATTGATGTGTATAGAGCAAGGTTTTAAAATTAGTCAATTTTAATGGTGAGATTCATTTCTTATAGATAAGACACATCATTGCAGTTCTTTGGGTATCAAAACACTAACTTTCTTGCAAAAAAACAGTACCCTATATCTGAAAGTTCTCAATCTAAAATTTGCTCTATATACATCAATATAGAATCATTCATAAAATTTCTTTTGACTTCTTCTTATTTGAAAACTGAAAATTATCTATGAAACATTTACACATATATTTTTTCCTACGTCATAACAGATAACATTGTTTTTATGATACCGACAATAATACTTTACATTAGTATTTGCTTACCTTATTCGTGTAAAAACAAAACAACCTTTAAATAAACATCTACTAGTAAGAAAAAAAAAACCATTCGATTAGATCGGCGCGAAGTCACTCTATTTTTTTTTCGTAGTACTATTTATGTCGCACATTATACGTTATGCACTATAGAGACAAAATTAAAATGTTCCTTTGTAAGCTCTAAGAGAGGTCAGGGATGAATTTTTCGATGAAAAAAAAATATTTGAAATACATATAAGTCGACTGAATATTCATTATTTTTCTAAGCAAAATCTGCTAAATATCAATCAAAAAATGACGAATTTATATCTCAGATATAATGTGTCCTGCATTATACGGCCTTTTCAGAAGCTTTAAATCTTTACAATGGTTTTCTACAGCGTAAAATTCTCTACAAGATATACTATATTAAAGTTGCACCTCGATATTGAAAACCGACGATGTAAAAAAAAAGTATATCTTAATTTTGACTATAAAATAGCTCTGTTAAATGAATACTCGATCAACTAGAAAAATTTCTGTTAATACTTCGTGTTTGTAAAAATTTTAAACCATCCATATAACCATGCCAACAAATTTGTTTTAATACTGATAAACTCGGTGGAAATAGAGCATGAGTTAAACGATATAAATTTTCTTGTGTACAAGAAATATCTGTTCCTAACGAAATGAAAAAGATTTTGTATCAAAAGTACAAAAAAAAAACAAATGAATTTTTACCTTGAAAATCAACACTATAGAAAGATCCTGATTCATCACGTGGACAAATATCACTTTCACCAGCAAATGGAGATATTACAATAGTATCTTCATCAATAACTGGATTATTATTTGTTAAACCACCATCCCAATAATACTAATAAAATAAAATAAAATCAATTAACTTTCTTAGAGCAAAAAAAAAATTTATTTATTTATTTATTTTTACTTCTCCACGAAATTTATTTGGAATTATTCCTGACCAATATGGTACAAAACTTGAACAAATAAGTACTTGAATAAGTTCTTCACGATTATGATATTGATTAATAATAAAATTTTTATTATCTTTCCAACGTGTTAATGATATATATAAACGTCCTGAACATATTTCATGTGCATTTGGTGGTAAAATTCTTCGTAAGCCATTACGTATAATATCAACTATACTAAATGTTGGATGTAATGGTCCTAATGCAGGAGTTCTTGCACGTATAGCTATTTCAAGTGCATCACTACACATTTGTCCAAGGCAACAACCACTCATTGCACATGCAGCAACAAGTGCACCTGCTGAAGAACCAGCCATTTTATTATTAAGAACTTCTGGTACATGTTCTTTAAATGCACATATAGCACCAATATGATAAACACCTAAAAATCCACAACCAGATAATGATAAATTAATTGGAGATGAATTTGATTTCAAAACCATTCAAATATGTAAGCAATTGGTTTTTTTTTGTTTTTAATGAAAAAACTAAATCTACAAATAAAATAAAAACGAAGAATATTTTCATACAAAAAAAAAAATATCAAATGTAAGTGTTATCTTTAAAATACTCTTATGAATATACTATATGATCTTTATATACGGAGAAGGTGTGTGCTGGAGATATGGGTTTGCGCCATGTTTCAAAGATAAATAAAACGTCAATGACAGCATAATGGTAGGAAAGAAAAGTCATGTGAATGACCCATATTAGACAAATATAAGTACATCATTCTTGCCCTTAAATAAAACAAGACTAACGACAGACTTCATAAACTTTGTCTCTTGTTTTTTTCTTCTCTCTCTCTCTCTTCGATGGATATGCATATACATGTATGAGTCACATGTCAGATCTGTAAAGGAAATCGACCAACGAGTGATCTGTCTGTCGTTCTGCTATTAAATAATCAAAGAGAAGATATTTACAATAGCCAATTAAAAGATAAATATAAACATTTCATTTAAAAAGATGTCACCGAAATAGAATTTAATGATAGAATTAAAATCTCAATAAAAGGAAGAAGATGGTAATAAAATAAAAAATTTTATGTAAAATTCAAATATGAAATTTATCTATATGCAATCTTCAACTTTGAGGACTTTTCAATATATCTTACAAAAGAATTAGTTGTCTTTTTTTTCATATCTTATCTTGTTATTATTTTACTGTTCTACTCGTGTCAAGCTTTACTATCACAACTACAAGATTCTTAATAGAGTGATATACTATTCATACAATGAAGGACATCAATTTTGTATATTAACTAAAATGATGGCTCAAACAACTGATATAAGAAACTATTTTGAGAATAAACTTCTCATGTGATTCAAACATCTTCAGTAAATCATTCGCTATAATGTGCGCTATACTGGCAGTTAGAGGCCCTAGAGTCCGAAAATTTTGAATCCGACGGATTCTATCACCGGTAGTTCGGTACTTGACTATCTTCTGAACGCCATTCTACCACAATACACCGATAGCTGTTTTTTTCAACCTGCAATGTACTGGTGGTTGTGCGAATAGACGTACAATGTGAGGTGTTATTTTGATCTAAATATTTGCCAGGTGAAAATGAATATCATTGTCATTACTTGATTCAGCGGATCATTTCATGTTCTTTGATCAAAGAAAAAGACATAGGCATTCCACTTGAATAATGTTTTACATGCGATGATGAGAGTGCAACATGTATTCTGTCTGCTATCATATTTTTAACCTTGAAATAACTGTTTGAGAAGAGAATGTAATTTATCATAAGAGGTGAGATATATAATGTTAAAAAAAATACTCTTATAGAATTTAATGACTTAACCTTGGCATTCAACCTTTTTTATATTTCGGCATAGATATTTTATTTTTTAAGAAGATATTGAAAAAAAAGAATATGTAAGAAAAAAAAATTAATAATACGGTGTATTGTTAATGAAATAAAATTTTTCTTTTCTTTTCTTTTTTTTTTTATAATAAAGACATTTTTGGAATGTGATGATAACATGCTGCGATCGATGAATATAGGTATTACGATGTACTAAGAGATAATTATTCATGTAAGTGTTATTCAATAGAACAGTTTCAAGCATCAATGAATATTTATTAATTCATTATGTTGATTACTTTTTAATGAATCTCTACGGAACATTTATCATGTAAAATTTAATGTGAATAATCTTAATAAAATCAAATGCCTCTTGATCAATCAAATATATACTAGAATCGAAATTTTTAATTAAAAATAAATTATGTAAAAAGTGTCGATGAACAGTTCGATTAGATATGTCACCTTTCTATATAGAGAGCAAATATTGTTTTGAAACAGATAAAACATAAAAGACTTGATCGATTCATCTTGTTTAACAAGATTTGACACTTGAAGAAAAAGTAGAAAACCTCATTATTGTTCACAAGTGATTACTAAACAAAAGGAGAAGACATCTGTAGTTTATTCTTACTACTCTTGTTTTTTATTACTCCTAATAGATATAGATTCTTTTTCACAAGAAATTTTATTGTAAATATTCAATCATTCATAACTGAAAAATAATTCATTTTTTAGTTTCATTGTTGATGATTTAATGATATCTGTTCTCATCGATAGGTTTATAAATGATTCTAATGGTCAACATGCAATAGATTTGTTGATCTAAGATACTCACATATGTCAAAGCATTGTATTATGATTATACACATGTTTTTATTTTATTACCTCATATTGAACTGATATCATTATCGAATAATTCCAATGTAATTTGAATTACTTGAATTATCCTAGTCCAAGAATACGGCCGGTTTACAATGAAATAATCGGGTCACTAATACAGCAACATTACAGCATCTTTTCAGCGTTTTGTAGTAGATAGGAATCTGATATTGCATACGGCCATTTATACTAGACGTGTCATATCGACACAAAAACGGCCACCTACAGTGCATAAACGCCCGATCACAGTAATTAACAATTGGTCTGAATGGATATTTTTACCTAAACTTAATTATAAGCTCTAAGCAAACTTCAATACTACCCATGTGATTCAAACTGAATAAAAAACATTGGTATACCGGCAGTAATGCGGACTACCGTGAGACATGAGTAAATAAATAATTATGTCTCCAACAAGTAGCAGTCGTTTGTATTGTTTCCTTTTTTTCATAGTGCAAGCAGAGTTTATGTTTTAGTTATTGAATAGAAATTGACGACTTTTGAAATCAGTTATTGGATATTCTAGAATGCTTCTCGATTAAAAAAAAAAATGTTAGATAATGAACACTGAGGCTAATCTATAAAGAACTTTATACAAACACGAATTTTAAAATGTGTATATGACTGAATTATGTAACAAGCAGGTGTTAAATTTCACTTTCTATGTGCAACTCAATCAATTGAAATAAACAATTGATGATTAATATTCCGGACGAAACTAATACTACCAATCCATCCATATAGTCATGTTAAATGATTATTTAATCTCCTTCTTTTAAGAGCTAAAATGATCAGAAAACTATTGGAAAAAAAAATTCTTCCACGGTAATTATCGTCATTAAAACCTATTGAACTACCATGGAGCCAAGAAAATGCCGACAACAGTGTGAAAAAATGACTCGTAAAACGATATGATAAATTACAGTGAAAATTAATGCAGTCATTAGTCGCATCCGACGATCGGAATGATCGTTCTAGGTAGTATTCAAAGGGCACTTTTTCGATCTGGTATTCAAGATCATGTCGCCTTCGAATCGATATGCATCGAATTGATTATTCATATCCAAAAAACTTTAAATTAGCTAGTAACATTGAACATTAGTCTTCATCATAAAATAAAAAACAAGCACCAAAATCAGACAATCTCAATCAATTGCCTAAATAAATCTTTACGTAATAATAATGATCGAAAAGATTCAAAGACAAGTCCTGTACGATCTTTTATTATTATTATTATTATTATACAATCATTTGAAGCATAAATAGGCATACAAGAACATCACAAGTTGAGTCTAAATATTGAAAATGTATAAGTTGGTCTAAAAGCTTCATTATAATACTAATCAGAAAATTCTTTTAATCAAGTGAAATAAATAACCTATTTTAATTTTATCAATTCTCTATTGATATATCATTAAATCTCTATATGATAAAAGTTACTATTAACCAATCTGATCGATTAATCACATGTAAATGATATTAAAAAATATTTCTATAGTTATTATAATATTTTAAAGTTTATTTCTGTTTCAAGAATAAAAACCAACATTACATAAAAGAAAAAAAAGGAGTTTTTCCTATTGTTAAATGTTGTTGATTTATAAATACAATCCTTCAGGTGTACCTTGATTTTTTCGATAAAGTACTGTTTCTTTACTTTTTCGAAAATCTTCATTTGTTACTTTCATACGACGTTCTCGTAATGCCATTAAACCAGATTCAGTACAAATAGCCTAAAATAAATGTTTTTTTTTCCTTTCTTAGAAAGAACAAAATTCAAATAATTATTTTAAACGAACTTTAATATCAGCTCCACTGAGATCATCCTTAGCCATAATTAATTCTTCTAAATTAACATCATCAGAAAGTGTCATACGACCTGTATGAATTTTAAATATCATTCGACGTGTTTTTTCATCTGGTAATGGAAATTCAATTTTACGATCGATACGACCAGGTCGAATTAATGCTGGATCAAGACTATCAATTCGATTTGTTGCCATAATAACCTAAGAAATTATTTTTTTGTTTGTTACTTATAAAAAAGAAAAAAACAAAGAACAACTAAATTTTTACTTTAACATCTCCACGAGAATCAAATCCATCAAGTTGATTTAATAATTCTAACATTGTTCTTTGAATTTCTCTTTCACCACCTGAATTTGATTCATAACTAAATATAAAAGATAAAAATTTGAAATTTCAATTATATCAACAAATTAGAAAATATACCGTTTTGTTCCAATAGCATCAATTTCATCAATAAAAACAATAGCTGGAGCATATTCTTCAGCAACTCGAAATAATTCACGTACAAGTTTTGGACCATCACCCTAAAATTTATTGAAATTAATCATTTAATTTTCTAGATATAATTCTAAATTACCAAATATTTTTGAATTAATTCTGAACCAACTACACGTAAAAATGTTGCCGATGTTTGATTGGCTACCGCTTTGGCAAGAAGAGTTTTACCTTTATAATAAATTTTATTTTTTATTAACAAGAAAAAAAAAAAAGGTTTAGTTTTTATTAGACATGCCTCAAATTCAAATTGTTTGACGTTTTCTCTGTTTGCATTGTTTTATCTTTTAATTTTTTTATATCTTTTCAATGCTTGCTTATCACTTAGAACTTCTCATACCTACCGATATGTTACCATATCGTTTTCAATAAAACTTGACTAAACATGTATTGAGAACTAGTCTCTGAGTTTCAGTCAGCAGTCTTGATAGAGAATTTTTTACCTAATGACATCTTTTCATATGCAAATGTGAACTTTGTTTTTTTTTTATAAAGTTTGATCAACAAATATTGAGGAAGGATATTCGAATCCAAAGTCTACTTTTTTTAGAATTTAACTATGACAAACGGATAGTTTCGAAAAGAATAAGTTAAATTGAGTGACGATTCAGTTCGTTGCTGATAGTCAAACTCTACAAACGAGTCAATGAAGAGCATACAAATGTTGCTATCATACCACAAAATTCTCTCTTTCAGCAGAAAGCGATCAAGGAACATTGCTCGACAAATGTATTATACATAGAAAATTGGCCGCGTAGAATTGACAAACCGAGTATAGTAACATGTTCGTAGGTACGAGAATCTCGATATATGCCTAATTCATACATCTCCTAATTTCAAAGAAGTAATGCTGATCCATAGCTTTCTTTTTCACATGTTCATAACAAGCGAACATTGAGCAAAGAGACGAAGAGTCAAAGGATAAAATAATACAAATAAGAAAACATCTCAAACTGTTTGTTGAGTTTAGTTACGCGCCCACATACCTGTTCCTGGTTGACCATAAAGAATAACACCTTTCGGTGGTTTAATACCCATTTCTTCATAATATTCAGGATGAGTTAAAGGCAATTCAACAGCTTCCTACAAAATAAGAAAATTTAGAAAATAATTCGATTTTCATCTACGAATTTATATTTTTTTACTTTAATCTCTTGAATTTGTGTTGTCAATCCACCGATATCCGCATATCTAAATTCGTACAAAAAAAAACAACTTAAAATATTTGTTTTTTTATTTCTTTGTCTTACGTTTCTTTTGGTGCTTTTTCAAGTTTCATAACAGCAACCATTGGATCAACATCATCACCTAATACACCAATTACAGCATGTACCTAAAAGATTAAATTATTTTTTTTTGTTTGTTTTGTTTTATATAAACGAAAAGATCAATAATTTACTTTATGATTTAATAAAACTGTACATCCAGGTTCAAGTTGATCTTTATCAACAAATGACATTATAGTAACATAATGTTCAGAACCAACTGATGTTGAGACAATAGCATGATTATCATCAATGATTTCTTCTAAAGTACCAACAGCCATTGGTGATCCTCTGAAATTAAAAAACAAAACAAAATAACAAGGATTAATTATAGAAGCATTAGCAAAAATAGACAAGATTTTGCTTTAAAATAATAAAAATGTAGTAGATAAAATCTTCATAGTCTATGAAATACTTATTGAAAACTAATTACTTTGATTTTAAATCTCGCTATATATTTTATCATCAGATGGAAGGGATTAGATCGAGGACAAGTATCTAAATAATTGAGAGTGAGAGATAAGTCTTCTGAACTGATTCTCTTTTGATATAGCTAAAATGTTTTATATACTATCAATAGATAAATCCGTTGTTTTGAATAAATCTCAGAAGTTTTTCAATTATTTTTGTTTGAAAAAAGTAAGTTCTCGACAGTATTATATTTTATTCAAATATAAAAATTAATTCATACCGAATATCATCGACTTTTGAACGTTCTTCCTAGAATGATAAATTTAAATTGTTTTTTATTTTGAAGAAAATAATTTATACTTCATGACGATCTTCTTGTGGTTTTAAACGTTCTTGATTTTTAATAAATTCTTCTTCTAATAATAAATAATCTTTAATACGTTCAAAACGTAATTGTTTCAAACGACAACGTGTATATGGTAAAACTTGTGGTAATTTATTAGCTGCTTCAGGACCTTTTGTACGTTTTTTTCGTTTTCCTATACGTGTTGGAATAGGTGGTTCATATTTTTTTTTCTATATTAAATAAATTTTTATTTATTATATTAATCTATGTTTTTTTTTTGTTCTTACTTCCTTATCTCCTGTTCCATCACCACGTCTTTGACCACTTGAACCTTGATTTCCCTAGAAGAAAATCAATACGAAACGTATTTTTTCTAAAAATAAAAATCCTTATTCTCACCATTTGAAAATCTACAAGAAAAAAAACAAAGATAATCTTATCACAAAGAAAATTAAATAGATTGATGTAGTTATATTTGTTTGTTTTTTTCTCAAATAAGAATGAATTACACATTCTGTTTCTATTTTTTTTTTCACAATAATAGGAGCAGAAAAAAAGAAATGATCACACAAGACATGCAAAGGTATATATGAACAAGAAAAAAAAATTTCTTTTCTTTTTTATTTGTAAAGTCAATAAATCTTATTTTTGATAATCATAAAGATATTTTTAATTAGCATGAGAAACTGAATGTTGAACATGATCAGGTTGATCATTTGGAAATTGGACTGAATTCGATCGCGATGGTCGTCGATGTTCAATATCATGTTCAACAGCTTCTTCCCATGATTCATGTTTAACACCTTCAGCTAAACGAAGAAGTTTTATATGAACAGCCATAACTTTTTCATTCTTTGGTGGCATTAACATTTTTTTAAATGATACAGTATCACCTTTTTTTGGAACATAATCATCTTCAATACTATATTAACAAAGAGAGAAATAAGCAAAACACAAAAAAAAAAAAAAAAAAACTTAACACAAATATTTACTCAGAAACATGAGCAAAAATAAGCTCATTCGAGTTATCATATGGTTGAATATGACCATAGCCTTTTTCACGACAAAATTCATGAATTACACCTTCATAAGTTGGACTTTTTAATGTTCGTTCACATCTAAATTAAAAATCAATTCTGAAATTTATTCATTTATTCTAATAAATAAAAACACTTCAAATTCTATACAATGTCTACGTTTTAGCGAGAGAAACACATTGTATCTAATAATATGAATGCCAGGATTGGGGGTGTGCGACAGTGAACCACTGATGTATCGCTCGGATGACACTAGTCGTCACCTCTGTTCTGTCTTGTCTTGTCTCCTACTGTATGTAGATTTATTCGTATGTGATCTTTTTGTCGCACCTATTGATCATGTGTATTATTATTCCTTCACTTCAATCACTTTTCTTCATTGTTATACTTCTTGAGAGTTTCATTCGGTAATTTGCTTTGTCATACGTCTCTTGTTCTCATTCGTATTCATCATTTTATTCAATAAATTGATGGATCTTTATTTATCCTCAAGTCATCTTATCATTGATAGCCACCTCATAGTGACACCTGGAATCGTATTTAGTTACATCTCTTCGCTCCACATTCGAAACATTCCTGCATATACTCATTAGTCGATGTATTATTGATAAACACAATTCGTAAACATCTCTGCGAAACTATAGTATAATAATCTATATTAGCAATTGAAATATATTAATCTGCAATGTATATAGTGACTTATGATTCCTCAAAATTTTGAACTTCTTCTTCATCAAGTTGAACATTTTCATATGAAATTCTCTTTATAAAATCCTCAAATTGTTGAGCTTTTGTGAGGATACGATATAAAAAAGAGTATTCAAATATAGGAGTAAAAACTTGAACCCTTAAATAGACTAGAACCGATGTTACTAGTATACGGTCATCGACCACATATCCATAACGTCTCGTTAAACTACTTCCTTATTGGATATTTGGAGGATTAAGTAAAAGGATGGTGAAGAAATGTGTCCCAAAATAGATAGAATAAAACAGCAACTACATCGTATTTCACATTTTAATTCCGCAGAAATTGCACTAACAGCTTTCATTTTGTATAAAACATCCGAGATTTCAAATCTTTATCTAGGTCTCAAAGTTCGAAGTGTATAAAAAAAGTATTTCTTAGAGTGTTGGATAATATTACAGGAATGTACACCCTTTCTCTCCGAGACTTGCCTTGATCATTCATGTAGTTATACTTGAAAGTTATCAATAAATATTGAATATCTTACTGTGAAAGTGTTCGTTCTCGTCTTGGAATAAATGAATGTGTATGATGATCTCCTTCATTAAATGAATGAACTGTTGATGATGTTGGATGAGACATAATTACAAAAGATAAACAATAAAAGAAGAATCTATATCTAGAATATATATATACAGGAAAAAAAAACCACATATATAATACTTATGATGTATTTAATAATGAAGTAAAACGAAAATTTTTTGGAAATGGATCTTTTCTACTAACAACTAACGTTCGAAATTTATATGATATATAACCTTTAATCATCCCTTTTTGTATCAAACTATTTAATATATCAATAAGTTCATTAATTGTAAAAAAATTTTCTTTTTCAAATCCAAAATTTAATAATAATAATAATGTTGTTTCTAATGGAATTTTATCTGTTTGTTGTTGATCAATTTGATAAACATATGTACGAAATAAATTTCTTATTGTTATTAATTTTAAATTTTCAATTAAAAAAAATAATCCACTATCAAATAAAAATTGTTCATATTGTTTTATTTTATCAATAAATAATTTTAATGCACCAATACGTATTGGTTCAATTAAATCAATTAATTCATTTAATTGATATTTTTCAAGTATATCCATTTTAGGTGTTGAACCATGTAACATTTTAACTATAACTAAATATAATAATGATTGTTGTTTATTTTTAATACTACCACTTTTTTTTGAATCAAGACAATTTGTAAATACATAATCAAAATGTTCAATAGCTGATTTATAATTATGTTGAAGTAAAAGATGTTTACCAAGAAAATAACGATATGTAAGTACATAGGATGAAAATCGATGTTCTTGTTGAGTATTTTCTTCTTGCATATATTGTTTTAATGAACGTTCAGCTAGACAAAGAAATACAAATCTTATCAATCTTAAGAAGATTACTAATTAGAAAAAAAAAACTAAATAAGTAAAGAAATTATGATAATAAGTCTTATTTTCAATTCACTTGTTGACCACAAACATACATTAAAAAATGGCCACAGACTAGCTTGTTTGTTACTAAGGGCAGTCTCTTGTCTTTCATCTATTTTTCTCAATCGTCTTCTCAACATATACTATCAGGACGATTGAGACAGATAGATCAAAGAAGAGAGATCGTCTTTAGTAATAAACAGGCTAAGTCTGTAGTTGTTTTTTAATGAAATTTTCATTACAATTTTCAATTAAAACGACATAATTATGAATCATTCAGAATCGATGAAATTTTAATGATTTTAATCTATTTGGAATGTAATTTTTCTAAATGACGAATGAAATTTGCTTCCACAATTTGTTTGATTTTTCAATAAAAAACAATTTTCACATACAAAGAAAAGACAAACGTACATTAGAGACTCTGTACGTGACTTGAAAACATAAAAGAAACAAATAATAACTTGGGAACTGTGTATTTTTTTCTTTCTTAGTACTTATCGTAGATAGGAACATTCTCCAAGGAGTTTCTTTTAGAAATAATAGACCAATGGAAAAAAAAAATGACACAGTAATTTGTCATTTCTTGTTAATTTTTCTATCAAACATTTTCAAGATTATAACTTTTTGTAATTTGTGTCAATAATTCATATTTATTATACAATAAAAACAAAAATATTATTCGGTTATATTTTAGTTATTTTTGACACTTTAAATATCTTTGATTTCTTGAAAAATTCTTTTCATCCAATAATCTATATAAAGAGTACTATCTCAGAAAGTTTATAATATGTATACCAAATGAATATCTTTAATGTATTTATATATACATAAAAATCTATATGTATGTAAACTCCAGTTCAATTAACAAAAAATATACTTAGGCCATATGAATAGTAGTGACAGTAATGGTATTCACCTCTGATTTAGATGAACTTTCGCTTGCACAATAGAACTTGTACTACACTATGCTTTGTTTTCAGTGACTAGGCTCTACATTTCAGAGCAGTTAAGAGATGATATGAATGGCTTCGTGAAGTTCAAGAAAAGATTGAAGAAGAACTAAGATCTGATAGGTCTGTAATCAAACAACACCTGATAATATTAAATAGATCCATCGTCTTATGAATGATGATCCTTATTTTACAATTGACGAATTGCAAGTGCAAATTTATCCGAGTTATACTGCACCATCTAACAAATAATCTCTAATCATTGAAAGTTTAAAAATATGATCGTTAGTTGAATATTGAAACGGATGACTTTAATGGTAATCATGAAAGATATTATTGGAAAGATCGTTCTTCATAAAAACAAAATATAGTTTATCATGAATAACTCTCGCTTGAATATATATATAATATAGTACGAGCTTTATTGTAGAAGTGAAAATTTTCTTTATTCATCTAAATCAGCAGAGGTGAACAACTTTCATTGAAATTTTAATACTATTATATCAATTGAAGAATAGTGAAATATTATAGACTTATAAAGCATTGTCTGGACAATCAGTATGCCTATAGAGAAAATTCCTTCAAGCCTTCTATAGTGTATTATTGTCTTATTACCACTACTTTTAGTATGCCCTAACAAGAGGACCATACAAACTGATGCCCGCCGTTTGAGACCATATTGGGTTTATAAGAATGTCTTGATAATACTAGCAAAAATTTAGAAGGGTTCGTCTCCATGAGCCTTTGGAACTGAACTATGATTATTTTAACGACTTTTCGGCCCAGCTTTATGTACATATCGAAGAGCAAAATTTCACCGTAAAAATTTGTTCGTAGATAGCTCTAGTGACACATAGAATGTCTTTACAGTTTCAGCCGAAAAGAATATTCTATTGTCGAGATATTGAATTTTCAAGTAGACTCCGTATGTCAACAATTGAAAATTCTTTTCATCTAAAACTTTGAGAATATTTTTAAAAAAAATGATTTACTTTTTGAAATAAAATAAGTACATAAATTAAATTTATGTAAAGCATAATATGTTTTTAACATTTGATTAACAATAATAAAAATACCAACTTTTCTTAATTTAGTAGTCGATGGAAATCTTTGTATAGCACCTAATGCATTTAATAATTGACTATTATATGTTTGTATTGTACTATTTGAATTCATATTATCTGATGTTTCATAATCATCATTATTTAATTCATCATTTCCTGGTAAAGCAAGTAAACGTAATTCATGTGCAAGTCGATTAAAAACAGGTAATAACCATGATGGTTCATCATCATTTAATGATGGATTTATTTGATCTATATCATGACCATCATCAACAAATGTACTGGTAGTAGTACTCATTCGATTTAAATATCCATTAAGAATAGACATAAAACAAGAGAATTTTTTTGATTGATGACGAAAAGCTCGATCAATATCATTTAAACGTAAATAACGACAAACAGTCCAATGATGTTGACTTAATAATTTCCAAAGAAAATCATTATCATTAATTAATTGTTGATCTAAATTTGGTTCAATATAATCATTAAAATCAAGATCATCAATTTTATACATAGATATTACATTAAGTAATTCACTAAGTAAATAACCATCATGTTGTTTAACTATATCAAATATTGAATCAATAAAATCAGATTGTGTACGAGAATAAATGAAATCATTCGTCATTATTTTATTATTATATCTACAATAATGAAAATTTTATTTTCTTTTGTTCTCGATTAGTATATTCATCAAGTGAACGTCTTAGAATAGAGCATAAATGATTACAATTTGTACCATATTTACCAGATATTTCAACAATATGTTCAAAATGAAAGAAATTTTTTGGACACCATTTATTATCATATTCATTTTCTAATATTTGTTTATAATTATTTAATGAATCATAAAGTTCATTTAATTTTTTATCATTATTATCTAATTGATCAATTTTATTAATAGCTAATATGGCTGATTTATTTAATAGAGATGGTTCATAAAGTTCAAGTTCTTTTGTTAAAAATACAATTGAATCAAATGCTGATCGTAATGGTGAACGATATTCTAATTGAAATCCATTTATATCAATAATAAATAAAAGAATTTTTGATCGTAATGTATGTTTTAAAAATCTTGAACCAAGACCCATTTTTACATGTGATCCTTCAATAAGACCTGGTAAATCAGCTATAGTAAATGAACGACCATCATCAAATACAACAGTGCCTAATTGAGGATGAAGAGTAGTAAATGGTACAGGTGATATTGCTGGTTGTGTACGAGAAAGCATTGAAAGAAGAGTTGATTTACCAGCATTTGGATAACCAACAAATCTAAATAAAATATTGTTTTTTTTTTTTATTAAATTTTTTAGCGTAATCTCTAGCGGATTTAAATGTAGCTGCTGTCACTAATATTTTACTCTGTCTATTTCTTTTGAAAAAGACGATATAGAATCTAAAGTTAGATCTAATATACTTTCGTTTTTCCCTTTTAATATCTTGTTTTATTCAATTGTACATCAAAACATCAAATTTATTACTAAATTCTATATCTTTCAATAAATGTATTATATCAAATACCATATGTGTATTATCGAACCGATGATCATTTATGAAACTCAAAATAAACACTTACTATCAGAATAACAAGATGCTAATCACGTAGAAGTTTATTCATCCTCTCAAATGACATACTCCTCCATATAGAAAAATTTTACTGTATATTATAATGATGATTGTTTATATGATTTATGTTTTTTTCCTGTGAGTTTCATGTTTATTATTCAATTTAAACAAAAACTGAAATGATAAAAAAATCATAACTGATTTTCAGCAAGTTCTGTAATAAGAAAAGTTAACTTGTTTGATTCGATATATCGATCAGACGACATTATTTTTCATATTTGATGTTCATTAATAAGTATTCAAATCATTATTTTTTGCTTCTAACGATGTTATCAAAGAGAAATTTGGTTAGCATCAAAATTTTGTATTGTTTCCGAATATAGGTTCAACATTTCTCGATGATTTTATGGTTTAGATAACGTATCAAGAAGTTTAGAACAATCATTCTGAAATGACTGAGTTCACTTTGCATGTCTGTTTTTTATAGAGATGGAAAAAAATTACCTTAATTGACATGAGATTTTTTTACCAAAATAACTACTGTTGACAAATATCTTGGAGAAAATTAATTATTAATATATCATTCTATAGAGAAATGTTTGCTATTTCATTCGTTATATTTGAAATAATTTTCGGTTCTACTTTGATTAATTTTTTTGTGTCCCTCAAGTTCGTTCAAATTTAATTTACAGACTTCTAAAAGATCAACTTGTAACTTCTACACGAGAAATTTCAAACTGAGTGGACTTACTTGTATTTCAAATATTTTTACAAACCTTTTTTTCTCGTTGGAAACTTCATTCCTGGTCTCCATTAGGGTTGGGTCAAAAAGTGAATTTTCTGAAAACTTTCTTTTTATCATTTAGTCATCTGCTATCGTTTTATAAATTTAGAAATTGATTCCCACTGTCAAAATAACATTTTGATGAAATTCATTTTTTGACCCAACCCTAAGAGAGACTAGAAGGTAAATTTTTTGACGAAAAAAAAAAGTTTATCAAAATAATTGAAATACAAATAAGTCCACTCAGTTTAGAATGTTGATTCAGAGTATCTTATTAGTTTTCATAGAAATCGTAATTTTATTATAACTGAATATCAGTAATAAAAAGGCTCAAAATCATGTTTCGAGAACAGTCTTTTTAGGATTTCTTATACTGATCAGTATTTTTTTTTATTTGATATTTTTATATCATTTTGAAGTGCTAACAAACTATATGAAAATATCCTAGTCGCTCATGAAATAGGTAGATAAAAAGAGTTGATTATTATCAACAGTCGAGTTCAATGTACATGTAATGCTTATTGACTAATCATATCGGAATTCGATCCCTCCCTTCTTCTTTCTACAGGTTGAAAAAAGTGAGCGAATATTTTTATCAAATTGCTTTTCGGTCATCCATCATTTCACATGTCAGTCTCAATAAATGGAAAATAATTTAAAAAAATTTTCTCTTTTCTTACTAACCCAACATCAGCTAATAATTTTAAATCAAAATTAATCATTGTAGCTTCACCAGGTTGTCCTTGAAAATGTGTTTTATAATTTCCTCCATCACCACCATGTGCTACAATACATTCATCATCAATATCATTTATTTCATCTATTAATTCACCATTCTCACGTAAGATTTGAATACCTAATGGTACATGAATAATTAGATTTTCACCTGATTGTGCATTTAAACATGTTTTATAACTATGTTCACCATCGGATGCTATATAACGTTTAGCTAAATTTTTTTCATAAACATTTTTTAATGTTAAATTACGTTTACCATGTACAAGAACATGACCACCTTGCCCTCCAATACCACCATATTTTTTTAAACCATTTCCACCACGTCCACCACGAACATAAACACGAAGTTTATCAATAAATGGTAAATTTAAATGACGACCAAGATCTTGTTCAGCTATTTTGTATAAACAACGACTCAAAAACATTTATATCTACAAAAAAAAAACTAAATAAAACAATTAATTTTTTTCGTTTAAAACAAATTAAGATTATATTTTAAGGAAAAAAACAACAATTTTTATTCCATTGTATTTGTTGAATATCTGTTAATAGTAACATATGTTTTATATCAAATGAATATGATTGTGTATGCTCGTAAGATGTTTTATATTGAGATTTATATTCATAATTAATAAAAATTAATCATCGTCTATAGCGTAGATTCAACATACAGTCTAAACTAAAAATTTATGAATATTATAAATAGAAAAAATAGATTACATTCATTACTTCTATAGAAGGGTAGAGAGAAAATATGACCAATCAGAAAAAAATGATATTTTTTATTTCGATTGTCAACGAGCGACATCATTGATATTACAACAAACTAAAGTAGAATATTTCATCTGTGATAAACGTTTTTATCAATGCATACAGAAATAAGATTTAAATTGATATATATTTTTTTTCTCTTTTGATTTCAATTACAATTTCTATATTTTAAGTATTTCTCACGTTGTTCCCTTAAAAAATGAAGGACTAATTACATAGAAAACAAGACAGTCATCTTATACATTGTAATGATTTATTAACAGTAGATGTAACGCTTAAGCACGATCTTTTTTCTCTTCTAGCGCATGGCAAACGAAGGAAGTCTCTCAACTGATTAATCACTTTTGAGTCGGAATCATTGTGTATCATGTAAACTCTAATGAACTATGAGCAGACTGAAAAGAGTTCAAACTATAGATGTGCGGAACTGAAACTACAAGAAACTCAAGTTTATAGTAAAATGTTTGATGACTGTAAACACATTCTATGAATCACAATATAACTCAAGAGAGATGATCAAAAGAAGTGCTAGTCATTGAGTAGATAAATCAAAAAAATCGAGCATTAAAGAATTATTTTAGATGTGATATGAATAAATTCTCGAATAGCTTTCTCTAGATTGAGATCGGAACAAAAACAAAATGATTCCGCAAATCTCTAATTCGGATTCTTAGCTTATTTCTGTTGAGATACTGTATTTTTACGATATTTTTAAGTCAATGCTGTAGTCCTACTCAGGAGTACTAGAAAAATTTGTGTTCGAATTTCGACTTGAAACTTTACATAGAGACATGATTTGATGAGAATACTTAATTGTGAAAATTTCAGATCTTTTAATTTGCTCCTTTCATGAAATAAGACCATCAAATCTGCTGGTATATATAAGCAATGTAAAAGACCACCTGTATCGTAGGATAGGAACAACGAAACGATGTGAAACTTTCATAATAAATTATTCTCACTGAACCTAGTATCTGTGGAACGTTTTAAGTCGAAATTCGAAAATGGATTTTCCTAGTGTATCTGTAGGCACGGCAGTGACTTAAAAAGAACATCATAACAATACAATATCTCGACAGCAATAAGCTAAGGGCTTGAAAAGAATTCATATCATTCATAGCTCATTAGGATCTATGTGAAACATATGGTTTCGACTAAAAATGGATTACTCAGTTGGAGGACTTCACTTGTGAGAATTTCACAAAACAAAAATTGAGAATAGTATTATTCTTAAACTATTGACTATATTTAACTATCATATTTTGCTCTGAGATACATTAGATAATGAACAATGATATAGTCGAATACTGCTAACAAACGCAGAGATAAAATATGAATTGGCCACATTACTTAAATATAAAGTTATTTTTTTTTAATACTCTCTAAAGTATATGGCTTAAAATTAGTTTGTAGCGATTAAACAAATACAAGCATTCTGAAATGAATTTCATTTACACAATAGATAAGTTGAAAACAATCAATAAAATACATTAATGAGAACAGACAACAAAAACCTACCATCACAAATCTCATTAGTAGGACATTGGGATTTTTGAAATTGTTTATGATTGTAAATAATATCTTCTACGCTTTTTTTCTGAATAAACAAAATTTTAACAGATTTCAATAGAGATAATTATGAATTATTATTTGCTAAACTTATAATTCGATTGAATACCTTCGAAAAATCATTGAAAGAGTAATATAAAAGATGTTACAGAAGTTCTGAAACAAATCTAAAATTCATTATTTTTGTATTCAACAAAAGCACATTTTTGTTGAATTTGATAAATTATTCTACCTACTTAATACTAACTAACTATCAAGTTTCAAGCCAATACATTTTACTGTAGATGAAAAATTGTAATAATATTATCCTTCACTTTGACATGAATTTTCGTCAATGACTTTAGCTGATATTTTTAGATCAAGACAACTTTTCGACACAAAATAAAACATATCAATTTAACAATGTTCGTATAATCGATTATTGTCTTGAATCATTACTAATTTTAATCTTTCTGATACTTTGTCGATCATTCGTTCACATAAAGAGATACTACTTAGATGAATGCATACAGGCCGATTTCGACAAAGAAACACTCGAAATCGATGGAACGCGGAAGCAATAGTCCAGACCGAAAAGTCTCAGGATTTTTATTATCCCTCTCAATTAAGTTGCTGGTATTTCTAATTGGGAACGACCAGAAAATTTGAAAACACTCCACTCCTGGAATATTGCTTTCCGATTCCATTAATTTCCATTGTGTTTCGACCAGAAATGATAATATTTCGAGCAGTCCCGGAGAAATCTGTTTGTTTTCCGAGATCGAAATTATCGACTTGTACGTAGGATTTTGTTGGGTAAGCCTTGAAATGTGGCATTGATCAGAATTAAATGACAGTAAAAAAGTTATTGCACATTTCGTTTGGGACTCGATCTTAAATAAAGATAGGTTACAAATGGTGATTTAATACTTGTAATGTCTCGTATTGACAAAAGAGTCAACCACAAGGAATACATTGTACACTCGAAAAAAAGAATTCCGTATTGTAGAAAATCCTTGTGTTATGTTACATATAATTCGAAACTTTGTTTTAGAACGTATGATTATAGAAATATCCTATTTCCTCTACAAACAGTCATTGAACAAACTCAAGACTTTCCAAAAAAAAAAACTGGAGTCATGTATTTGCGACAACATGCACAAATCGTTATGGAAAAAAGTGAGTTAGATATAAAGTGTGGCAATGTATCATTAAAATATGTCACAGTAAAATTGTTATTACTCCAACAGACCATAAGAAATAGGACTGATTTTTTTCGAGACGTAATGGTGAGGTATTCCAATTAGATATGAACAAGATGATTCTATTCATCATTAACTATTACAATTTCGATAGTAAAATTAATTCTTCTTTTTCGTAGATAATAGAGTTATCGAGAATAGACAAAGCATTAGTGAATAAAAAAAAAGTAATGAACTTCGAGGAGGGAGAATATTCGAGGTCATACAAAATATCTCGAGTTTTATTGACACTGCTAGAAAATTATATAACATTTTTTTTCGCTAGTACACATGTATTACTAAGTGTGAAATTAGAACCAAGAATTTTTTCTGATCGGTACCCGGCACCAAAAATGCTTGACCTCACTCATCACTAACCTCAATATATATCCATAAGATTTCAGCTCAATATTATATCATCGCTTGAAGATCCAATTTTGAGGATACAAGAAGCTGAAGTCTGTTGAAGATTCGATTTTAAAGAGAAGAGGGAGATAAGCATTAATATTTTGAATCTATTCAAAAACTAAAAAACTTTGTAAAACATATGAATAAAACACTAGATATTAATTATTATCCAGCCATACATGCAAAGCATATTGATTTTCCCATCGTGAGACATGTCTTTTCATCACTGGCAAATATTCAACAAATTTGCCATTGGTGAAAATAAAATTTTGTGCATGTTCAAAAGTAATACTTTTTAAATGTTTAAAATTTTCAATAATAAATTTAATATCATCACTATTTTTCACTCGGATATGTAAATGTTTTATATTTGGAGTTATCATTGAACATACTGTTTCTATACTTGTTCTATAATCATCTGGAGCCCAATAATCAAATAAAGATAATATATTAATATTATGAGCATATTTAAGTAATTTATTAATACTATGAACAATACTTGGCATATATTCATAGGAAAAATTGACAGATAATGAAAGTTTCACAATATTGAAAAGATTGATCGTTGTCGAAAGAAATTTAAATGAACCTTCAGGCCATTTATCAGCAATGGCAAGAGTAAGTTCAGTAACATTTCGAAATTGTAAATAACTAACATCTTCTATTTCATCAGTATCTATAACTTTACTTAAATATATATCTAATTGTTTAACATTATCCATCATTATTGAATTATTATTATTATTTATTGTAAAATTTGAAGCAGAAACTTTATTTTTGTCTGAATAATATACAAAATGAGAAGTACATATTGGTAAAGAATAAAGTATAACTTTATGTATATAAATAATATAATCACATATAACAAAACAATGTTTTTCATCAAGCCAAAATGATGTTTGAAAAAGTGAAATAATTTGTTCAATATAACTTGTATCAAAATTAACATGAGTAAAAACTGAAACAAAAAAATCAAATTTTTCTAATAGAGGAAGTTTATTTTTAATTATATGTTCCCATCGATAACCATCAAATGAAGAATTAAATAAATTTCCCGAACCAATTAATTTAAGATAAACAAGTGCAGGTGTTAATGAAAGACATGGTTCAAGTTTATCCATTTGTATACGACCACCTTCACATATCAATGATCTTAATTGTAAAGATGGTGTAGGATTTAAATATGTTGAAATATTTTCATTAGTATCATTAGCATTAAAATCTTTTAAAATTATTGTTTGTAAACAAGGAGAATGTTGAAGAATAATATAGAATTGATTGAGTGTTATACTGTTCTGTATTCTAAGATAGCTTATAGTACAATTAACGGGCCATTGAAGTTCTTGCATATTTTTAGGCCACATATTCAAGTCAAGTTTTTGAAGAGTATAATGTTCTATAGTTGATGATAAAAGATTCAATACAGGATTTTTACTTATATTTAATGTTTGGGAATC